GCTGGATATCTAGCTGGGAATGTCGTTTAATGTCTAATCTAATGCCAATTCATTCAGTACGTCGCAAGGGAAAGTTCCGTGCGCCATTTACTCAAACGAAAACAGACTTAAATACGCAAATGCCTTGATAAAATTTGGCAACCTCACAAACAATTGCGGCAACTAAATTTAAATTGCCCCCAAAAGAATTATAGCCAAGTAAACCAAAGCAAAGCAGACCGATTCGTATCGCGAGGCAAACAAACAAGCATCAGTTGGTTGGATAAAAAGATAGAAAGCCAAGCCAACGACGTCAGCAAGTCACAAGTAGAAGTCTCAGAGGACCGGGCGAATAAATCTGCCAATATAAATAAATCCACCGTTTGGCAGGAGACTGTGGATCAGATAGGAAAATCAAATGCCAGCCAGCCAATTCATTAGCAACGACAGAAATTATGGAAAATGCCGCCCACTTTTCTCGAAATTTGTATAATAAATACCGGGGAATACAACATGCCGCGCTGCCTACGTTGAACAATAAAACTTAACATTATTATATAAAAATGTGTAGCGCAGCAACAACCAGCCATGGAAATGAAAACAGACGCCCACAGTCCGCAGGCCACCCAAACAAAAAAAAAAAAAAATAAAAAATTAACGGAGGAAAACGTGCAGAAAAGCACAAATGAATGCCACAAGTGGAATTTGGTATTTAACAGGTGACTGGAAAATGCCCAGTCAATTAAAAAAAAACAAGAAACATGAAAATGCATTCTATTTTGTGCCCCACCACTCGAAATATTATAAATAAAAAACTTAAGATGAAAATGAAAGTTAGGAAGAGTATTATGCTGTCGTTGTTCAATCCCCGCGAGGTTCGTGTCCCGGCTAAGCACCTCTTCAGACGTCACAGGCTCTTTCTGTTTGTTGGTATTGCAGTTACTGCTGCTTTTGTTTGGACTAGAATTAGGGAGCTGATGATGCATGAGCCATTCTATTCCATCCCATTGATGAGCTCACTCCAGCTCCAGCGCCAGGTGTGCGTTGCTCTGCTGTGAGTACTACGAGTAGTAGATAGACTTGTGTATATTTCTCGATCACATGACTGCGGGTACTTCTTGTTTTTATTCGCACACTTGAACATCTTGGGAAAACATTTGTGTAACAGGACGTTCAGTAAGGTTTATATGATCACACTTCGAATTTTCTAATTCCTAATTTTAGCATTGCCTTCTCGCTAATTGCGCTATGTAAAAACTTGCTTCAGTACTGAACGTCGAACTAATTGAATTAGATTAGCCTTATCTACAACTAGCCCACTTCGATAACGACTATAATTTACCTTAACTGACCTTATTTGATAAGTTAGTTCTTTACCTTTTTAAAAGTGTTTAATGCTTGCAGATTAATACAAAGGCCATTTAAAAATAATTGTGGCAATCAAAGCCTCTTTAATTTTATTTTATTTATTGTGACTCCTATTTATTGTGACTTTTGTGACTTTATTTTATTGTGACTCCTTTTCCGAACGTAATGCCCAATTCGGAGAGCAGATTAACATTGACCCGTAATTACTTTATATGGCTCGCAATTTTAATTAGACTCTCGACTTTGGACTGCTGCTTTCTAGCCAGAAACAGTGGGTAGCAAAAGTAATGGTACAATCAAATACCAAATAGAGAACAATCAGCGGTGACTGTGTTCAAAGGTCTGTCAATTGAGATGGGTTTATAGTTTTGCAACGCACTGTCGGTGGCATATGGGGAATATTTTATGGCATGATTCAGCTAACGATTTCCGCTGCCAACGCTCCTCCGACATGGGTGCAGTTTTAGTTTTCCCGGTGCTGGTTTCCCACCCTCCCAGGCCTCTAGCATCATCATAGTCCCAGAGTCACCATGATGATCCGATCTCCAATCTCCGAGAGCCGTGAGTTGCGGGCTGTGGGCTGTGGGCGTGGGCCGCCTGCCGCCTCCCTGTCGAGATCGTGCCGCAAACATCGCATCAAATGGCTGGCCGGGCTAAAAATATGTATTCGATGGGCTTGCTCCACCCACAAGGGCCAAGTGGAAAGCTATAGCCTTCAGCTTGAGCTCCCATCCCTTCCTCTTCGGTTTCGGTTTTATGCAAGCCAAGAACACAAGCTAACTAGTTAGCTAAACTGTAAACTGTTTTATTTATAATATTTTTGTATCGTATTTACTTTGCTTTTCATAATTGTATACTTAACTTACAGACTGTTTTTGGTTTAATTCCACTCTTAAAATATGAAAAGAAATATCTGCAGAGACATGTTTGGAATAATGTCAATTATGATTGGAATCAGTTGTGATTTTTTTGCCTGCCAACCGTTTATTATTGGAAATATTATTTTACGAGGCTGCATCTTTGTGCGTTTGAATGCCGGCCATATAGGGCCTCTGTTCCCGTGACTTCCCTTTCGTGTTTGAAGAGTTTCACATAAAAATGGTTGTTTATTGCAACCAGCTAGCAAACAAACTCGCGCACAAGGCCAACCTGGAGATTGCTTTGTTCTGGGCCTGCCGGCCAGATTCAGTTTGGTTTCTTCTGATCTGTTTTTTTTTTCTTTTTTTTGGTTTTCTTCACTTTTTGGGTTTTTTTCCGAGTGGCAAGCGCGTGCACTTGGCGCCAACTTGGAGCCGCCACATCGCCTTGCCCCCCGGGCCAAAACTGAAGCTGAACAGCTAACCGAAAGAGGCAACAATTTGGTTTCGAAGCGCGACGTCTTCTTCCTCCAAACCCCTTTCATTCCCCTTTCTACACGGCGGATGCCACTTGGTTGTCCGCGGTTCGTTTCATAATTTGGTTGGTCGTTTTCTTTTTTGTTTTTTGTTGGTCGGTCTGGTCTGGTAAGAAATTCATAATTTGTCTGCACCGCAAAAGGCTACCGTGCTACGTGGTCATCGTTCTCAGTTCTCAGTTCTCTGTGATTTGTTTTCTTTGCTTTGCTGAAAGAGATGAGAAGCAACAGGTATTTGCGGATAAAAGTTGGCAGCAAATAAAACTTGGCTAGCTGAAACACAGCTAGTTTTCAATGAAACCCAAAACAATTGGGTGGGTATGTATCTGCATTTGCACGTTTTACATGCCAAACGGCACCAGATACAATTGGCGCGATAAAAACCGCGAGGGAAACGCGTGGCGACAGCGGCCAAACAGCAGCTGTCGCTGGCTATTAAATTGTAATTAAATTATTATCTCGCCGTGGCAAGGGGCGTGCCCAAATGCAGACAACATCCGCCAATTTGTGGATTTGTTAGCGTCTTGCTCCTTAGTATTTGTATTTGTATCTGCAACTGAAACTGCGCACTGTGAATGGTATGCATGTGTCACTTGCATTTTTTGCTGCAGCCTTGGCAACACGCGACCTGCTCGGATATGGCTCTGCCGACAAAAAAAAACTACGCTAGGAATTCGGATCGTTAATCAACGGAATTGTATCTTTCAGAGCATTTTTAGGCATTACCATTAATAGCTCTTAACTGCGATCTGCGATCTCGTTTTTCGTGTGAATGTTGTGGCTTTGATGGATGGCCGGGGTCTTGTAACGAGCTCGTTTGAGCGTAAATAAGCGAATGGAATCCGAGAGTTTTGTTTTTCCAGAACTGCGAACGCCAATAAACAATAATGAGAATCGGCAAACAATCCCCACCAACAGCTAGTCAGCAAAAGTGCGGAGCGATCTACTAGATATGCGATATATATGCGAATGCATCCAGCAGATCCAGCATGACACACATCCGTTTCGGGCTTTACGACTTATAAATGATCAATAAAAATGTCTAAAAATATGCTAAATACCTTTCGCACAGTCTGGGAGTAAACAAATCACCTTGTGCCAGCCACGAACCGTAAAAAATATGGCGCATTCGCTTTGGCATTAAAGGCGTTTTTATGAATGAACTCACTGCAAGCGGCTGAATGCAATTAAATGCGAAACTGTATTGAGCAGGTCGGGCACTCCAACCATCCGACGATCCATGGGAAAGCCACCCACTCGACCGTAACTCATTCATCTAACGGCTGTCTACCCCTCATCTCCGCCGAGGAAAAACGCACTTAATGCCTTTCCCGATGGCTGTCGCAGGCGGCAAATGGCCGTAAAAATAGCGCCCAATGGCCACAACGCCCACTCCATAACGGCTGAGCTCCAGCTCCAACTGGTGCTGTCTGCTCCGCGCTCCTCGTGTGCTAATGGCTTGGTCAAGTGGCTGTGGAGAAGGCAGCTAGCGAGCAGAAACAGCAACAAGCTTGTAATTAGTTGCAGATTTGCCAGCGACCTGAATCAATTGCCCGAGTTACCGTTAGCTACTTGCAACTTGCAACTTGCAGCTTGCTACTTGCTACTTGCTACTGGCAGCCACGGCCCACTCTTCATGCTCAAACGCATTTTAATGCTACAGTTGCGGTTTTGCTTTTTGCCGGTGCTTATAGTCGCCGAGCCAGGATAGCCAAGTCATTAGATTGATTTTGGGGAGTACTTTGTACTCCATTATGTTGTATTACAGGGCTTGGTGCTCTAAAAGCCAGAGTAAGGGAGCTTAGCACGTAAATAAAAAGTACTCAAGCCGTTGTAATAAAACGTTAATAAACCTGTTTAAGACTTCTTCTTTTCCTTATCTGCAGTTATCACATTTATGATCAGGATTAAGGAGATTATAATTAATGTTAAAAAGTAGCACTACATTGTTAGCAGTTCACTTATATACCTAATCCCAATGAACGATTGTGGCTGATTGGTTTAAAGGCGGGAATAAGAACAGCCCGCTCGTCAAATTTAAGTGTACTATTGCTACAGACTTATAATTAGTATGACCGGATTTCAATAGGACACGTCGTAGGGATCAGCTTAGGAGTTACGGTCAATCCCCTTTTGAAGCAGAAAAAAGTGCGCAGGAGTCGTAAAATTAGGGATGTTGATAAGTTAATTTGATTCTTACCAGACTCTTCATTTGTAGATCATCAATGAAAGCTATATTAATTATTATGTGCCATTACAGCCCGCATCGTGACCTGCTACTGCGAGGGCAGCTGTCCAGACAACGTGAGCAATGGAACCTGCGAGACAAGACCCGGTGGCAGTTGCTTCAGCGCCGTTCAGCAGACTTACGATGAGGCGACTGGGATGTACGAGGAGGAGCGGACCTATGGATGCATGCCTCCGGAAGACAACGGTGGCTTTTTGATGGTGAGTTCCCCGCTGAAATCAATTAGTAAATCATTAGCTAATCAAAATATCATTGTTACAGTGCAAAGTAGGCGCTGGACCTCACCTGCATGGCAAGAACATTGACTGCTGCGACAAAGAGGACTTCTGCAACCGCGACCTGTACCCCCCCTACACACCCAGGCTGACCACACCAGCGCCGGATTTGCCCGTGAGCACCGAGTCCCTGCACACGGTAGCCGTCTACGCCTCTATCATCATCTCCATGTCCGTGTTTATGCTGATCCTGGCCAGCTTATGCCTCACCTACAAGCGGCGCGAGAAGCTGCGCAAGCAACCACGTCTCATCAACTCCATGTGCAACTCGCAGCTGTCACCATTGTCTCAACTGGTCGAGCAGAGTTCGGGCTCCGGATCGGGATTGCCACTGCTGGTGCAGAGAACCATTGCCAAGCAGATTCAGATGGTGCGACTGGTGGGCAAGGGACGATATGGCGAGGTCTGGCTAGCCAAGTGGCGCGATGAGCGGGTAGCCGTCAAGACCTTTATTACGACCGAAGAGGCTTCTTGGTTCCGCGAGACTGAAATCTATCAGACAGTGCTGATGCGACACGCCAACATCCTGGGCTTCATTGCCGCCGACATTAAGGGTAATGGTAGCTGGACGCAGATGTTGCTGATCACCGACTACCACGAGATGGGTAGCCTGCATGATTACCTTTCAATTTCGGTGATCAATCCCCAGAAGCTGCAGCTGCTAGCGTTCTCGCTGGCCTCCGGATTAGCCCACCTGCACGACGAGATTTTCGGAACCCCTGGCAAACCGGCTATCGCTCATCGCGATATCAAGAGCAAGAATATACTGGTCAAGCGGAATGGGCAGTGCGCTATTGCTGACTTTGGGCTGGCGGTGAAGTACAACTCGGAACTGGATGTCATCCACATTGCCCAGAATCCGCGTGTCGGCACACGGCGCTACATGGCTCCAGAAGTATTGAGTCAGCAGCTGGATCCCAAGCAGTTTGAGGAATTCAAGCGGGCGGATATGTATTCAGTGGGTCTCGTTCTGTGGGAGATCGCCCGCCGCTGCTACACACCCATATCGGGAACCAAGACAACTACCTGCGAGGACTACGCCCTGCCCTACCACGATGTGGTGCCCTCGGATCCAACGTTCGAGGACATGCATGCTGTTGTGTGCGTAAAGGGCTTCCGGCCGCCGATACCACTGCGCTGGCAGGAGGATGATGTACTCGCCACCGTATCCAAGATCATGCAGGAGTGCTGGCACCCGAATCCCACCGTCCGGCTGACTGCCCTGCGCGTGAAGAAGACGCTAGGGCGTCTGGAAACAGACTGCCTAATCGATGTGCCCATTAAGATTGTCTAAGCAGCTGTTTGTAGACTCGTTTTAGGTTTGACCTAAGTTGCATTTAGTTTTCTGTTTTCGTTCAACTCCTGTTGGATGCGTAGTTCCGACCTTTTGTCCGGAATTTCCTAGTTAGGTTCTAATCATAAGTTGCCTGTACTTGGGCGGAGCAAAGCAGAGGATCCTTCAGAGGTGCCTATTCTACGGTTACTTTAATCGTCGCACTGATTGTAAGCTAGACGCTAGATTTAAGTTGACAGGAGCTAGTTACTAAGGCCCCTTGCAAAATCTTTGGTTAGAAAAATGCTTTAACTATTTGAGAAATATAGGGAGTATGTATTTGGCCTATATATTTGGCCACCTATTCATGATGTACATAAGTATGAGAACAAAAATCAATTGAAAGAATCGAAATTTATATGTAACATACTTTAATTTTTGTGCCAGCTTTTGTACGCTTTAACTAAACGAGTTAAGAAGCCTATTTTCTGACCACCGAGGCTTTAGCCTCAACATAGAACATATTTTCGTGTGTTTTGTTTGTATCTAGTGTTTAAGAGAATACTTTGCAGACTTTGTGCAAGTAAATGCTGCCTTTTGTAAAATCCACGGAATTAGTTGCCTTAAGACAGAGTGTAAAGACAGGAGCCAACAGACAGAAGCCCGACTCCCTTCCTCCCCTTTAAGTAGCACCTTATATATATAAATATATATATACAGAGATATATAGAACTGGCAGTTTGGTATCTCGAGAAGTGCACTTGTGTCGGTTTTTGTTTTGTGTAAATAGCAAAGATGTTTATAGGCCGCTAACCATACAGATATATAGTATATATATTATATATTATCGTTATAAGCGATTCTGTAAATACTATATATGTATCTTTAACTGTAACCGTTTAACTTATATCTTATCGTTCTTATCATGTAACCTTGTTTAAGCTAGAGTTAGACGACTAGCCTGTAAGAGCAAAAAGTAAACTATATGAACTAGATGGATATGTTTCTTTCAGTTTTTTTTTCTGTTTCATTATTACTGCTCGCAGACCACAAGAACTAAAGTTTGTATTAAAGCGGTTAGTTAATTTATTTAAAAATAATAAAAAATTATAATTAAACCCAAAAGCTTGATTTTCTGTTGGTTTTATCAGCACTCGTGATTCCTCTACTCGCCCGCCATCATCTCCATGAATTCTGCGATCGAAAAGTGCCATAAGTAAGCATATTATTTTTGCGAGTTACTGGGATTACTTACCATCAAAGTCCACGGTACCGGATCCATCAGTATCAATCTCAGCGATGATGCCGTCCAGGTCGCTGGAGGAGAGCTTGTCGTCGAGGGCGGCGAGAATTTCCTTGAGCGTTGAGGTGGTGATGTAACCATTTCCCTCGCGATCGTACAGACGGAAGGCCTCTTTCAGCTCCTTCTGGATGGCCTCGGCATCCTCCTCCTCCAGGAAATGGGCGGCGATGCTGCAGAAGCCATCGAAGTTAACCTTGCCGGTGTCCTCCGGATCGTTGTCGTCGATCAGAGCCTGCAGTTCGCTGTCGTCGAACATCTGACCCATGCTGTTGAGGATCGTCTTCAGACGCAGCGTCTCAATGAAGCCCGTCTTCTGTGTGTCGAACATTTGGAATGCCTTGCGCATGATGTCCATTTTCTCGTCGTCCTCCTGCGGTTACCAAAAATTAGCCCGATCACATCATAAACGATTGCACAATATCCACCCGCCCAGGGAAATGCAAAAACAACACCCGATAGATACCATTTTGTATCTGTTGGCCAAGCGACAATTTGCGAGCGAGCGAGTATTCCAATCTCCAATGCGTTCCAACTGCGTTGGCCTGCGGGCGCGCACTAAACCGATCGCCTGGCCAAGATCATTATTTATAAACAACAAATTTCGCTTAGTGGAAGCGTCACTCATACGCAGCGTTGTACACCTCGTCGGCAGAGGAGCAGCGGAGCAGCGGAGCAGAGCATCCCATCCATGGGTTATTGTTGGTTTGGCTTTTCGGCAAAGCACTTTATTAACAGCCATTGGAATGTGAACCAGTGGGCACAGAGGTGGCGGTGGGCACAGCGGTGGGAGTGAAGGTGGAGGCGGATGCGCAGACTGATTCTGGCCAGACGCTGATCTAAATCAGATCAAAGTGTTACAGGTGCACTGCCTGTTGGTTCGCCTATTGGTTGGGTATCGGCTGCGGTTGGGTAAGGGACGAGGGTACTGATGCCTTAAGGTCGGCGGCAGAACGGCGACGTCATCTCCATCATCTTTGGCGCTGGCAGCCGGAAAAACGAGCGCACAACGCACGCCACAATTATGCAAAAGAGCAGCAGATACAACAGATACACCAGATACACCAGATACAGCAGATACAGCAGCTACGGCAGATAGAGATACAGATATAGGTACACCCTCGCATCCATATTTCTGCGAATGGAGATGTGTGTGTGGCCTGGTCCGTCGGTCACTCAGTCAGTCACTAAAAATCGACTATAAACGTCTTCACAATCAGTCACAAAATCAGTGCGATTTTCTCACGGTAATTGTATTTTTAGTACTTTATAGCAATTTTTGTCCATATGATCATCAGTGTGGGCCAGATGCCGATGGCTGGTCCACAGCCGATTCCACAGGCTCTTTGCCGTTTGCTGACTACTTGCTGGCTACCCAGCACCCATAGCCACTAGTGCTGCGGTTAACCACACACCCATCCTCTCCACTTTGGTCTCGAAAATGTTGATTTGGTTTTAGATTTTTGCTTTAAAACAAACAAACAGGCATTCAGGCTGGCAAATGGACATCACGCTAGATGGACAGGCCAATTGTGGGGGTGCTATGTATGTGGTTCTTTGGGCATGGGTTCGGATTTGGATGCGGATTTGGATGCGGATTCGGATTCGGATAGTTCTGTATGAGTGGGTAACCTTCCCGGCAACGGCATTTTTTGGCAAAGGCGCACAGTAGTCGCTTTGATGGTCATTTGAGTTTTATTATTTATGACAAAACGTGAAACACTTTTGGAATGTCCCAGGGAGCCGACGGAATGGTACAATGGGAAGGGGTTGGGTTGCGTTGCTCTGGCGACCACAGTGCACTCACACAATGTCACTTCGATTGTTTTTTGCATAATTCCCAATGCCCAATATGTGTATCTGTATAAATAGCCTGAGTGTTGGCCACACTCGTGGCAGAAGTTCTAATTCGAACGCTGACAGTTTGGTGGCATGAAATTTAAGGCTAGATTTACGACGTAATTACCACTGCAAATTTGTTTTGCCCAGGAGCGAAGTCAATGCGAGAAGGTGGACATGTTGGTCTTCATAATATTTTAACTGATATTTGACTTTATTTTAAATAATTGCACTTAAGCTTCAGTATTCCAATTCAAAGTAATAATATGTAATAATATATTTTGGCGCCCCAAGTTGGGCGCTTGGATATGAACACCTTTTGCAATTATAAAAGCTTTCCGGTTACTTATTCGGTTGAACGAAACGAACTTAATTAAAATAGTTTATGGAACCTAGAGCATATAAAGTTGGAAAATAAAATTATCAGAGGTCTGAAAGGAATCGCGGTACGATGCATAATATCTTGTCTTGGCTGGTTTTAATAGGTAATTCGGGCTGCCCTAACAATAAAGTCATAAAGTAATCTTGTTTTAGGCTTTGCATGTCTTACTCTCGTTGCTGGTTTTGTAGATGAGGAAATAAACTGTTTCTCCCTGCAAAACGAATTCTGTCCTAACGACAACATTACCTTTTGGCTCTACACGTAAGATGAATTCACATTGCAATGGTGTTCATTATTTACCTGAATCCACAGAAAAAAAAATCCACAAGGAAAGGAGCTTCCATCAGTTGGACTGCCTACTAATTCATTTGTTCCCCGCAAACCGCTCAAGGTTCTGATCCATGGCTTTAATGGGCACCGCGATTTCAGCCCCAATAACCAGCTGCGTCCGCTGCTCCTGGAACAAGATTACAATGTGCTATCCTTGGACTATTCAAAACTAGCCCATGAACCCTGCTATACGGAAGCGGTTCACAATGCCAAATATGTAGGTCGCTGCACTGCTCAGCTGCTGAAAAGACTCGTCAAAAACAGATTGATCAAGAAAGAGGATCTGCACCTAATTGGCTTCGGCTTAGGTGCCCATGTGGCAGGGTTCGTTGGCCAGTTTATTCAGCTGGAGCACATCACAGCCCTTGATCCGGCCAAACCACTTTACCTGGTCAACGATACGGCTCAAAAGCTCGATCCCACTGATGCCAAGTTCGTGGACGTTGTGCACACGGATGTGATGATGCTCGGCTTACTGGAGCCAGTGGGCCACGTGGACTTCTACTTGAACATGGGTGTATCTCAGCCCAACTGCGGACCCATTGATAAGAGTAAGTGGCGTTATGGCCATCTGTTGAACACATATTTTCCCTTTTCATGATTATACCTTCAGTGGAGACTCATTTCTGCTACCATAACCGAGCCGTAGAGTATTATGCCGAGTCCATTTCATCGCCCTCTGGATTCTATGGCTTCTATTGTCCCAATTTTAAGAGCTTCGCGACTGGCATCTGCGCTCCCGAAAAAAATATACAGCTTATGGGCTACCACGTCCGTTCGGAGTAAGTGCACGTACCTCATTTTTTCTGATCTCTGCTTATCCATATTATTGCAGAGCCAGGGGCAGGTATTTTCTGGAAACCAATAATAGTCCCCCATATGCCAAGGGGGCGAACTTTTCTAATTTGAACCGCCAACTAAAAGGTCGCACTTTCGTGAACGATGAAATCATAGACAAAATGTTTGAAACACAGTAAGGCTTCCCCGTTCCTAACAGCAATTTTTGTTTCATAAATAAACGTGGAATAATATAGGGCACAAACCAAGATAAATCTATATTATAGCTGCATTTTCGTGTAAAATGTTGGCTATTTCCAAACATTATTTCGGCCTGGTCCAAATATTCAGGTGAAATACTTTCGACACTCTGACATGTTCAGGTGAGTTTGGCCCACCTTCGCCATCAGCAGGAGCAGCCACACCGAAGACCACGTCAACAACTCGTTGGGCCAGGTGACAGATGCCAAGAAAAAGGGAAAGTTGCCGCCACTCAGTTTCAGCGTGTTTCGGTGTGCATGAAACTAAAATTGTATGGAAAGCAATTTCACGCGCCTCTGGCTGTACATTTGAAACGAAACATAATGGAATTCCTTGGTTGCGAGGGGCGGCAAGCGAGCGAATCAAATCGAAACTAACGCCAAACTAGCAGCCAAACAAGTGTTTGGCAAAGGCATTCCGTCGCCAAGAAGCGACGACAGCCGAGGATGTGACTCGACTCGAAGCGAATCGCATCGAATCGCATCGCATCGACTCCAAATCAAAGCAGCAGGCGACGGAGTTTGATCGATAAAAGTCAAGCGACGGAGTTAGGAGCGCCAAAAGTTGGGGCTAATCAGTATCAGAACGGTGTACATAGTTAGTTGGTAGTCAGTGGCCGAGTGGTAAACGAGTAGTGAAAACGGACGAGGGTTATCGGCATGGAGGAGCTGCAGGATGCTAGTATCCACCACATGACCGCCAAGGTAATCGCGGCCATCAAGAACACAAAGAGCTATGAGCCCATCTACAAGGAGCTGCAGAAGCTGGTCTGCAATCCCGGCGTGGACACCCACGATATGCGCAACACCCTCGAGGATGCCATCAAGAGCGCCGGACTGGAGACGGAGATCCGGAACATTGTCTTCAACTTGGTCCGGACGCGGCTGTCCAGGACAGATGACAAAAACCTGGCCAACAAACAGGGCGCGGTGCGTACCACTCTACTTTAATCTATTTGAATTCTCGTAATGGAACTTAGACTAATTGGATTGATATTTTAAAGTACTCCTTGGTTTTACTATCATTTTTTAGTTTTTACTTTATTGAACAAATTTCATTTCAAAGCTTAACGTTTATCATACAAATTGAAATGCTAGTTGATACCGAAAGATCTCAAGGTGCCACAACTATAGAGTTGTCAAATAGCTCGTTAGCCTTATGGACAATTGTATGTAGTCTTGGACAACTGAACTAAAAAGCTCCTCACTACATTTCGCAATAGAAACCCACCGTTAGTGATCCACTTGGTTACTTAAAACGAGCTGGTGTGCTTTGGGATCGCAGGGTTAGGAAGAGTTTGAATGCCATGTGCACAGAGCTGAAGGTTCCACTGCATGGACAACCGAGGATCAGTGCGGATCGCGAGGACTTTATGGCCAAGTGGAACGAGCTGAGCAACTACAATATGGGTGAGCATCTCGCAGGCATTTGAGCTGACACTTAATCTTGATATAACTTCCAGATCTGGCCAACTATAGGCCTGTTTACGCTCCAAAGGATCTACTGGAGGTGCTACTCTCGCTGAAAGGACCCGCCAAAACCACGGAAAATACAGAGTAAGTGTTGGTAAGTGTTATATCATAAACTTGGCTAATTTAGCGATTTCCTATCAGCCAAATCCCACAATGGGAGTTCTCTCACATTGCACTTCCTGTGAAAAACCTGTTCGAGCTGCGTGCCCATTATGCGGACCTGCTCCGCAGCGACAGCTACCTGGGAGTGCCGGATCTAACGATTCAGTGCCAGAGGATTCTGGAGGGCAGGCATGCGCCCATGTGCCAGCAGTTCCTGAAGAAGGGCTGCACCCCCGCACCCTATAGGGGCGCTCTATGGGCGTCTGTACTGGACAGCAAGCTGCATGACTATGTAACTACTGGTTTTGTGATCCATAACTGCTAAATACGTCTATATGCCCCCGAAGGATATTGAGTACTGGCAAAAACTGCGCAACGCCGTCTGGACCACGGATCATATCGTGGACAAGCTGGTGTTCAAGGACATTCAATTGACGGCCTCCAACGACGACCAGTACTTCGTGTTCGAGGACGTGCTCTACCAGGTGCTGCTCTGCTTCTCCCGGGACACGGATATCGGTGGGTGCGTGGAGTACGAGGCGTTTCCGGTGAAGGGCAAGACCTACGAGGGTCCTCCATCGGGCGTGGTGCCCTTCCACGGCATCTGCATGTTTGCCGCCCCCTTCTGCTATCTGTATGACTCGCCGGTGAATCTGTACTATACATTCCGGGCCTTCTACATCCGCTACTGCCATCGCCTGACCACCATCAACACTCATCCCCAGGGGATTGTGAGTCTGTGCCTGCTCTTCGAGAAGCTGCTGCAGACCTACGAGCCGCAGCTATGGTCCCATTTCCGGGAGCTCCAAATACAGCCGTGAGTTGGGATTGGCGTATCCTTGAGAATGCTACTATTTTACCCATTTTACTTCAGCCTGCGGGTCGTCTTCAAATGGCTCATGCGAGCGTTTTCCGGACATTTGCCACCCGATCAATTGCTGGTCCTCTGGGATCTGGTAGGAAATACGCCTCCGAACTGGTTGCTGGTACTTATCCCTTCCCTTTCAGATCCTCGGCTTTGACAGCTTGGAGATCCTTCCTCTGTTCGCCATCATCATTCTCAGCTTCAGAAAGGAGAGCATCATGCAGGTGGCCTCGTTGGACAGCATCGAAGCGATTCTGGCGGACTTGTCCTCCATCAAGGTGCTGCCCCTAGTGCAACTAGCCCTAAGTCGGGACTGAAGTGTGCTTTTCAGTTACAAATTTGAAGTATTATCGGTGTTTTGAAATATAATATGTGTGCAACTGGCTAAACTATAATTAACATAAAATCGCAATGTTGAATAACTATTTGCGTTCAACAAAGTCCAGCCAAACGCCGCCTTTTAAGGCAGCCATAAAGTAAGTGTCATCAATTGTATTATCCTGGCGCGTTTTGGGATTAACCTTGATGTCGAAGTTTCGCACGATTTCGACCAGGGCAGCTTTGATTTGGGTGACTGAAAACCGCATACCTGCAATGCAAGTTTTATTAATAACTCAAATTGTGCCAATAATTTGCTACCCACCGGGACAAATGCGGGGTCCATCGCCGAAACCAAAGTATACACCCTGATCTCTGTACTTCTTGGCGCCACCATTGATGTCCAAGAACCGCTCGGGATTGTAGGATTGGGGCTCCTCGTAGTATTGGGCATCGTTGTGCAAGGCGTTGATTGGAATGATGACCACATCTCCGGGGCTCAGTTTCACACTCACTCCGTTTTTGTTCGCAATCTCGTAGGGCTCTGTTACCACCTTGCGGGCCACCAGGCCAGGTGGGAAAATGCGCAACGTTTCTGGTGATATAGATGCAATTTCAATGGGCATAGATACAACTTCAGATTTGGCCAAAAACTCACCATGGATGCAGGCTTCGGCGAAGGGCAGCTCGCTTATCTGCTCATAGGACAGCTCGGTGGTACCGACCTCCTGCCGCAATTTCCTCTGCTCCTCAGGATTACGAGCCAGGAAGAGGAGCGTGTGGGTAAGCACTTGTGCGGTGGTCTCGAATCCGTCCGTTAGAAATGTCATGGTGTGCGAGGTCAGCTCCACCGCATCCAGACCCTTCTTCTCCTGCAACTGCAGCATGTAGTTGAGGAAGTCATCTCGCTGCTGGGCCGCCGGACTTTCCCGCCGCACCTGGATGCACTTCCTCATGATGTCGTAAAAGAAGTCAGCCACGTCCTTGGCAAACAGCGAAACGCTGTAGAACTTCGTGATCGGTGGCCACAGATTGGCGACCACCGTGTAGAAAATAAAGCCAAAAGACTGCTCGAAGACGCGCTTGGTCATGCCAACCATGGGTGTGGGATTGTCCGTGAAGCTCTGGGCGGAAATGCCCAGGACGCAATCGGAAATCACCTCGGTGGTGTAGCACAAGCAGAGATCCTTGGCATTCAGCCCGTGGGTGGGGGCCATTAGGCTCTGTCGCCTTATATACTCCACGAACTTTTTACAAACGCGCTGCGTGACGGGATAGGCAGCTTTGACCTTTTGGGGAGGCAGAGCTTTAATTGAGCACTTCAATTGATAAGGGTATCAGGGCCCCCACGAGATAAGTTTTTCATAGATTCGAGGGCAGCCTAAGCTTACCCGATTTGCCGAAAGTCCGGGTGTGACCTCAGCACGTCTTTCCTTCCACGCCTCGCCCGTCAATATGAACGGATTGTTCGACAGAATGGGATCCTTCTTGGTGTCGGTCTATTGGGTTAATTATCTTATGAGATGGGCTCCTAAAATCTGTAAGTTTCTACTCACAAACTTGGCCATCTCATTGTCGTGGAAGCTGCGGAAGTCATTAACAAATATCTTGTGCGCATACTCTGGAGTGGTGACCATTAGTTGTGGAATTCTGGTCTGGAACACTCCCACAATGCTATCGGTGTGCTTGTACTGCCTGTTGAATATGCAATTAGTGACCAGATAACGTGGCTATCTCTATGCATACTCGTAGATCTCATCGATGTCGTAGACCACGTTGCGCTTCTGGGTGAAAACGCTGGGAAAACTGCCCACAAAAGGCCACGACTTCGCCGTAGGAATGCCCCTCTGCTTCCAGTAGCCAAAGTTCCAGGTCAGAAAGACATAGATCAGGGCCAGAATGGCCGCAATCACCAAAAGAGCCGTGGAAATCGGACACATGGCACAACCACTCGCCAACGCGGATGAAAACGAACTGGAACTCAATTGAGCAGCCGCTGTCATTTAAATTGAACCTGCTAGTCAAGTGGATGGATTCACCCAGTAAACAAATTGATCAAACTGCCTTCACCACCTCTGTTAGTGCTGCTGTCGTAAATAAAATTGCACCATTTGGTGATAGTGCCTGATTACGGTATCAAGATCAAGGGGCCACTAGGTATGTATATTCCTAGGTCGCGGCCCACAAGTAGTTGGACAAAATTGTTAAGATAGGGCTACTTTTTGATATCATGATGATACTAATATTTCAGCTACTCATTTCGCAAAGTGCTTACACATATTGCCATTGAATTTGGTATGCAGTTAAAGATGCGGTTTAGGGGAGCTATTTTAAGGGCATAGATCCATTTAAAAAGCGGTGGAAGCTGAACGACATTGACCATTTAACAATAAAAATTAAATAAAATAACATTGCCCCGACTTTCAATACTCTTTATTATGCACAAATGAGTAGAACTGCCATTTGCGACAAAAGCGCAGGCGTAACGAACATAAAGGCGTATTCAGAAGGTCCTTCTACCTGTTGCATACTTTTCAAGGAATACAACATACCCATCTAAATTATACGAGTAATGGGTGTAATTACTCCGACAAACAATATGTGCAGCGCACTGATTAAGTGGCTAATCAAATTTTGTTTCTGATTTTATTTTTAATTGTCAATTATCTTATCATCACTTATAGCACTTCAGCTATCGCTCCGTAAATTCTAGCCAAATGCCGCCTTTGAGAGTGGCCCAACAAAAAGTGTCATTCAGTCGATTATCCGATCGCGTCTTGGGGTTAACGTGGATGTCGAAGCTTCTTAGGATCTCCACCAGAGCTGCCTTGAGTTGAGTTAAAGCGAATCGGATGCCTATGAAGAGATAGATTAAGTTATATGGCTGCTGGATCAATTTATGAAACGGCTGCTCACCTGGACAAATGCGGGGTCCATTGCCGAATGGAAGGTACACACCCTGATCACGATACTTTTTCACACCGCCATTGGCTTCCAGGAATCGCTCTGGCCTAAACTCATGTGGGTTCTCATAATACTGCGAATCGTGATGCAGGGAATTTACGGGTATGATGACCACGTCTCCGGGATTCAGTCGCAATGGGGATCCATTTTTGTTGGTTAATTCATATGCTTCGGTTACCAGCTTGCGAGCAGTCAACTGTGGCGAAAACAAGCGCAATGTCTCTGGAAATAGACAACATTCAATATAGAAAGCTCCAGCCAAAGGCAGATCCAATTACCATGAATGCAGGCTTCTAGGTAAGGCAGCTCGGTCAACTGCTCGAAGCTCAGTTCCGCCTTGCCAATCTCATCCCGCACCTTTTGCTGCTGCTCGGGATGACGAGCCAGCATTAGGAGGGTATGTGATAGCACCAAAGCTGTGGTCTCGAATCCATCAGTGAGGAAGGTCATCGTATGAACGGTGAGCTCGGACTCATCCAGACCCTTCTTCTCCTGCAACTGCAGCATGTAGTTGAGGAAGTCATCGCGCTGCTCTTCGGGTTTCTCGCGCCTTAATTTGAGGCACCTGCTCATGATGTCAAAGAAAAACTCCTCCGCCTCCTCGTTGAACAAAGGTAAACTGTAGAATTTGCGAATTGGCGGCCAGATGTTGGCGAGCACGCTGTATAAGATGAACTTAGAGGATGAGTTAAACACCCGCTGGATCATTGCCACCAGGGGAGTTGGGGTGTCCGTGAAACTCTGCGCGGATATGCCCAGGACGCAGTCGGATACCACTTCGGTGGTGTAGCAGAGGGACAGTTTCTTGGCATCCAATCCCTGGGTGGTGGCCATCCGCTGCTGTCGCTTTATGTAGTCCACAAACTTTTTACAAACACTTTGCGACACTGGATACACGGCCTTAACCTGCGAATTTGGTAATATTAGTAATAATTATAATCGATAGCCACTTTTGTAATATTCTTACTCGATTGAGCGACAAGCCCGGCGTGATTTCCGCCCTCCTTTCCTTCCACTCATCGCCTTTCAGGATAAAAGGATTGTTGCCCAGAATTTTGTCCACCTTTTTGTCCACCTAATGCAGTATTCGTTGTGGAACTACAGTTCTCCACACAATATGTTTCTACCTACGAAATTTCCTCTTTCATTGTCGCGGAAGCTACGGAAGTCACTGGCATAAATCTTGTTGATATATTCCGGGCATATCACCAGCAGCTGGGGACGTCGAGTGGTGAACACACCCACCATTTTGTCGGTTTCCTTGTACTGCCTGCGAATGAAACACAATGTATAATCGATTGGATGTAGGAAATATTGCATCTTATAGCACGTACTGATAGATGTCATCGATGTCATAGGCAACGTTACGCTTTTTGGTAAACGTGCTGGGAAAACTCCCCACAAATGGCCATGATGCAGCTGTTTCGATGCCTCTCTTTCTCCAGTAATCGAAATTCCAGGTGAGGAATACGTAGACCAGGGCCAAAAACCCGGCTATAAGGAGCCACATACAGAAGATAGGACACATTGCACAACCGAACGCTTCGCCATGCGAAGCTCAATTGAACGAATTCAACCCCAATTGAGCAGTGCCAATTGAACCTGAGTTACGTCATAACAAGTGTTATCCGTAATTCTCTTGTACGTGTACGTTGTTAAAAAATGTAAGTTTTTTTATTTTTTATAAATTTGTATTTTAAAATGCAAAGTAAATCTTAAATCTCGCGATAATGGGGCAGAAAGTAAAATGTTGCGCACTAGCAATCGAACTTGTTGCACATGGGGCATCACTGTCGAACACGGTTTGATCGAACCACACTTTTTGTATCATCCGCAACATTTCCATTTATACTATTTTCATCAGTCAGCTTTGATTGATTTAATTGGTAGAACGATATTGTTAATTATCATGCCTCATCAATTTATTATTTTGAGTACGAAATTCATCTTAGTAAGATGGTTTATGTTTCTGAAACATCAAATAATAACGTACGTGTAGGTATAAACTGATACACAGCTGATGTGATAATGTTGTAGAAATTCAAAAAAAAAAAAAAAAAAAAAATCCGCATATAAATTTATTTACCATTTGAGAAGTGCACTTCGAAAATCCGGTGCGTGCGATGGCATCTTAGGTAGCCCGTTTGAGAAGCGCAGAGGAGGGATCTTCGAAAATCCAGTGCGTGCGATGGCAGCTTACGTAGCCCGTTTGAGAATCGCAGAGGAGGGCTCTTCGGAAACGCGAAGTTCTGCAGCTGCTTAGGTAGCCCATTTGAGAAATGCACTTCAAAAATCCAGTGCGAGCGATGGCAGCTTACGTAAACCAATTGAGAAGCGCAGAGGAGGGCTCTTCGAAGATCCACTGCGTGCGATGGCAGCTTACGTAGCCCGTTTGAGAATCGCAGAGGAGGGCTCTTCGAAAATCCAGTGCGTGCGATGGCAGCTTACGTAGCCCGTTTGAGAAGCGCAGAGGAGAGCTCTTCGGAAACGCGAAGTTCTGCAGCTGCTTAGGTAGCCCATTTGAGAAATGCACTTCAAAAATCCAGTGCGAGCGATGGCAGCTTACGTAAACCAATTGAGAAGCGCAGAGGAGGGCTCTTCGAAAATCCAGTGCGTGCGATGGCAGCTTACGTAGCCCGTTTGAGAATCGCAGAGGAGGGATCTTCGAAAATCCAGTGCGTGCGATGGCAGCTTACGTAGCCCGTTTGAGAATCGCAGAGGAGGGCTCTTCGAAAATCCAGTGCGTGCGATAGCAGCTTACGTAGCCCGTTTGAGAATCGCAGAGGAGGGCTCTTCGAAAATCCAGTGCGTGCGATGGCAGCTTACGTAGCCCGTTTGAGAAGCGCAGAGGAGGGCTCTTCGAAAACTAGGTGCGTTCGATGACAGCTAAGGTAGCCCGTTTGAGAAGCGCAGAAACTTTGTGGCACGCCCACAAATATTCTTTATTCTATACATATTCTATAAATGTGATATTCTTTCACTTTTTTATATACCTTGTAATTTCTGTAGATTTGCCAAACAACTTTTTGCCACGCCCACAAACCACACAAAACTCTTACGCCCACACTTTTAAAAATTTGTTTACTTTTTTAAATTGTATTATTTTTTTTTCCCAATTTCTACCGCTATTCCAGAAAATGTTTACATTTCTCGTTTGCACTTCTACTAGCTAAGTAACGGGTATGTGATAGTCGGGGAACTCGACTATAGCATTTTATCAAGTTTTTTCTTAGATTTTAAATAGTTTTATTTTGTCATATGTTACCGATTAGATTGAAATCAAAATATTCCAAACGTTAGGTTATATAGTGCTGTATATCCCAACATATAAAAAGACAATAAATTATTTGTTTGTTTTTTTTTAATAATCATAATGCATATAAAGGTACAGTTGTTCACAAGAAAGGAAATCTTAAAATGCTACATAAATAATATTAACTTGACAACGGCTAATTATTTCATAACCAGATAGAAGCAGCAAAATACACAAATTTAACATTTAAATCAAACTTAATTTTATACATAGTAAATCGTTCATAGGCCTACTAAATAAATGTATGTATTTTTTCAATAATTGCTCAAGCGTTAAATAATAAAAAATAGTTGTAATAAACAAGTTGGATAAGTATAAGGCAAATATAATTAGGTTTATCAAAAAATATTAACAACATAATAGGTATTTTTACTGGATGGACTTACGTCGCTTGTCAATATGCAAATTGCATTTTACGATTTTTTTTGTTTTTTTTTTTCAAAGAATTAATCTCTTTCAGGAGTTTCTTTCTATTTTTGTATACGCATTTTACATTTTTTCTTTATACAGAAAATTTGTAGGTTGGTTTAGCACCGGCATAGGACACTTGCTTCGTTTTGTTCAATGCTCGTGGCACGCACGTTTTCCATATATTTTTTCGAGAGTCGGCTTCGATGGTAAAAGTCTATTGGTAATTTGGAAATGAGTTGTCAGGAATGCTTTGAAATGTCTAGCCCCCAATGTGCGGATGGAGTTCAAGGATTGGATTCGAACACAGTGTCCTGTGGCTGGCGCACTGGTTGCTATCTCATCTATCCCTTGGCCGTGGGAGAGATCTTGGCCTTGGGCAGAATGATCCTTTGACAGGGGGGCTTGAGGAGCCGGAGTCCAAGTGGTGGCCTATGCCCCCGGTTGACAGCATCGCCCTGAGTTTGGGAGAAGGACGCGCTGCAAACTGGGGACATTGGTTACCAAGCAGATATGCCGGCTATTGGTCTATGTGGGTCATGATTTGTCTTGGGATTCGATTGCTTTTCTAGGCCATCGCAGGCAGCGGAAACTTGAGATCATATCCTGCAAAAATGTTCCACGAAATTCACAGGATACTGATCGCAATTTTCGTGCTGCCCAGGAGCTCTCTATAATGGAAAAACGTGCGGTGATGAGTAAAATGTTCGTGTGCGTATTTTGATTTCGTTTTTAGCTTAGATATTTTTATATACAAAATGTTTGGGTTCTCTATAGTTTTTCTTGGGATCATATACGTGGGTATATATGAATATATAAATTGTTTGCTGTGCAAATATATATGTATAATGTATATATCGTTTTACAAAAGGTTTTCGTTACTTGTCGTTAGTTTGAATAGTTAGTTCATTCATTTTCTTGTTCAATTCATTCACGTGTTTCATGTTCGGCTTGTCGAGTCTGTTCTGTTCAGTAGGTTATATACAAATTGGTTGATTTATTAATGCCTCTAGCTATCCAATGATTATAAAATTACATACAATTACAAAATGTGATAAACTACATAAATGTACAACTCTTCCTTTTCGTTATTCAACATTTTTTTGTTCAAATTTTTCTTACTTGAAATTTAGCTTACAAAAGGCATTTTCAAAACTGCGCTCTGGCGTTCATTGCATTGGACTTATGTATCTTGGGTTTGGGGTTTCTTGACTTTCTTTAGATCGTTTCATTGCACGAATCCGATTGCAACGCGACCGCTTTACGTTGGTGGCGGTCCGTGGGGATACGACAACATGGGCTCCAGGCTGCGCGCGAAGGTGTTGGAGAACATACAGGTGTAGTCCTCACCGTGGGGCACCAGAGTGGCCACACCGAGCAGCAGCAGCATGAGCGCCTGAATGGGCAGCGAGGCACGTGCAACGCGGCCTAGGAACCGTGCACCGCGTGCCAGAACCGTGGTATTGATGACATCGCCATCGACAGCATCGCCGCCATCGGTGTTGCTATGGGTTGGAGATGCAGATTCATTAGCTAATGCTTAGTATGATTGAAAACACAATGCAAGTCATGCAACTAATGGGTTACAAACTATGTGCTCTTTTCAGTTCAACTATAAAGTGCACATGTTCAAAGAAAAATACGTTTTAAACTACGATGCATGTGAGGATCAAGAACTTAAAATCAATTTCTATAGATATTTACTTTGCATTTTCTGTGTTGGGTGCGGCGGCCTGCATAGAAGAGGTTGATAATGTAGTATTATCCAAAAGCTATATTTGCCATACAGAAAGGAAAGAAAAACAAATAAATTATAAATTATAAATAATAAAAATCATAAGTCTCAATGGTTTTCATATTTTCTCGTTCGACTGCCAATTGGTTTCACTTACTTCTGGTGCGCTCACAAATCAACAAATCAAAATTATTTTATATTTTTTTTTTTTTGGGACAAATCATGTTTTTGAACAGGAAACCAAGATGGTGTTGGGCAATGGAAAGGACTTGGACTCACCTCACTGGACAACATGTGCAGTGGCACGCCGAGATTGTCGCCCTCGTAACCGAGGACGGCACCCAGTTTGACGATATAGATGCCGGATAGACGACGCAGGGATTGGAGACGCAGCCGGAGATCGGTCAATCTGGAAAGGGTTCTGGAGCATTTAAAACATTTGCATGGGCCCTTGGCGGTGTATGTTGGATGGAGGGTTAGAATGGGCGGACGAAAGAATTTTGAGTACCAAAAATACAACACAAAATAATATACGCAACAAAAACGGCAACACAAAATTTGTGTAGAGGCAAAAATAAATGATCGATTGATACGATTGATTTGTATATAGTTGAGAAGTAAAAGCTGAAATACAATCTACTAGATCAAATGGTTTACATAAGGATTAGCTGTAGAAGGTTCCAAACGCTTAGTTATCCTTGCGGATATTTTAGTATAATTTGGAAAGAATTTTGATGGGGAAGCTACCGAAAGGGTTTTGGTGGATAGTGCACAATGGAAGGATATTTGGATGGTTAAAGGGCAAGCCGAAAAACTTGATAGAAAATAGAAATAGGAAATAGCACTCGGGTAAATTATATAAAAACGAATACGAATTGGATTCTACAAGGAGTTGGTAGAAAGGGCACAAATTATCTACAGTTTCCCAACGATCATTGCATAAAACTAGTCAAATGAACTAAGAATACCAACTAAAACCATATAACATACAGAATTTAATTGTTTTCCGCCCAACTAACTCTGAGACCCTTCCAGGCCCTAAGCTCAAGCGGCACCCACGAATCATTTCGTTCCGCCCTCGGAACCGGCGCACTGGACACCTTACCTCTCGTAGGTGTGTTGGGATTGCTCCTCGGAGCCCTCGACGGAGCGGAGCAACTGATCGGCGGCATCCTGCAGGCTGACCACTCGAGGCTCGCACCTCTCCAGTTCGGCTCGCAGATCCTTGAACTTCTTGAACTTGCCCTCCAGCACGGAGCGCTCCTCGGTGAGATCGACGGGCTCGGAGGCCTTGATGTTCTGCTCCGTGCGCTGCAGCCAGTCCACCAGCTCATCGATGGTCTGATGGAACTCGCTGTTGCCCATCAGGGCGGTCTGGAGAAGACCCTGCCATTTGGTGGCATTGATGCACACATTGTTCCAGCGCTCGTTGTCCGCCTCCAGTCGAGATCGCAGTTGCCGCGCCTTCTCGGTATCCAAAGTGTGCGTAGCCAAGTGGTCGCCAACCACATTCAACGAAGATATGATGGACTTGTGGCTCTCCAGATCCAGCAGGAACTCGCGGTGGTCCTGCGTGACGTCCTCCAGCAGCTCGATGTTCGAGGGCGGTGCCGACTGGGCCTTCTGGGTGCTCTCGGCGAACTGCAGCCACTGCTCCAGGCGCCACAGATCGTTGTCGATCTGCTGCCAGTTTCGCTGTGTGCAGAGCGGACACGTTAGCCGGCCGACCTCGCTGGAATTGGCCATAAAAGTGGGTAAATTAGTTATGGAACAATCATGGAAGATAGCGACTAAGATGGTAATCGATTAAATGTTAGCTTAGCTTGCCTCGCCAAAGTCCATTGCCTTGGCTTTAAGGCTAACTTAGGCAGTTAGGCTGGTTACTCCCGACCTCTTGCTGTGCGCCACCTTGGAGACTGGCGGCCATTTGTGGTCCGCTGCCAGCTTTTGTCTAGTGGACACCCACATAGAACACGGATCACAGAGCATAGGTGGGGTGCAAACAGCAGGAGGTCGACGGAACGGCCCACCGACAGGTAGTTACACTTACTGGATGCAGTTGTACTTGTAGGATGCAGGTAGGTGGCACCTGGTGTCGTCATGAATGCGCAGGTTCGAGTTAAGCATGGGTAAGTTTACATATTTGAGTGTATTATGCGTGTGCGTGTTTTGACATGTTTAGGAGAAAAGTGGGCAACAGCGAGATGGAAAGCAGTAAAACAATTGGTTAGTCAAGAACAGGCCCAAATCACCAACAGAAAATTTAATATGCTCAAAACTTGCCAAGCCGAACGATATGTTTAAATATAATGTGGACGAACTCAAGTCATCTGCTATAATATAATGCACTATTCAGGATGCCGTTCTTCCCTACTACAAAGTTGTTATGGGAGTATTTGAGACACAAATGGGCAGGGATATACCCAAATATGCCACTTTGACTCCGACAATTCTGGCTTGGCAAGCCTCTTACAAAATATCCCAACAAATATGTAGATAATTGGTGTATAATCCTACCTTGCATTTTGATCGTGCTGCTGTCGCGCCTTCCACTGCGATTGCAGTGTATCGAAGCGCAACGTGAGCTCTGCCACGGTGTCCACCTCGGCAGCCTGGTCATCCGCCTTGCACTCGGTGAGGAGTAGATGGCTGAGATGCCTCACCAGCTCGGTGGAGGACTGGGCGTTGCCCAGCAGCTTGGCGATCTTCTGTGGACCCGGCTTGCGGGTCTTGTCCACCACCGTGCGCTGCAGTTCGTCCAGATTGCTCTGGCACTCCGCGATGGCCGTCTGCAGTTCCATGATGTAGGCATCCTTGGCCGTGATGGAGGTTTCCCTCTGCATCTGCTGGGCCTGGCGCAGTTTCCGCTGGGACAGGGTGTTAACCTGGACGGCGGCATTGGCTGCTTCATTGACCGGCAGCGAGGCGGCTGCCTGTGCCGCTCGGGTCAGCCAAGTGGTCTTGAGGGTCACAATGCGGGTCTGGACAGTCTGCCAAAGGGTGGTATAGGCGGACACAAGTTCCAGCAACTGCTTCAGCTGGGGCTGCTGCTTGGTCCTGGTCTTGGCCTCCTGGGCCAGGTTATCCGCCTGCTGGACATGCTGCTGGGCGTCCTGCAGCTTCTTCTCCAGGCTCTCCAGTCGTTGGAGCACAGCTTTGGGCTGCGCCTTTGAGGTCTGCTGATCCTCCACGCTTGGCAATTGTTCCAGGGCCTTTTGTATGGCATTCAGGGAGTTGGTGGCCTCCAGTTGGGCGTTGTTGAACTCTCGCATTAGCTTGGCATCCTTGTCGATGGCATCCAAGAGGGCATGACAGCGTGGCGTCAGCTGGCGCCACATGCTCACCATTACCTTGGTGGGCAGTGTCAGTTTCTGGATGTTCTCCGGCTCCACGCCAGCGCTCATGGTCAGCTTGGCATAGATCTGCTCCAGCTGGCGAAGATTCACCGACTGGCTTTCCAGCTCCTCCAGCTTGGCTCTCAGTTCCTGCTGGCGCTCCTCCAGCTTAGGCTTGCTGTGGGACTTCTGATCTCGCTCAAAGCCGGCAATTTGGCTTTCCTGTTTTCCCAGCCAGTTTTTGTGCTCGGCAGTGAGCTTGATGAGCTGCTGGAGAAGATTCCAAATGGTCAGGATGCGAGCCTTGCGTTCCGCCGACTGGCTGCACACATTCTTCCAGCGCTGCTCCAGATTCTGAGCTGATGCAGCTAGTCCGGAAGTGTTCACCTGCGTGCGCCAGCTGTCCGCGTCGTTGAGGAGCATCTCTACGAGATTTAGGACCTCGCCCACATTGCTGCTGTGGTGCTCAATGGAGCGCTGGATTTGCTCATGCTCCTTTAGCTTGGCCTCGATCACATTCGGTGTGTAGCTCTCGAAGCTCAGGGGTTTGTCCAGTTGGGACTCCACTTCGAAGAGCCAGGCGCGAATCAGGGCGATTCGCTCCTCCAGCCGGAGAAGTGTCATCTTCAGCTCGCCTATCTTGGTGGCCTTCTGCTTGGCCAAATACTTGAGACGCTGCCAGCGATCGATGAGGGAGTCACTCTGCTGCTGCACCTGGGATCGCACTTCTGGCTCGGAGTAGAGGCTGAGCAGTTCCCTGCTGGTGGATAGCAGCCACTCGCGTTCCTTGTCCCTCAGCTGCAGCTCGGAGTTTACTTGCTGCTCCAGCTGCTTGGCTGCCTGTTCGGGATTCGTCATGGCAGTGACATCAGCCTCCTTTTCCACACGCTGCTCCAAACGCTGCAGCCACTGGGAGATGCGATCGTATCGGATTTGATAGTTGGACAGTAGGGAAAGCCGCTCCTCAATGGAGTTGATCAGGTTGGCCAGCTGGTAGTCCAGATCGGCGTGCTGCTGCCAGAGCAGCCAGTTCCGTTGGCGAATGGTCTTCATGTCGTGGGGACTGATGCACTCCTTGAGCTCCTCCTGGGTCACAGTGAGACTCTCCAGCGCGGAGACTTGGGCACCAAGTTGGACCCTCTGCGCACGTAGGGATCCCAGAAGTTGCTCAATGGCCGCCGGTTGAGTGGGCAGGGATTCGCTGTTGGCATCCAAGAGCTTCTGAGCTGCGCCGAATTCCTGCTGCAACTGGTTCACTCGCTGCTCGTAGCTGTCCGATAGCTGGGTGACGCGCTGCAGGAATCCTTGCCAGGTCTTGAGCGCCGCACGGAGATTGCTGATTCGCTGGCCAATGCTGGCCTGCTCCATTCGCATGGCGGTGGCCAGCGCGTCGTCACAGTGCCTGGCCAGCTCCTGCTGCTGCTCCTGCAATGCCTTGCTCTGCTGTTCTCCCTGCTCCAGCTGCTGAATCATCGCATCCAAGCGGTGCTTCAGGTGGGGCACTCGCTTCAGGTGAATGTAGCGCAGTTGGAGGGCATTGCGCTCCGCTTCCCGTTGACGCAGCCAGTCCAAGAGGGCCGCCAGCTGCTGGCGGTAGGCATTCCAGCCACTCACCCGCCGTTCCAGCTCACCATTTCGCTGCATGATCCGCGAGAGGGTTTCATTGTGCAGGTTGGTCAGTGCCTTGTACTGCTCCGATAGCTCCGATTCCAGTGGCGTTTCGGAAAGCACACTCTGCTGCGAGATGAGCAGGTTCTGGTGAATGGCGCACAGCTGCTGCTGCTCACGCAGGCTGCTGTAATCCTCGGGTATGGCGCAGGACAGGAAGGACTGGACGTGCTGCAGGTACTGCCGCCACAATCGCAGTGCCTCCGAACTGTTTTGGCTGCGGGCGAGTCGCGTGGACAGGCGATGGTACTCCTGGAAGGTGTCCTGGAATATCTTCTGCCACAGGGCCAGAACCTCCAGGATGCCGTCATCATCGCTGCCGGCCACCGATGGCGCCACTTCGCTGTTCTGATGGCGCTCCTTCAGCTGACGCAGCTGCTCTTCCGTTCGCGCCAAAGTCTGGAGATGCGCTCGCAAAGCGGCCAGCTGCTCCTCGCTCTCCTTGGGCGTTTGTGGTGCCTCTCGGGCCATGTCCTGCAAGGAAACAAACCCAAATATCATTATTTATTCATACGCAGCGGTCAGCTCTTAGCATTCTTCGTGCATCGCTAATTGGCCTGACCCCAATATGGTTGCTCGGATGTCTCCGGTTACCATTCGACCGCTGTCCACTGCATGGCTTCCACGACAATGGATTTCGGTGTGGCCCACTGCAACTCTTTCCGCCAACTGGCAATGACCTCATGCCAACGACACGCGCTCCCAGTGGCCAACTTCAATTGTCTGACGGGGGCCAAAGTGGGCGGTGGAGTTGGCTTGGGAGTGGAAAGGGGCGGGGGAACGCCAAACTGGTTGGCATGTGCCATGCAAATGAGCCCACCGTGGAGCAAGGTGGTTGGAAAGTTCCATCAAAAATGCCCAGTTTGGTACGTTAATTTGTTAGGCACTTGCATCTGATCAAAGAAATCGTTTGCTTATATTTTTTGAATGAATCGTTAATCCAACCAAGCTTCCGTTTATTTGCATGGTGCTTGTGATAGAGCTTCATAGCTCTTAAAAAAGCGCTTATCAAATAATTTAGTTTCAGTTATTTCATAGAGTGCTCAGCTTCCGTTCCTTAGGGAAGTGATAAATGATTTGTTTGATAAATAATAGTTTGTTTTTAGTCCACCATAACTTTCCTAACCACAAAGACCAAAGCAAAGGCCGTACATCCTTATATCCCTAAGGTCATCAAATATTTACCATCCTTCCCACAGGGCAAGTGTCAATTACGATTTTATAAGTTTTCACTGAGGAACCGTACTCTAAAAATTTATATTCGCGCCTCTTATCAATCAATAATGATGGGGAGGAGCACTGGGACCACGGTGGGTGGGCTGCCAGCCACGGTACACAAAAACTTTTTCAACTTTTAACCCACTTAAAATAGCATGTCCTTCGTATTGGATTAACAACTACAAGCCACAAGCACAACAAAAACACCTGCCGGCTAATCGGTATACGTTAGTGTGGGAATTTCCACACGCCAAAGCCAAACTGGCATATGCAGAATATCCATCAATTCGACGCCACAATCGATAGCTGGTCAGGATGGCTGGGTCTAATCCCAGCGAGATACACGCCGTGTGCTACCATGATTTCATTGATTTCATTCATTTCGATCCCTCGATCACTCACCTGCTGCACATTGCTGAAGTAGGCCTTGGCCAGAGTCACCTCCTTGTCGAGCTCCTTGCGCTCCTTGTCCTGCGTCTCGGCCACGTTGGCCAGCGTGGTGATGGCATCCTTGCACTCGGCCAACCGCTGGCCCAGTGCGTCCAGCTCGCCCTGCATGAGGGCCGAGGCATCCAGGCCCACATCGGCGGCGATCTTGGCCACAATGTCGCGCAGCTCCAAGATTCTGTCATTCTGGGTCGTCAGGTTGTCTTGGCACACCTGTGCGAATGTAGAGAGATGGAGAGCAAATCAGCTAATGAAGACCAGGGTCCACTCAATTAACACGTGTTTGTTCTCCCAAACAAGTTATTAGTTTAAATGCCCCCCAAACAGCAGTCAGCTATCATCTATCATTCCCTTTGCCATTTGCCAACTATTTCTAATGTTTTCCTTACTTTCTCGCCAGCGAAAAGCTCTTTCTGAATGAAACAAGCCCCAATTACATGGGATGCCCGGCGAAATGTCACTGGTTTATATTTAACTCGACGACGGAAAGTATTTAGCTCAAGCCGGCCGGGCTGGCGTTCCATTTCGTGCCGCAGACCCTTATCAATTGTGATGTCGAGTGCATTTCCCTGCTCGGCAATTGTAATTAGGGCCGCGGTTTTTCAATTCGGGGGAAAAGCGGGTCGCCACTTGCTAAGTTCTCTAATTCTTTGTAATGCGTGCCCTATGATATCATCTGCCAAGTATTTGGCGATGCTTTATCACGGCGCTAGATGAGCAAACAAACGCTTAGGGAAGTGACATTGAAATACCAACATAGATTAAGTATTAAGAAATGGATTTGACTATCTTTCAACATGTATCTTCTTTCGGAGCTCTAGGCATTTGCGGACCTGTTCCCGCTGTTCTTCGACTGCTGATAAAGCTGCTATGTGTGTATATAAGACTACATATAATATAGGAAAATATAGCAGCAGGGTTGATAAACCCTCCTGTGTGAAATGACAGTTGGCTGTCCGAAAATATAATTACACCAACGAGTATAATATAATGACCCTAATGATCAATAAACACAAACGGCGAGCCGAGTATGCGTAAATTTTTTAAGTAAATGCCGCAGAAGAAATCGTACGTCGATGTCGGTTTATTTACCCAAATCATAATTTATGACACAAACACAGCGGACCAAGTTAACTCGCATGTGTACATATACGGCGGAACTATTACGAACCCATTACATTGACGCGCCCAAAAAAATTGATAGGGCGAGCACTACGGAGAAAATCAATGTAATTACTAGGTGGAACACCCGCGGCTCTAGTGGCCAATTAAAGAGCCCCGTTTCTGTCCCAGTTTGCCGCCAAAAGGAATGTGCACAGTCCACCCAAGTTGGCTTCATTAGTGATAAACTATACAGATCCTCCTATCTAGATATCTTAATTTCTCAAAAGATTAAAAAAACTTACAGGAAATGTGTCGTCAGAGTTATGAATACTAAGAATAATATTATGATGTTGAAAAAGAATAACCTGATTATATTTGTATTTGGAATGCACAGATATTAGCCGATTTTCTGTGCCCGTTCAATGGTCTTTTCCGGTTCGATTTTACCCATGTGACAACCAGGTCGTTGGCATCACTGTCGCCCACACGCGATACACATCACTCATACGACCCGTTGCCGGACGGGTCACGGCATTTGGGGGCACACTCACCTTGGCGTGCTGCAGGGCATCCAGGGGCTGCTCCAGCGACTTGACCGTATCCATCTGCTGGTCAATGGAGCTCTTAACGGCCGCGGAGGCGTTGCGGTACTTGTCCCACAGTTCGACGGCTCTTTGGTAGCGGGTTCGCAGCTGCTGCAGGTTCTCGCTGGTGTCATTCCAGGCGACTACCGCCTCCTGGACAGCGGACTCGATCTGCTCCACAATCTGGACATCGCAGCTCTCGATCAGCGGCTTGGCGGCGCCCTTCAGCTCATCGATCAGTTGCTCGCGGTTCTGTAGATCGCCAGCCAGTCCCTGCGTTGGGTTAGTTTACCCGGTTAAAGATAGATTAGTCTAGTTGTATGTGGGATTGCGACCGCGACGGGAGATACGCGCTCGGTTCGAAGTTAACGTCAACTGCGGCCACGATGAACTTGCAACGTAAAGAGCCCCACATGCGGCGGGAGCTTACGAAAAGCTTGGGGAAAGTTCGACGGCGGACAGCTTTTTAACATTACATTCAACCCGAATTACCGTAAATTACATGGGAAGCTTTTCTCGATTTCGAAATTACAACGACTAAATTGAATAATAATGTAACTTTTATTTTAAAATTTGGTTTTAGAATCTAGAAAATATTTTCTCTTGTTTTAATCACAGAACAAGATAGCTGTTTTCGACTCGAATGCCGGAAAATGATTGGTGCGCGTCGCAAAAATGTTGCTGATTTTGTACTGATTTTCCCCTGGGAAAACCAAGCGATAAGCAGTTCCGCTTGGCAGGTAGCGAGTTATGGAACAGGCAGCAAGATACGAACGTATCTGAGATACAAATCGATCCCTAACCGCGCCCGTCAACAAAGTCATAAAATGGAGGGCGGAAAACTTACCTCCAAACGTTCCGTGGCCTTGCGAAGGCGCTCGTAGTCGACTTGACCGTGCACCCGGATGAGCTCCATCATGAAATCGGTTTCCTGCACGGATCCGTGGACCAACTCCAGCTGACGCTCATAGCGCAGCCAGACGGCCAGTCGGCTTCGCAGGATGGCCATAATGTTGGTGCACTTGCTCTCGAGGAAGGCGTGGTCGTCCTGCAGTTGGGAGATGTCCCTCTCCAACTTGACCGGCGAAACGGACATCTTGAGGCGCATGGGCAGGGTGTGGAGCATCTGGCGGATGCGCATGATCTCCTGCCAGCTGATCACCAGCTCCTCGCCGGCGGCCTGGCAATCGGCGACGGCCTTTTCGAGGACATCTGCTCCCTGGCGCTCGGCGGCTTCACATTCATCCAGTATGACCGAGATCTTGGCCTGGTGCTTGCGTTGATTGCTAATGCCCTCCTGGATGGCCTGCAGCTGGTCGCGCAGCACAGATGCACCCTCCAGCTCCTCGGCAATCTGGGTGCTTATCTTGTGGGAGAGCGAGAACAGCTCACCCACTTTTTCCGGCTCAATGGCGGGCTCCTGCAGTCCAATCCTGCCCAGCTCGTTGCCAATGAATCCGACGCGAGTGCGAAGTACTTGGACTCGCTCGATGTACAGGCAGAGCTCCTCCTCGTTCTTGATGACACCCTTCATGCTGGTCATGGTCAGGTAGATCTCCTGCAGCTCTCGCTCCACCATTTTGAGTTTCTCGTCCGCGGGCACATCCTCCGACGACAGGCACTCCACAATGTTGTGCTGGATGAGCTCGATGGCCTGGGCCACGGCCTGCCAGCGATCCTCCAGCTGGGCATGGAACTGCCGCTGAAGCATCTCGTCGGCCAACGGGATGACCTGCAGGGACTTCTCAAAGCTCAGACCCGTATCGGTTCTCACATTATTGTGCAGCTCGAAACGGGCCTTGATCTCCCAGAATTGACGCATGTGCTCGATGGGCTGGTGAGTGGGCTGCGAGGGTATCTGAATGTTCCTCAGTTCCTGCTCCGCCTCGCGCACAAAGGCCTCCAGCTTATCCGTTTGCTGTTCGTACTGCACCCAGATTTCCTTGAAGACCAGAAGGCGGTGAAGGTAGAGAGCAACTTCCTCGCGCAGTTTGAGTAGCACTATCAGTGCCTCATTGGTTTCCTCCACGAGATTGGGCGCCTGCACCAAATGCTGCAACTTGTTGGCGATTCCCGAAAGCTGTGTCATTTTCACATAGTGATGTGAGATGTCATTGCTCAGGGATTGGTACAGGGTGGTATACTGATCGTAGTCCGCGGAGGTTACGGCAGACAGGTCGGGAACTCGTTGCTGAGCCACCTGGAGCCACTGTAGTTCATCCCGCATGCCCTTCTCCAGCACAGTCCAGCGGGAGGCAGCTTGCACCAGTTTGGAGGACCTTTCGGATGCCTTGTCCAGCAGACTGGTAGCCCTGTTGTAGAGCTCCTTGTGCAGCTCCGAGTGCTTCTCGCGGGTCTCACTGTCGATGTTCTCCTCCAGGGATTCCAACATGGCACGACAGTGGCTGAGATTTACGAAGAACTTCCTCTGCTTCTGCACCTCGTTGTTTAGCTGCTCGAGGGAACTGGAAACTATTGGGCTCTCCACCAGCTTGTCGGCCAGAACCGTGATTTTGGTGAACTCTTTGAGGGTCTGCTCGTACTCCTCCGCCAGCGATTGAAGTTGAAGGACGCGCTCCCGCTCCGCCTGAATGTTGTTGGCAATATTCTTGCTGGTCTCGAAGGCATTGTGCACATCCTGCGGCATCTTCTTGCCTGGGAAGTCGCGCTGGAAGGCTCGGGCATTTTGACAGAGCTGCGCAAGCTGCTGCTGTGCCGCCTCATGCTGCTGCTCCAACTCGTCCAACTGGGCTAGTTTGGCGGACAAGGGATACTCCTGATTGATCAGAAGATCGTAGCTCTGCTGCAGCTCGGCCAAAACGGAGGACACGTTGTACAGAAGTGCCTCGAAGCTGTGCCACTTCTCCAGATCATTGCTGTCCTGCACCTGGTTCTGCTGTGTCACCTGCTCCACTGCATCCACATGCTCCTTCAGGCTATCCACGCATTGCAGCAACTCTGGTTCCGGTTCGGTCTTGGACAATTGTCGCTCGAGTTGGCCGACATTTTGCTTGATGGTGCTAAGCTCGTCGTTGAGTTGGTTGTAGTTGTCCAGCTTCTCCTCGGAGGGTCCCTCGTTGGAGTTTTGCCTGATGAGGTACACGCGGTATTCGATGGTTTCCAACCAAGTTGATACCTTCTCGATGACCGTGATCACAGTGGTTTGAATCACAGTCTTGTCACCATTTTTAATGGCAGCATCGAGATCCTGCAGACCTTCGTTGACCTCCAGGATGCGTTGCTCAGTGGGCAGTTCCTTAATCTGTTCAGACAAGGTGGCCAAGTGGAGCACATTGCTCAGTGGAGTGGCTTGTTGGGGCGACGCCTGCTTGAGCTGCTTGATGCGGTCACCGATGGCCTCCTTGGTGGAAATCAGGATTGGCTGCTGGGTCAGTTGCTGTTGTCCCGGATAGTGCTGCAAGCTCTCGCTCATAATCAGAGCCTGGGAGAGTTCAATGGGTGTCTTATCCACACTGGTGGTGGCACTGAACCAAATGTTGTGGGGCTCGCCACTCAGATTGTCCGGTCCCGGGGTGATGGGCACCACCAGCTCCTCCGTGGGTGAGCCCACCTCTTCGATGGTCACCGCTGAGGACGTGTGTCCTGCTCCGGATCGTTTGCTCTGCTGGGACGCAATCAGTACCTTGTTCTGCTCAGTAATGTGCACTGGCAGATCGGGGTACTCATCGTAGACAGTGGTCTTGGTGATTTGAAGCTGAACTCTTTGAGATTTGGGCGCTTCCACATCTTCGGATTCGATGGGAGTCTCTACCACGGGTGTCACATGAGGCACATCTTCAATCTGCTGGTTGGTGGATACCACAATACCTGACTCTGTTAGCAGCTCCGGTGCGATTTCAACGGTCACACTGATCTGTGGCTCCTCTGGCAGCTGCTGCTCCACTTCAGGCACATTCTGCTTCTTTTTCTTGTCCTTCTTGGACTTTTTGTCCTGCTTGGGCAGCTGCATGGTCTGCGTGTATTCATAGACCGTCGGCTCCGCCACGGATGTATCCGAATCAGCGGGAATGGCCACAGTGGTCTTGACCTCCAGTTCGTAGGGCTCCGAGACGGAAATCGAAGTGGCTGTCAGAGAGTTATCATCCAACGAAACGGGTTGCTCATCGCCACGGGGCGTGGTTTGCATCTCACCATCAGCCACCTGCACAAGTTCCACGGTTGAGGTCTCTTCATGGACAGCTCCTGGTTTAATGACTTCCGCTTGTTCCCTTGGCTCCGGAGTGGTTGTCTGGACATGGGTCTCCGTGGTTGTGGTGGTTTCAGTCACGGTAGATTGTTCGCTTGTGCGAACTGGCAGATCGGTAGTCATATCCTTGACCAAATCCTGCACCAGAGATTCCACCACGTCACTGCTGCCTGCCTCTGGTGCGCGAGGAGAGTCCTTTGGAGTGGTCTGCAGCTCCTTCTCGATGGTGGTGGTCACGGTAGTTTGGCTGGAGATCTCTACCGTTTCAGCTGGCTGGCCACTCACATCGGTTTGCATCTCAGTGGTGGATATCTCCACGACCACCGGCTGCTCCTCATTGCGCGGAGTGGTTTGTGCTTCAGTCTCCGTTATCTCAACAATCAGGGTTTGCGATTCATTCTCCTGGTTGTCCGGCTGCACCTCCAGACTCGTCTGCACTGCAGTCTCGTCCAGCTTGGGTTGATGCTGCGGCGAAGTTTGCACGGATTTAATATCCTGTTCGACTTCCGGCTTTTCAGTGGGCGAGGGAACACGCGGTGTTGTCTGTTGTTCCTCGTCCTCGACCAAAGCCAACTCAACCACCTCAGTGGGAATGACCAGCTCAACCATTGGCGCACGTGGCGACTCCGATGATGAGGAAACAACGGCATCCTCCACAATCTTCACCTTCGTGTCAGTCTCAATGCTGGACAAATCGCTATCGGGACTGATCTCAGCAATGGACTCATGACGCACGGCATCGCGTGGTGAATCCTCCGGAGAAACGGGCACATCAGAGCTCACCTCAGGCTCCTTAACGCCAATGGCTTCCGGCTCAGTCTCCTGTTCTTGCTCGAGCTCCTCCTCGTGTTTGGTATCTCTTCTCTTCTTTTTCTTTCGACGCCGCTTGGCGTCGGCGACGGGAGCAGCTGCGGTCTCAATGATGGTCATGCTAACCTTGCCGGTGGTGGGAGATGCGGCATCCTCTTCGTTGGTGCTTTCCGTGCCCAGGACAACCTTCAGCACACCAGCGCCATTGTCCTCCAGAGAGGGTGCTGTGATTTGGAAGGTTTTCTGTGGCGCCGCTGAGGCTGCGGCCTCTCCAGAGATGAAGAGTTGCGTGGCGGCTCGCAGATCGATTTGACCAGGAGCTGGTTGTTTCCCAACAACGAGCTCTTCGGGCTCAACAATGTCAGTGGTTACTTGCTCCAGCTCTGGAGCCACCGATACGGGCTCTGCTGGCGGTGATTTCACTTCCTCCACTGTAACTGGCGGTTCTTGATTCTCTTCAGTCTTGATGGTTGAAATCTCCACCGTCCTCTCCTCCAGAACAATTTCCTCCGGCTGAGCCTGCACATCTTCAACCACCGAAGCTTCAGTCGGAGTTGAAGACTGCTCCTTTAGAGCTGCGGCCAAAGTCTGTTCGGCTTCAAGGAAACTTTGAATGTCAGTCTTGATATTAGATGCAGGAGGCTGTTGTTCATCTGCAGGCAAATTGTGGGCAGGAGTTTCCTCCGGCAATTCTGTGGAGCTTGTGATGGTGGTTGTCGTCTTGGTAATGGTAATACTTCCAGTGGTAATGGCTTCTGGCTGAGTTTCAGCAGCAGCTTGCGGTTCAGTCTCTTGGGGCTTAACTAGATCAGATTTTGTGCTCTCTTCAGGAGGTGATTGTGGCTCGAACTCATAGTGCTCCAGGGTCAATGAGTTGCCGGTTTCTGGACTTGTCGGCCAAATTTCCTCTACTGGCATGGAGGCCTCAGCCTCAACTGTGGCCGCTGGTGCTGCCAATTCTTCGGCGTGCTGGGAGAAGTCAATGTTGGTGGGTTTGAGGTGATGTTCCAGTGGCCAAATCTCGTTGATATCTTCAACCACTGCTTCGACTGCTTCGACTGCTGCAGTCGGCGAGGAGTCGCTGGGCTCGACTACATCCGCAGCTGGAACATGAACGGGACTGGTAGTGGCAACTACTACGGGTTGTTCAACATCTACTTGAGGTGCTGGCAACTCTACTGGTGCTTCTCTAGTCGTTTCTGTTGTTGGTTGTGTCTGTTGTTCTGGTTGTTCTGGTTCTTGTTCTTGTGTGGTTGCGGTTGTTGTTCTTGTGGTGGTTGTGACTTGGGTGGACTCAATATCAAATACCTCTTGCTGCGGTTCTGCTGTCGGCTTTTGCAGATCCGTGGCAACTTCTTCGATTAGAACTCCGGGCTCCTGCATCAGTCGCTGGAACTCCTCCTCGCTGACCACCTTTCCGTCAACGGTTCGCACAATGTTTACGTTGATGTGCGGCGCCGTCTCCTCCTCTGTGATCTCCACTTCCTCGGGCTCCTCGACCACTTCCTCAGTGATGTGTTCCTTTCCGTCGATGATCACCACCCGCTTGATAATCTTGCGCGTCTTGCGGATCACCTTACGGGTCACCTGCTGCACTACTGCTCGGATGGTGCCTTGGGTTTGCACATCTCCTGGCTGCAGTGGAATCAGTGGCGCCTGGGAGCCTGGGGTAATCACTTCTTCGTAAGTCTCAATAGTGGGCTCGGTCTCGAATTCCTGCAGAATCACGCCCTCGGGCTGCGATGAATCCACAACAGCACCACGCGTTTGCTGTGTGATTACTGTGTGGACACTGCCCTCCGCCGGATCGGCTTTGGTGTCCGTGGTGTGCACATTCTCCAAATTAATCTGACCCGTGGAGTGAACCTCAATGTTACCATCCGAATCGCTAATTGTCTCAATCGAGCTGATCTGCTGCTGCTGCACAACTTGCTGGCGGGTTCGGGTTACTTTCTTGAGCACTATGTGCTTGGTGCCATCGGGTCCTACAATCACCTCGGTGGTAGTGTCATCTGGCTCCACGAAAGTGGTCTCGAATGCTTGAGGTACATTTTTGAGGATCAGCTCGGTGGCGCGATCCACATCGCCCTTAGGTCGCTGATGGTAGCGAGCCTCAATCTGCACATCCTCGGGCTCATCGGGCACATCCTTGTTGCGAGTCGTGTCGATCTGGATCGTTTCCTGGCCATGCTGCACCGTTTGCGTTACCATAATGTTCTCGGTGGGCGAACGCTCCTTCTGGGTTTGCAGAGCCACCTCTGCGGTCTCCACAGCTGGCTCCTTGAAGCTGGTCTGCGCCTCCACGGTCGTGGTGGTCACCACCTGAGCCGGGGGCTGCTGCAGGCTGAGCGATGTCTGTGTCTCCACATACACTCCAGTCGGCTTGATCTCCTCTTCGGGCATGGAGCTCGAGTCGATGGTGTTCTCGTTGGACTCGATGGATTCATGCGCCGCTGGATCCGCCGGATGCGCTGGAACTTCTGTTGGTGGCTTGATGAGTGAATCAGCCAGGACACGCTGCCGTTGCGCCTCCTCGCTCTTGGCCTTTCGCAAATCCACGATGCGCTTTTCAATGGTGAAGATGCGCTTGGTGGCCACTGTGACCTGTTCCCGCAGAATGGTAATGATGCTCTGCAACTGCTCCATCAGCGTGTCCGCCAGGGGCGCAACATCGGGATGGGATTGCAGCTGACGCGTCTGTTCCACCAAATCCTCCATGGACTGCTGGCGATCCTTGAGGGTGCGCAGCAACTGCTGGCTCCTCTCCACCTGCGACTTGAGCACCTGCTCATCCGTGCTGCTGTCCGCGTTGGGTTCAAAGGAAGCCAGTTCGGCGGAAACCTCGATGATCCACTGCTCCAGCTCCAGCAGATGTTGCTGGTACTCGTCGATCTCCTGCTGGCGCTTCTTCTGACCATGCATGGCATTCTGAACGAAACAAAGGATTATGAGTATGGGCAGCCATAGACCTAGGTCCCAACCACTCACCGCTATCATGGTGATGCCTTGCTGGGTGCGGCGTAGTAGTAAGTCAATGCGGTCCACGGTGTCGTTGAGCAAACGCTCGGTAGCCGGATCCGTGGGCAATGTCTTTGCCTGGTTCTTCAACTCGATGGCGTCCCTTTCGTGTACTTCGAGATTGCTCTGGATTAGCTGCACATCGGGCGTGTAAAGTATGGGTTTCAGAAATATGTGGTTTCCAATATGTTTATATATATAAATCAACGTAACATAGTACAATTCGATTTTGGGCCTACAAAAATGTACTAATTAGACAGCCAAAGGTACGACCACTACAACTGGGACAAAACTAACAACTGAAAGGTATTCTGTTGGCACAAAAACAGCCTGACAAAAAATGTACGATTCTTTATGGAGTGATGCGATTGAGTTATTAAAGTTCTCCGACACACGCCAGCATCCAAAATCGTTTACAAAAGTTATGTACAAGGTGTGAGTAGATATTTAATTGAAATTAATCTAGCTACGCTGAGTACATGCCGAATCAAGCATCAAAAGGTGGTGTTATTTCGGCCTTAGATTAATATTATTAATATATTATTACCTTCAATCCGTGCAGCATGCCATCCAGGCTGCTCTGGTTCATGTTGGCGATGCCATCCTCGACGCTCGAAAGCGATTGGAGCAGTTCGTCGAGCTCTTGCGTAATTAGATCCTATGGTTTTGTGAGTGATATGTTGTTGTTGGGGAGACGGTGTAGAAAGGTGTTAATATTAATAAAGATTGCAATTTTCGAGGATTATTGCTGGAGAACGCAATTGATGTAAATATTTGTGGCCGGCTTCTATACACATACAACATATGTACATGAAGTAGAATAATTATATGAGGTATTTATAAAATACAAATGAATGCAATGCACAGCCATACAAGAAGATGTATTCCTTTTTGGGGGAATGCGAATAAATGCTTTAAAAATAACACTAGCTCTAAGACTTAACTTCGTTTAAAGTAACGTAACACATGCATTTGGCATAAATAGTTATCTTATTTTAAATGGCAGTAGGCGGATAGACAAAAGTACCAAAATATGCGGCTCGTACTGGCGGTCTTTAGCTAATGTTGTATAAATGTATGCAATGGCAAAGAGACTTACTTTCTTTTGTTATATTTACAAATTCAGAATATTCCTCGAAATAACTGTTTTCAGATTGGTTTTCCTATTCTTACACACACTGGCACTAACAAAAACATTCAGATTCTTGAAATATTTCTGCGGGTTTCGCAGTCAAACTCAACGCGTTCATTGCACACTGCAGACTAAAAATTCTAAAATGAACGGGTACTATTTTCGAGCAAGTAAGACGGCCTGCACCGCATGGATCGGATGGGATCGGATCGGATGGGATCGCATGGGATGGGATGGGATCGCATCTGAACGTTGGGTAGGGTATTTATAGCTGTGGCAGGGAGTACTCTGCGCGCGAATTCCTGATACCAGGGCGGTAGGCGAGGCAATGAACTCGTACGCGTATATACGTGCGGTACACATAATGGACATTTTCTGCATTTGGGAACCCGGTAATTGCACACTTCTAGGCGGCACTGCGTTTGCGGGCGGAGGGGTGGGAAAAGTGCTCAGTATGCGTGATCATGTGTGCTAGTGTCTTGTGCTCTGGTGTGCGAAAAATCTGCGAAGAAAACTACGTATACGCTGTGTATATAGATCAGCTCGGTATTAAAACGTGCAAGTTGGTTAATATCGATTTTATTATTATCACTACCATTAGTAGTCTCGTGATTACTGGGCTTTTACAAAGGTTAATATCAATTAGTAGAAGGAACTAAGTTACAACAATCTACATATTTCGTTACGTCTAAGTTAGGTGCTTTTATAAAGGTATAGTAACTTTTTCGTTCAGCTGCGTTTAGCAATAACAACACATACAATACAAACATAATAAAAATGAAAAACTTAAAAACATAAAAATCAAACATGTTCTCGATTATCAATTTACGTTAGTAGTTGGGCATTGCATTATCCACTGCCATTATGGCCAGGCCCGGACCAACTTCACGGCGGGCAGTTTCCCGGATCTGTTGCTGCTGCCGCAATGTGTTGCAAGGTGTTGCCGCAGCAGCATCCGTTGGTCGGAGCCTGGCCACAACAGCAACACGAACGATTGCCGTATAAAAGCCATGAACAAATACCGAAACCACACAGAAAAGCTGCAAAAATTAGAATTATGAATAAACGAAGGCTCAATGTGATGTTCACCTTCTGGCGTTGCTGTTGCAGATCGTTGCTGCTTGTGGTTGTTGTCGTGGTCGTTGTGTTGCTAGTTGTCGATGGCGTTTCAACTGTGGTTGTTGTCGTTACGGTTGTGGTTGTTGTGGTGGTGCGTCGTACCGCACCAGTATTTTCGGTGGGCGATGCCACCTCCTCTTCGCTGCTGCTGCTGGTTGTTGTCGTTTCGGTGTGAGTTGCTGCCGGAGTTGCTGCTGCTGCGGCTGCCTGTGTTGCATGTGCAACATCGGGCTCTACGGCAGCAACATCCGCTGCTGCTGCTGCTGCTGGTGTCTCCACTGGTGCTGTTGTCGTCGTCGTTAGCTTATCGACTACGGCCGTTGCAACCGGAAGTAGCGCACTGGTTGCTGCCAGCGCTGCTGCGTGTGTGGCTGTTGCTGCTGCGTTCGCCTTGGCGGACAGCGTGTGAGTTGTGGCGCTTGCCAATTGGATTAGTGCGTTTGTAACGTTAAGGGAACTAGTAGTTGTACTGGGACTGGTTTCAGGGGCTGCGACGGTGTCGGGGGCGGGGGCGGGGGCGGGACATGTGGCATTAGTTTCGGTTAGTACAGATTCAACACCCGATACAGTGGGTGCCGGTGGTTCACACTCTAGCTTAACCTGAGGCTGTTCGGCTTCCAGAGCCAGATAAGTACTGTCGTCCCGCCAATGACCCACACCGCCCGGCAGATCGGTGGACCTATACTCCGATGAACAGCTACGGTTCTGACCGTACTGGGCATCGTGCTCGGGCGTGGGGGTCACATTACCACTACTACCGCTACCAGGATCCTTGTCGTTCGGTTTATCATCGTCGTCGTTCGGCTTGCGAATTTCTGGCACAGTCGGCTTACCTCCCTCTTCGTCGTCATCGTCGTCGTCGTCATCATCGTCACTGTCATGATCGTCCTTGTCTGGTATTCCAGTAACACCATCAGGCTTTTTAGGATCACCGTCAGGTTGTTGCTCCTGGTTCTTGTCTTTGTCGAGTTCCGCTTCGCTACTGGCGACATCAGCACGTTTGAGTCCGTCGAACAAGTCGTCGGCCAGATCTGCATCGACACCAGCTGGCTGCCAATCGTCCAGATGCAGATTCAGACGCAACTGCTCGAGGTTGCCAACCGATGGTGCCGTCAATGGCTGGGCGGTAGGAATGATTGGTAATGACGATGCTTCTGGTTCAGTCTTTTCTACAACGCGATCGGTTATCGTGGTCGTCGTGGTTATCACTACAGTTTCTGTAATGTCGTCAGTCTTTTGCTTATCGTCTTGAGTTTCCTGAGCTTTCGTCTCGTCTGTGGTTGTCCTTGGCAACAATGCGTAAGCATTGCCTGCCGATTGCCTATAGTGATTGATGAGTTGAACGAAATCATCTTGACTGAGGTTCCAGAGTAGTCTACTGGGTTCTGTCGGGGATTGAGGTGTTTCAACGACAAGGGGCTCGACAGTTATGGGTTCAATAGGCGATTGTACAGTGGATTTCTCGACAAGAATTTCTACGCTCTTAGTTTCCACCTGAACAGGTTCTTTTTCTACAATAGGATGACCTGACTTTTCAAGGGTGAGCAACTGACTAATGGTGTCGACATCAATACGAGACTTGGGCAATATATTGGTTTGGTCAAGATAAAGATTAAGAGCAAGGATTTCGGAATTGATTTCAGGTATCGCTTCGGGTTCAATTATCACATAATCTTCTACCAAAGGAACATCTTCTTTGGATTCCTCTATGCACGGTTCTTTCATTATATTTACCACCTTCAGTTGTTGATATTGTCCGTGCAAGAGTTCGTATTGGGGATGTACTTTGAAGGCCTCGCGATGGAGATTATCGATAAGGTTCTCCGGTTTATTTAGTTCGACAGGTTCTGGTTCCAAATCTAGTTCATTTTTATGGCTGGTTACCACGGTGGACACATAAGATTTTGCAGGCGGATGTTCATCCTCCACAATGGGTGTATCCTTATGTGTGGTCACCGTTGTGGTGACATATGTTGTTGTCGTTGTCGTTATGTTCTCCGAATCTACCACATTCTTTAGAGGCCTTGGCTCCTGGAAGTCGGTAGTTTTGCTCACAACAACAGTGGACCAATCAGGCGCCTTTTCATTGTCCTTCTGTACATCTGGTGCTGGGAACACAGTGGTCTCGGTTTGGACAATTGCTGACCATGTTGTTGGCTGATCAGTGGGTGACTGCACCGCGACTTCAGCAATACCTAAATCGTCAGGAATAGCTACTTCAATGTGTTGCCTTTCCTCTTCTCTTGTGTCGATTGCAGGTTTTTGACCTGGCTTGAGAGTTGCTGACCAGTAGGATGTCTCACATATAAACGCATCGTCTGCAGGTGAATCAGGAATTACTTTGAAAGGCGCCAGAAGAGTGTTCTCGGTTTCAGTAGTCACAGAGTCCTCAGATATATGAACCGTTTCGACTGGTTTTTGAACCACATCAACTGCATCTACAATCTGAGTGTTATTTTCTGCTACATCTTTAAAGGGTGCCAGGGGTGTCTCGATAGGTGTTACTTCAGTATGTGGTTTTGTTGGTTCGTCAAATTTGACCACTGTTCCTTCAACTTTCAGGGGGTCCTTGGAAATAGCAGGTTCGCCAATGATTTCGGTAGTTGTTGTTGTGGTGGTCACTGTTGTAATGGTCTTGGACTCGTTCACAGCCGGATCTTCAACAATTGGCTTAACCTCGACTACTTCTTCGACAAGAGTTTCATCCTTTTGGGGCTCAGGAACTGGTTCCTCTTCATCATCAGAGAAGTTCATTGGCTCATCCAAGACATCCATCCATGAGCTTGAAGTGTCATCGACGGGAAGACCGGCATACGCTGGCTTTTTGGGTTTTTCAGGTATCTTCACCGGTTCTACTACTTGCTTGGGTTCCTCGGGAATAGCAAGTTCGCCAATGGTTTCGGTAGTTGTTATTGTGGTGGTCACTGTTGTAATGGTCTTGGATTCGTCCACAACCGAATCTTCAACAATTGGCTTAACCTCGACATCTTCTTCGACAAGAGTATCTGCCTTTTGCTGCTCAGGAACTGGTTCTTCTTCATCGTCAGAGAAGTTCATGGGTTCATCCAAGACATCCATCCACGAGCTAGAAGAGTCATCGACGGGAAGACCGGCATACGCTGGCTTTTTGGGTTCTTCAGGTATCTTCACCGGTTCTACTACTTGCTTGGGTTCCTCGGGAATAGCATGTTCGCCAATGGTTTCGGTAGTTGTTATTGTGGTGGTCACTGTTGTAATGGTCTTGGATTCGTCCACAACCGAATCTTCAACAATTGGCTTAACCTCGACATCTTCTTCGACAAGAGTATCTGCCTTTTGCTGCTCAGGAACTGGTTCTTCTTCATCGTCAGAGAAGTTCATGGGTTCATCCAAGACATCCATCCACGAGCTAGAAGATTCATCGACGGGAAGACCGGCATACGCTGGCTTTTTGGGTTCTTCAGGTATCTTCACCGGTTCTACTACTTGCTTGGGTTCCTCGGGAATAGCAAGTTCGCCAATGGTTTCGGTAGTTGTTATTGTGGTGGTCACTGTTCTAATGGTCTTGGACTCGTCCACAACCGAATCTTCAACAATTGGCTTGACCTCGACATCTTCTTCGACAAGAGTATCTTCCTTTTGCTGCTCAGGAACTGGTTCTTCTTTAGTTTCAGGAATTACTTTGAAAGGCGCCAGAGGAGTGTTCTCGGTTTCAGTAGTCACAGAGTCTGCAGATATATGAACCGTTTCGACTGGTTTTTGAACCACATCAACTGCATCTACAATCTGAGTGTTATTTTCTGCTACATCTTTAAAGGGTGCCAGGGGTGTCTCGATAGGTGTTACTTCAGTATGTGGTTTTGTTGGTTCGTCAAATTTGACCACTGTTCCTTCAACTTTCAGGGTGTCCTCGGAAATAGCAGGTTCGCCAATGGTTTCGGTAGTTGTTGTTGTGGTGGTCACTGTTGTAATGGTCTTGGACTCGTTCACAGCCGAATCTTCAACAATTGGCTTAACCTCGACATCTTCTTCGACAAGAGTATCATCCTTTTGCTGCTGAGGAACTGGTTCTTCTTCATCGTCAGAGAAGTTCATGGGTTCATCCAAGACATCCATCCATGAGCTTGAAGTGTCATCGACGGGAAGACCGGCATACGCTGGCTTTTTGGGTTCTTCAGGTATCTTCACCGGTTCTACTGCTTGCTTGGGTTCCTCGGGAATAGCAAGTTCGCCAATGGTTTCGGTAGTTGTTGTTGTGGTGGTAACTGTTGTAATGGTCTTGGATGCGTCCACAGTCGTAGGTTCAACAATTGGCTCGTCCTTTAAAACTTCTTGGACAAGAATTACTTCCTTATGTGACTCAGAAACTGGTTCATCTTCAGGCTCGGCAACAATTTCAAAAGGTGCAAGAGGAGTTTTTATTTCCATCGATGGTAAAGTATTAATGACATCTTCAACTATTACAGATCCAGTTTCGACAACTATTTTAGGTGAAGGTTGAGGACCCAAATTAGATTCTTTATCAGGTTTAGAGGCAACCACTTGATGACCAGATTTTTCTGCATTAATAAAATCAACCACATCGCTGGGCAACTTTCGCTTAGATTTTGGCTTCGGCTTTTTAGTCTTCGCCTCATTGGTTTCAAAAGTGATTGGAATGTTTACTGTGTGCTCTTTTGTTGATTTCCTTACATCTTCAACGATAGTTGGTTTGGACTCAACTTGAAGGGGTCGAATATGTTGAACAGGTTCTGGCACATTATGGGCGGCTATCGCAGCCCATGACATACCAGAGTTATAAGGAGAAGGAGCTGGGGATGGAGACGGTTCCCTTCTTTGTACTAAAGCACTCTTTTCTTCTACAAATATTACAGTTTCCTTAGGGGGCTGAACATCCTCCGGAGTTTCCGTAGGCTGTTGAGTTGGTGCTTTAGGTACCTTATTTTTCGGTTTCTTTGATTTTTTCTTTTGAGGCTTTTCATCGAAGTTAGAAGTCTGTGACTGTTGCGAACGAGAGCGTGAGCGATTTCGTTTCTTTGAAGTAATTTCCAAGAATTCTTGGTCAGTCTCGGATTGCAGTTGATTTTCAGTAACTACCTCGGTAATTCGAATTTGCGGCTTTACGCTGACTCTTGAATGTCTTTCCTGTACTGGTTCTTGAGGCTTTGTTTCTACTGAAGCTGGTTCTTCCTTATACCAAGACTCCACCACATCATCCTCATCTACAAGGTCCTTCCACGATAACTGAGAGGGTTTTTCGATATAGTCGTGTGGTTCATCTCCTTCAATTGCGGGAAGGATAGGGTCCGGGAACTCCAGAAGATCTTCATGTGTCTGTACTTCGTCATTTAAATGTTTTGGTTCACTCTTGATTGGTTCGCTCGTCTCAATTTTCTGATATTTAATGTTTGTATTATTGGTGTAGCCCGACTTCTTAACAACTTCGGCATAGGTGTCTAATGATGACCACACTGATGGTTTGGTTGGTGCCGGCAACTGAATGTTGAATTCAGGTGTTGAAGACCGAGAAACGCATTCAGTTTCGGGAATCTTTTCGAATACAACAGAAGTCTCAATATTTTGTTTATGTTTCTTCTCCTTTTTAGGCTTTTGTTTCTTTTCACCAACATGAACGGGAAGTTCGCTTTCTTGAGGAATGCTGTCTTGAACGTCCGCTGGCCTCACGATCTCATCGACGGTTTCAATGACTCGGTTTTCAGTAAACGTTGGAGTCAAATCGATGTTATGCGAAACGATTGACGACCAAGACAAAGTTTGTGGCTCAGGTACTGCATCAGTTTCTCTCTGTCGCATGTGGACATTGGGAACAGAAACGATTTCTGCGGTTGGCTGTTGAATAGGCTGCACTATTTTCTTTTCCTTTTTGGGTTTCAGATTTTTGGCTGTATCATTCACAACCGTAGAGAAATTCTGCTCCTGGGCAATAAAGTTTTGAATATCTCCCGATTTTGATTCAACATGCATCGGAATTGCTTGTGGAACCCCAACAGACTGGGCAACAATAGACGACCATGACAAGGTATGCGTTTCAGTTTTTGGAGCTACATCTTCTTGAACAATGCTCAATCCAACAAGCGGTTCAGCAACGGACACCGGAATATTAGACTCCATTAGCTCTTCAACACTGTGAACCTTGGTTTTCTTTTCCTTCTTAGTCTTTTGTTTTTTCGGTTTTTCCATTACAGGTTTCTGATCCTTAGCTTCATCAGTCATGTGAGTCTCTGTTACGTTTGTGGTGACTTCTGTGGCTTGAGAAACGATAGACGACCATGATGGTGGTTGCGTTGGGACTTCCTCACTAACTGGAGTGGGTTCCGGTTGTATCTCAGGTGTTACTTTATCAACAACTTTGGTCACCTCAACCACTGGTTCTTCAACAGTGGGTTCTACAATGGCTTCAGGAACTGCGGACTCCACGTTGGGCTCTGAAACTACAACCACCTTGGATTTCTTTTCCTTCTTTGCTTTCTGCTTTTTGGGTTTTTCTTCCAAAGGTTTTTGATCTTCAGGTTCTTCAGTCAAGCGGGTCTCTGTTATATTTGTCGTAACCTCCGTGGTTTGAGAAACGATAGACGACCATGATAGTGGTTGCGATGGGACTTCCTCACTAACTGGAGTGGGTTCCTGTTGTATCTCAGGCGTTACTTCCTCAACAATTGTGGTGACCTCAACCACTGGTTCTTGAACAAAAGTCACTTCAACAGTGGGTTCAACAATGGCTTCAGGAACTGCGGACTCCACGTTGGGTTCTGAAACTACAACCACCTTGGATTTCTTTTCCTTCTTTGCTTTCTGCTTTTTGGGTTTTTCTTCCAAAGGTTTTTGATCTTCAGGTTCTTCAGTCAAGCGGGTCTCTGTTATATTTGTCGTAACCTCCGTGGTTTGAGAAACGATAGACGACCATGATAGTGGTTGCGTTGGGACTTCCTCACTAACTGGAGTGGGTTCCTGTTGTATCTCAGGCGGTACTTCCTCAACAATTGTGGTCACCTCAACCACTGGTTCTTCAACAAAAGTCACTTCAACAGTGGGTTCAACAATGGCTTCAGGAACTGCGGACTCAACATTGGGTTCTGAAACTACAACCACCTTGGATTTCTTTTCCTTCTTTGCTTTCTGCTTTTTCGGTTTTTCTTCCAAAGGTTTTTGATCTTCAGGTTCTTCAGTCAAGCGGGTCTCTGTTATATTTGTCGTAACCTCCGTGGTTTGAGAAACGATAGACGACCATGATAGTGGTTGCGATGGGAGTTCCTCACTAACTGGAGTGGGTTCCGGTTGTATCTCAGGCGTTACGTTCTCAACAATTGTGGTGACCTCAACCACTGGTTCTTGAACAAAAGTCATTTCAACAGTGGGTTCAACAATGGCTTCAGGAACTGCGGACTCAACGTTGGGTTCTGAAACTAAAACCACCTTGGATTTCTTTTCCTTCTTTGCTTTCTGCTTTTTCGGTTTTTCTTCTAAAGGTTTCTGATCTTCAGGTTCTTCAGTCAAGCGGGTCTCTGTTTCAGTTGTCGTAACCTCCGTGGTTTGAGAAACGATAGAAGACCAAGATTGTGGTTGCGATGGAACTCCCTCACTAACTGGTGTGGGTTCCGATTCTGTCTCAGGCGTTACGTCCGCAACAATTGTGGTGACCTCAACCACTGGTTCTTGAACAAAAGTCACTTCAACAGTGGGTTCAACAATGGCTTCAGGAACTGCGGACTCAACGTTGGGTTCTGAAACTACAACCACCTTAGATTTCTTTTCCTTCTTTGCTTTCTGCTTTTTCGGTTTTTCTTCTAAAGGTTTTTGATCTTCAGGTTGTTCAGTCAAGCGGGTCTCTGTTATATTTGTCGTAACCTCCGTGGTTTGAGAAACGACAGACGACCAAGAAAGTGGTTGCGATTGGACTTCCTCACTAACTGGAGTGGGTTCTGATTCTGTCTCCGGCGTTACTTCCTCAACAATTGTCGTGACCTCAACCACTGGTTTTTGAATAAAAGTCACTTCAACAGTGGGTTCAACAATGGCTTCAGGAACTGCGGGCTCCACGTTGGGTTCTGAAACTAAAACCACCTTGGATTTCTTTTCCTTCTTTGCTTTCTGCTTTTTCGGTTTTTCTTCTAAAGGTTTCTGATCTTCAGGTTCTTCAGTCAAGCGGGTCTCTGTTTCAGTTGTCGTAACCTCCGTGGTTTGAGAAACGATAGAAGACCAAGATTGTGGTTGCGATGGAACTCCCTCACTAACTGGAGTGGGTTCCGATTCTGTCTCAGGCGTTACGTCCTCAACAATTGTGGTCACCTCAACCACTGGCTCTTGAACAAAAGTCACTTCAACAGTGGGTTCACCAATGGCTTCAGGAACTGCGGACTCCACGTTGGGCTCTGAAACAACAACCACCTTGGATTTCTTTTCCTTCTTCGCTTTCTGCTTTTTCGGTTTTTCTTCCAAAGGTTTTTGATCTTCAGGTTCTTCAGTCAAGCGGGTCTCTGTTATATTTGTCGTAACCTCCGTGGTTTGAGAAACGACAGACGACCAAGTAAGTGGTTGCGATTGGACTTCCTCACTAACTGGAGTGGGTTCTGATTCTGTCTTCGGCGTTACGTCCTCAACAATTGTGGTGACCTCAACCACTGGTTCTTGAACAAAAGTCACTTCAACAGTGGGTTCTACAATGGCTTCAGGAACTGCGGACTCCACGTTGGGCTCTGAAACTACAACCACCTTGGATTTCTTTTCCTTCTTTGCTTTCTGCTTTTTCGGTTTTTCTTCCAAAGGTTTTTGATCTTCAGGTTGTTCAGTCAAGCGGGTCTCTGTTATATTTGTCGTAACCTCCGTGGTTTGAGAAACGACAGACGACCAAGTAAGTGGTTGCGATTGGACTTCCTCACTAACTGGAGTGGGTTCTGATTCTGTCTTCGGCGTTACGTCCTCAACAATTGTGGTGACCTCAACCACTGGTTCTTGAACAAAAGTCACTTCAACAGTGGGTTCAACAATGGCTTCAGGAACTGCGGACTCAACGATGGGCTCCGGAGCTACAACCACCTTAGATTTCTTTTCCTTCTTTGCTTTTTGTTTTTTCGGCTTTTCTTCTAAAGTTTTAGGTTCTTCAGTCAAGTGAATTTCTGTTTCAGTTGTCGTAACCTCCGTGGTTTGAGAAACGATAGACGACCATGATAGTGGTTGCGATGGGACTTCCTCACTAACTGGAGTGGGTTCCTGTTGTATCTCAGGCGGTACTTCCTCAACAATTGTGGTCACCTCAACCACTGGTTCTTCAACAAAAGTCACTTCAACAGTGGGTTCAACAATGGCTTCAGGAACTGCGGACTCAACATTGGGTTCTGAAACTACAACCACCTTGGATTTCTTTTCCTTCTTTGCTTTCTGCTTTTTCGGTTTTTCTTCCAAAGGTTTTTGATCTTCAGGTTCTTCAGTCAAGCGGGTCTCTGTTATATTTGTCGTAACCTCCGTGGTTTGAGAAACGATAGACGACCATAATAGTGGTTGCGATGGGACTTCCTCACTAACTGGAGTGGGTTCCGGTTGTATCTCAGGCGTTACGTCCTCAACAATTGTGGTGACCTCAACCACTGGTTCTTGAACAAAAGTCATTTCAACAGTGGGTTCAACAATGGCTTCAGGAACTGCGGACTCAACGATGGGCTCTGGAGCTACAACAACCTTAGATTTCTTTTCCTTCTTTGCTTTTTGTTTTTTCGGTTTTTCTTCTAAAGGTTTAGGTTCTTCAGTCAAGTGGGTCTCCGATACATTTGTCGTAACTTCCGTGGTGTGAGAGACGATAGACGACCAAGATAGTGGTTGCGATGGAACTACCTCACTAACTGTACTGGGTTCAGGTTGTGTTTCAACAACTATGGTCACCTTATTAACTGGCTCATCAATAAAAGTCTTTTGTTCTACATTAGACGACTCTCCTTCTTTCCTTATATTTTGCTTCGTAGATTTGTCATTTACAGCCGTTGAAAAGATTTGTTCTTTACTAATGAACTCTTGCACTGCTTTTGATCTCTGAGGTTCAACTGGTTCCTTGGATATTTTACTTTCAGTAATTGTTGGAGGCAGAACCACGGTCTTTGAGACAATAGATGACCATGACATGGGTTGACTGGGTGAACTTTCTAAAACTGACTGAAGTTCTGGTTCTTGCTGTGTTTTAGGATCTTCGCGCATGGTACAATCAACATAAGGTTCTAAAACCACTGCGTCGACAGTTTCCGATTTTTTGGGATGCTTTTCCTTCTTTGGTTTTTGTTTCTTAGTCTTTTCCATCACTAAGGAGCGACATTCGTGGGAAATGAAATTATTTATTTCTTGCGAGTCATGGAATGCTGGTTCTAGAGCTTTAACATCATGGTCTGCAGATTGAGTAATTTTTGTAATAGGTTCCTGAACACCTTGTCGGACAATTGAAGACCACAAAGTGCTATCGGAACTGGGTATGTTCGTATGAACGTTATCATCCAAAATGTTATCGACCTTTGTTGACCACGACGTTTTTGATTCGGTTTTGGGAGATTCTTGTTCGAGTGGTATAATTTCGTCCTTAGACGCCAAAATTGTAGCTCCTTGCTCCTTCTTGAACGGGTTTTCTTTCTTCGCCTTTGGTTTAATCGAAGTTCCTGGAAGTTTAGCAGGCTCTTTTGCTTTTTGTCCTTTATCTAACTTTGATTCAGATGGGACTTCTACGTTATTCTTTTCTAAACTTATGAAATCCACAGTGTGACGCAAAACATCCGCATATGACGAATGCAGTTCCCATATATTAGAAGATAATGGCTTTGGCTGAGAAACTGTTTCCTCTTTGTTAGGCTCTTTCATTGGCTCATCTAAGACATCCATAATTGGTTTTTTGGCTACTTCAAGTTTCTTCACCGGCTCTACTACTTGCTTGGGTTCCTCGGAAATGGCATGCTCGCTAATGGTTTCGGTAGTTGTTGTTGTTGTAGTAACCGTTGTAATGGTCTTGGATTCGTCTACAACCGAATCTTCAACAATTGGCTTGACCTCGACTACTTCTTCGACGAGCGTTACTTGCCTCTCTGGCTTAGGAACTGGATCCTCTTCATCGTCAGAGAAGTTCATGGGTTCATCCAAGACATCCATCCAGGAGCTAGAAGAGTCATCGACGGGAAGACCGGCATATGCTGGTTTTTTGGCTACTTCAAGTTTCTTCACCGGCTCTACTACTTGCTTGGGTTCCTCGGAAATGGCATGCTCGCTAATGGTTTCGGTAGTTGTTGTTGTTGTAGTAACCGTTGTAATAGTCTTGGATTCGTCTACAACCGAATCTTCAACAATTGGCTTGACCTCGACTACTTCTTCGACGAGCGTTACTTGCCTCTCTGGCTTAGGAACTGGATCCTCTTCATCATCAGAGAAGTTCATGGGTTCATCCAAGACATCCATCCACGAGCTAGAAGAGTCATCGACGGGAAGACCGGCATACGCTGGCTTTTTGGGTTCTTCAGGTATGTTCACCGGTTCTACTACTTGCTTGGGGTCCTCGGGAATAACAAGTTCGCTAATGGTTTCGGTAGTTGTTGTTGTTGTAGTAACCGTTGTAATGGTTTTGGACTCGTCTACAACTGAATCTTCACCAATTGGCTTAGCCTCGACTTCTTCGACAAAAGTATTTTCCTTTTGCGGCTCATCTTCATCGTCAGAGAAGTTCATTGGCTCATCCAATACATCCATCCACGTGCTAGAAGAGTCATCGACGGGAAGACCGGCATACGCTGGTTTTTTGGGTTCTTCAGGTATCTTCACCGGTTCTACTACTTGCTTGGGTTCCTCGGGAATAGCATGTTCGCCAATGGTTTCGGTAGTTGTTATTGTGGTGGTCACTGTTGTAATGGTCTTGGATTCGTCCACAACCGAATCTTCAACAATTGGCTTGACCTCGACATCTTCTTCGATAAGAGTATCTGCCTTTTGCTGCTCAGGAACTGGTTCTTCTTCATCGTCAGAGAAGTTCATGGGTTCATCCAAGACATCCATCCACGAGCTAGAAGAGTCATCGACGGGAAGACCGGCATACGCTGGCTTTTTGGGTTCTTCAGGTATCTTCACCGGTTCTACTACTTGCTTGGGTTCCTCGGGAATAGCAAGTTCGCCAATGGTTTCGGTAGTTGTTATTGTGGTGGTCACTGTTGTAATGGTCTTGGACTCGTCCACAACCGAATCTTCAACAATTGGCTTGACCTCGACATCTTCTTCGACAAGAGTATCTTCCTTTTGCTGCTCAGGAACTGGTTCTTCTTTAGTTTCAGGAATTACTTTGAAAGGCGCCAGAGGAGTGTTCTCGGTTTCAGTAGTCACAGAGTCATCAGATATATGAACACTTTCGACTGGTTTTTGAACCACATCAACTGCATCTACAATCTGAGTGTTATTTTCTGCTACATCTTTAAAGGGTGCCAGGGGTGTCTCGATAGGTGTTACTTCAGTATGTGGTTTTGTTGGTTCGTCAAATTTGACCACTGTTCCTTCAACTTTCAGTGTGTCCTCGGAAATAGCAGGTTCGCTAATGGTTTCGGTAGTTATTGTTGTGGTGGTCACTGTTGTAATGGTCTTGGACTCGTTCACAGCCGAATCTTCAGCAATTGGCTTATCCTCGACTAGTTCTTCGGCAAGAGTTTCATCCTTTTGTGGCTCAGGAACTGGTTCTTCTTCATCGTCAGAAAAGTTCATGGGTTCATCCAAGACATCCATCCACGAGCTAGAAGAGTCATCGACGGGAAGACCGGCATACGCTGGTTTTTTGGGTTCTTCAGGTATCTTCACCGGTTCTACTACTTGCTTGGGTTCCTCGGGAATAGCAAGTTCACCAATAGTTTCGGTAGTTATTGTGGTGGTCACTGTTGTAATGGTCTTGGACTCGTCCACAACCGAATCTTCAACAATTGGCTTGACCTCGACATCTTCTTCGACAAGAGTATATTCCTTTTGCTGCTCAGGAACTGGTTCTTCTTTAATTTCAGGAATTACTTTGAAAGGCGCCAGAGGAGTGTTCTCGGTTTCAGTAGTCACAGAGTCACCAGATATATGAACCGTTTCGACTGGTTTTTGAACCACATCAACTGCATCTACAATCTGAGTGTTATTTTCTGCTAAATCTTTAAAGGGAGCCAGGGGTGTCTCGATACGTGTTACTTCAGTATGTGGTTTTGTTGGTTCGTCAAATTTGACCACTGTTCCTTCAACTTTCAGGGTGTCCTCGGAAATAGCAGGTTCGCTAATGGTTTCGGTAGTTATTGTTGTGGTGGTCACTGTTGTAATGGTCTTGGACTCGTTCACAACCGAATCTTCAACAATTGGCTTAACCTCGACATCTTCTTTGACAAGAGTATCTTCCTTTTGCTGCTCAGGAACTGGTTCTTCTTCATCGTCAGAAAAGTTCATGGGTTCATCCAAGACATCCATCCACGAGCTAGATGAGTCATCCACGGGTAGACCAGCATATGCAGGTTTCTTTGGTTCTTCAATTTTCATTACCGGTTCTTCTTTTTGCTTACGCTCCAGGGGGATGGCAGTTTCGCTGTTAGACTCCGTTGATATTGTTGTGGTGGTTACTGTTGTAATCGTTGTTGCTATCGGCAAGATTTTTGGTTTTTCTTCACAGGTTAATTGTATTTCTTGGATGGTTTCAATAATCTTGTTGATGTTGGCTTCGTCTCCATTCTCATGAGGAAGAGGAATTTCTATTTCATCTTCTATAAGTTCTTTCCACGATTTTCGTTCAGTAACCACGTTGTCCGCCCCATCGTCAATCATTTCAGACCATGACATTACGGGGGTACTTTCTAATTCACTTTGAACGGGTTCTTGCAAAGGTTCCTCCACTTTTGGAGCAATTCTTGGTTTGGTATTGCCACTCTTCTTTTTCTCAGAGATTTCAGGAGCTGGTTTGACACTTTCAGCTTCAATAAAATCAGTGACTTGATGACTAACGACAGATGACCAGGAATGACCAGCTTCTTTTTTATGTAGATCTCTTATGGGCTTCTCAATTCGATCGGCTCTTACTTGCTGTTTTACCTTTTCTACTTGTTTCGGCTTAGTTTCCTGGTTTGGTTTGGCCTTTGGTTTCAAGTCAGTCATATGATCAATTTGACTGGCGATTTTAGCCCAAGTAATAGTTTTCTCATCAAAAGGTTGTAATACCTCAACCACATCATTGCCCTCTGAAGTCGAATGAGCAATTATTGGTTCACGAATTTCCTTTTTGTTATTACGCTTGGTGGTGTTCTCAGACTGAGGCTTGGACTGGGGTTTTGAAATTTTACGTTCTTTCCGTGGTTGCACTTCCTTAGGCTCCTCTTGAAGGACTTCAACTGGCTTTTTACGAGAAGCAATGTCATCAACCCATTCGCCGGGCTTTTTTACCAGGGACGCCCAAGAGAAGGAGTTTTCTGTGTTTTTGATAGGTTTAGATTCTTCCACTTCTACCTCACACTCCACAACAATGTCCTCCGAAGGTTCACTGCTTACTTCATCTTCGGGCTCTGCAACGGGAGTGGGTTTTTTTGTTGCCTTCTGTTTCTTGGGCTTTTGTGGCTTCTTATTATCCTTTTTGGTTGTTTTTGGTTCTTTTACCTCAGGCAATGGTGCGACAGCGGTTTTAATGTGAGTAACAGTGTTGTCAATCCATTCGCCTGGTCTTTTTACAAGTGAGGCCCAGGAGAACGCACTGCTACTCTCTAGCTTCTCGACAATTTCAGGCTCCGGTTTTGCCTCTACTGGTTCAGGTATAGCCACCACTGGCTCAGGCACAGATTCGGGTTGCTCGTCCTCTGATGTAGTTGAGACGGGCTCTACAATGGGTTTCTTAGACTTCTTTGTCTTCTTTGCCTTTGTGGTCTTCTTGGGCTCTTCCTTTTCTTTCTGGTGATGTTTATCTTTAGTTGTGACAGCTGTGTGTGAACTCAGTTTCTTAACTACGGTTGTATCTGACCAATCGCCGGGTCTCCGCACAAGGGCTGACCATGTCAGCTCGGATGTGCTGGAAACATCCCTTTCATCGGAAGACGGCTCTTTGGAACTTTCTGTTGTTGGTTTCGATAATTCACTTTCTGTCGTAGGCTTGGACAGCTCACTGTCGCTATTTGTCTTAGATTTGTCGCTTTCGGTGCTTGGTGCAGGAAGTTCAATACTCTTTTCTTCCTGGCCCTTCTCTGGCTTCGATTTTTTCTTCCGATCTTGGGCTTTAGTATTGACCATGGCTGGCTTGTGCGGGATTTCTTTATGCACCTCAGTAGATGGGACGTCAGTTATAACTCCAGAGTTGAGTAGCACGTCAGCATACGATTTACCATCCCGGTTCTTGTTCCAAACATTCTCCACTTCTTCGACTATTTGTATTGGTTCTGTAACACTTGCTTCTGGAGCAGGCTGGACATCAATAATTTGTTCTTGTATTTCCACCTTTTTGTTTTGTCGCTTTGAGGGCTTTACCTTTTTAGCCTTTTGAAGTGGGCCAATGGTTTGTTCAGACTTGTTCCTGGGAATGAATTCGTTGTATACTCTTTCATTCGCAAGGAACGTATGTGTTTGGTCGGAGAAGGTATGTTTTAAATAAGATGGAGTAAACTCAGGTGCGTCCGCCGACAAGGTGGAAGTAAAGCCAATGTTTCCAGTATTAGAAATGGTGTCCTCCAAAACGCTGGACCATGTATCAATAGGCCCCTCTAGAGGCTTCTCTATCTGACTGACTTCTTCTACTACATTACTAAATATCTGCGGTTCAGCTTCCTCTTCGGCAGGAAGAGAGTTCTTCTCAGATTCAGTTTGGTTGGTGGATGTAACAATTGTGGTCGTAACAGTTGTAATTATTTTGGATTCATCTACAACCGAATCTACAACAATTGGCTTAGCCTCGACTACTTCTTCGACAAGAGTATTTTCATTTTGTGGCTCAGAAACTGGTTCCTCTTCATCATCAGAGAAGTTCATTGGCTCATCCAAGACATCCATCCACGAGCTAGAAGAGTCATCGACGGGAAGACCGGCATACGCTGGTTTTTTGGGTTCTTCAGGTATCTTCACCGGTTCTACTACTTGCTTGGGTTCCTCGGGAATAACAAGTTCGCCAATGGTTTCGGTAGTTATTGTGGTGGTCACTGTTGTAATGGTCTTGGATTCGTCCACAACCGAATCTTCAACAATTGGCTTAACCTCGACATCTTCTTTGACAAGAGTATCTTCCTTTTGCTGCTCAGGAACTGGTTCTTCTTCACTTTCAGGAATTACTTTGAAAGGCGCCAGAGGAGTGATCTCGGTTTCAGTAGTCACAGAGTCCTCAGATATATGAACCGTTTCGACTGGTTTTTGAACCACATCAACTGCATCTACAATCTGAGTGTTATTTTCTGATACATCTTTAAAGGGTGCCAGGGGTGTTTCGATACGTGTTACTTCAGTATGTGGTTTTGTTGGTTCGTCAAATTTGACCACTGTTCCTTCAACTTTCAGGGTGTCCTCGGAAATAGCAGGTTCGCTAATGGTTTCGGTAGTTATTGTTGTGGTGGTCACTGTTGTAATGGTCTTGGACTCGTTCACAACCGAATCTTCAACAATTGGCTTATCCTCGACTAGTTCTTCGGCAAGAATTTCATCCTTTTGTGGCTCAGGAACTGGTTCTTCTTCATCGTCAGAGAAGTTCATGGGTTCATCCAAGACATCCATCCACGAGCTAGAAGAGTCATCGACGGGAAGACCGGCATACGCTGGTTTTTTGGGTTCTTCAGGTATCTTCACCGGTTCTACTACTTGCTTGGGTTCCTCGGGAATAGCAAGTTCGCCAATGGTTTCAGTAGTTGTTGTTGTGGTGGTAACTGTTGTAATGGTCTTTGATTCGTCCACAACCGAATCTTCAACAATTGGCTTGACCTCGACTGCTTCTTCGACGAGCGTCACTTGCCTCTCTGGCTTAGGAACTGGTTCCTCTTCATCATCAGAGAAGTTAATAGGTTCTTCCAAGACATCCATCCACGAGCTAGAAGAGTCATCGACGGGAAGACCGGCATACGCTGGTTTTTTGGGTTCTTCAGGTATCTTCACCGGTTCTACTACTTGCTTGGGTTCCTCGGGAATAGCAAGTTCACCAATGGTTTCGGTAGTTGTTATTGTGGTGGTCACTGTTGTAATGGTCTTGGACTCGTCCACAACCGAATCTTTAACAATTGGCTTGACCTCGACATCTTCTTCGACAAGAGTATCTGCCTTTAGCTGCTCAGGAACTGGTTCTTCTTCATCGTCAGAGAAGTTCATGGGTTCATCCAAGACATCCATCCACGAGCTAGAAGAGTCATCGACGGGAAGACCGGCATACGCTGGTTTTTTGGGTTCTTCAGGTATCTTCACCGGTTCTACTACTTGCTTGGGTTCCTCGGGAATAACAAGTTCGCCAATGGTTTCGGTAGTTATTGTTGTGGTCACAGTTGTAATGGTCTTGGATTCGTCCACAACCGAATCTTCAACAATTGGCTTAACCTCGACATCTTCTTTGACAAGAGTATCTTCCTTTTGCTGCTCAGGAACTGGTTCTTCTTCACTTTCAGGAATTACTTTGAAAGGCGCCAGAGGAGTGATCTCGGTTTCAGTAGTCACAGAGTCCTCAGATATATGAACCGTTTCGACTGGTTTTTGAACCACATCAACTGCATCTACAATCTGAGTGTTATTTTCTGATACATCTTTAAAGGGTGCCAGGGGTGTCTCGATACGTGTTACTTCAGTATGTGGTTTTGTTGGTTCGTCAAATTTGACCACTGTTCCTTCAACTTTCAGGGTGTCCTCGGAAATAGCAGGTTCGCTAATGGTTTCGGTAGTTATTGTTGTGGTGGTCACTGTTGTAATGGTCTTGGACTCGTTCACAACCGAATCTTCAACAATTGGCTTATCCTCGACTAGTTCTTCGGCAAGAATTTCATCCTTTTGTGGCTCAGGAACTGGTTCTTCTTCATCGTCAGAGAAGTTCATGGGTTCATCCAAGACATCCATCCACGAGCTAGAAGAGTCATCGACGGGAAGACCGGCATACGCTGGTTTTTTGGGTTCTTCAGGTATCTTCACCGGTTCTACTACTTGCTTGGGTTCCTCGGGAATAGCAAGTTCGCCAATGGTTTCAGTAGTTGTTGTTGTGGTGGTAACTGTTGTAATGGTCTTTGATTCGTCCACAACCGAATCTTCAACAATTGGCTTGACCTCGACTGCTTCTTCGACGAGCGTCACTTGCCTCTCTGGCTTAGGAACTGGTTCCTCTTCATCATCAGAGAAGTTAATAGGTTCTTCCAAGACATCCATCCACGAGCTAGAAGAGTCATCGACGGGAAGACCTGCATATGCTGGTTTTTTGGGTTCTTCTGGAATCTTCACCGATTCTACTACTGGATTAGAAGATGTTTCGCTTACAGATTCGGTCGTTATTGTTGTGGTGGTTTCAGTTGTAATGGTCGTCGTCTGGTCTACAATTGGAGCTTCAATTATTGGCTTTGGCTCGACGAATTCTTCGATTTGTTCAGTTTGGGCATCCTCAGGAATATAAGTTTCGCCGAGGTACTTTGCATTTTCTGTTTTTGTTGCAGTCTCTGTAATGGTGTCGCAGTTATCCTGAACTGGTGATTCTTCAATTTTCTGGACATTTTCATAAATTTCTGTGATATCTGGTTCAGTTCTGGAGGCTTCCTGAAGCTCGTAAGCTTGAAGGGTTTTCTGTCTGGCTTCCGCCTTACTAATGGACAGTATGTCGAATTTGGGAATCTCGAAGTGGTATATAGCTGGAACATTTTCTGTTTGTTGGTCTACATTGAAAGTCTTTGTAGTTGTTGAACCCACGTCGGTGACGGCAGACTCTATGTTTGTTACGTTGTCAATGACAAAGCTTACCGACTTTGGTGGCGATACAGGATCAGGTTCGATAGGATTTACCTGCTCAATTGCTTTAGACTTAGAATTTATTATGTGATAATTACCCTCAGCAATAGTAAGTTTGGAGATGTCAAATTTGGGAATTTCAAATATTTTGTTTAAAGGTGAAAGTTTCTCAATATTAGTGATTATACTTAAAGTGCTTACCGTGTTAGCCACAAATGCTTCAGCAATTAATGCGCTTGGTTTATCAGGTACAATTTCATTAGCGATATTAGTAGGAGTACTTGACTGAGTTTCACATGGATTTTCTACTGGCACTTCTTCTTGGGTGGAAACAGGGACAACTTCTACTATAGACTCTCGGTAAAGAATATCTGAATTGTTCTGCTCGATTAACTTAATGGTTGAGATTAGGGACGAGTCTTCAGAAATATTAAGGAGCAATTTCTCTGACTCTGGAACAGGGATCGGCTTTGTATCTACATCGACGTCATCAATGGTTGAAACAAGAGGATCTTGGGAAACTATTTTTACTTCTACAATCGGGGCAATAGGGTCCTGCTTAACTGAGGGTTCAACGACATCAGTAAGATTTTCAACTACTGAGACAACACTAGGAGCTTCATTACCTTTGCTTTCTTCTAGAATGACCTGAACCGTTTCTTGTTTAATAAATTCTTCAGGAATGGCGGGACGCTTCTTTTTATCTTTCTTAGACAATTTCTTCTGAATGTCCTCGAAGAGCTTCTGCTCTTCAGGGCTCAATTCTGCAGGATTACTTTCGGGTAAAACTGTTTGGGTCGCTTTTGGTTCGTCTAAATTGGTGGAATGAACTGGATCTGGCTTTAATTCTATTGGTTCTGGAACTTCAGATTTGGACAATTCAACTACTTCAATCACGGAATTCTCATTACTTTCGGCTGCTCTTTGCAGGGATTCCACATTTTCAGTCACAGTCTCGGTCACCCGAAGACTAACCTCCGGAAAATCAAGATGCATTTTCACAATAGGTGTCTTCAGCTTCTCTTCATGGGTAATAAGGGAAATTTTTTGAACTGTGCCCGGTGGATAAGCACCGTCAATGCCTTCTCCCACGAAAAGAACATTTGTGCCATCTTCGGTTTCGAAGCTTCGTCGTTGCGTAGTCGTTAGTATCGTGTTCTTGGTAGTCGTCGTAGTAGTGGTAATACTATCCGTCTCGTTCAAAGCCCCATTAGTCTTGTTTGTAGCAAATTGCTGTTCAGCCAGCTTAGGCAAGTCCCCTGTGCTTGTTTCGATGCCAATAACCTTGACACCAGTGGGACTGTCCTTCAATCCTAACTGAATACTTGCACCCAAATTATCTAGCTTTAGTTCGGAACTAGGCGTCACAGCAGGGGAGGTTGACCTCGAGGGAACAAGTGGACTAATTGGTCTTTGATCGGGCATCTCAATGCTTGAAGTCACGATCACATCGCTTGGTGTCTCGCTTTCCGTAAGATGAATACGTCCGTCATTGGAAATCCTCTTTGTAATGCGCATCGTTCGAATCGTCGTAGTTTTGATAATTGCACCATCGATTTGGCTGGATGTGGTGGAAGTATCGCTCGGCACTTCCGAAAAAGCTGGCGAGGGTTCGCGGACTGTCACTGGGTCAGTGGCAGTGTTGGTCTCCTCCGTGGTTGTTTCTCCATCTTCATTCAGCTTTTTCACGATCTTCGTAGTACGCACAGTTGTTGTCTTAGTCACACCACCACTAGCCTCCTCAGCAGGCTCCTCCGCTTCCGTTTTTTCAGTCTCCGACTCCGGAGCATCGACAATCACACCAACCGTTTGTTCCGTGTTTTGGGTAACCTTTTTAACAATTTTTGTTGTTCGAACAATTGTTGTCTTGACAACATCACCAACCCCAGAAGATTCTGGCTCAGGTGTTGTAGTTTCTTCAATTGGATAACTGATCTCAAGTTCCTCGATAGCTGGCACCTCCGTGACGGTTTTTACTGGCATTGTATAATTATCAGTCGCGTTCTGTTCTGCGCTGATAAAGTCAATAATTGTGGACTTTTCTTGACTAGCCTGGGGAATTTTACTAGATGTTGCAGTAATTAGGAGCTTGTCCTCAACTCCAATTGGGGCCTCCGGAACTGCTGGCAGTTCGACGGTTTCAATTACACCCAAAACAGTGTTGTTTTCTGGTTCAACAGGACCAGCAGGAACCTCCGGTAGGTTAAGGATTTCTCGTTCATTTTCGGTGACAGTCTTGGCCACAGCCTTTGTAGTTCGCATTGTCGTGGTCTTGGTTATACCCTCGCTGTTTGACTCGGTGGTAACCGATTCAGCAACGACAGGTGCATCTTCCACAATTGGTAGAGATACTTCGGGTTCACTGCTTGTCTCGCTGACATTTTCACTCTCATGGGAAATCTTTTTGACAATTTTGGTGGTACGCACAATTGTAGTTTTAATTACACCACCCTCCTCAGACTGAATATCAACTGGAGGCGAAACGGTGGATGTCACTTCCAGTGATGGTTCCTCTTTGCATTCATCTACCTTGGGAGATATGATTGTTTTGGTTGTTTTGGTTTTAGTTGTTTTTACCACGCCCTCATCGCTAACTTCGCGGCTATTCGACTCGGATTTTTCAATCTTGGCCGGTTCTAATGCTTCTTCCGCCAAATCGTAAGATCCCAAAGACGAGGGTGCATCTGAGTACGTTGAAGAGGTCATCTCCTGACTTTCCTGCTGATTTGAGATTTTCTTCACGATTTTGGTTGTACGAATAACTGTAGTCTTAATGAGGCCACTATCATCGCTGACAGTGGTTTGCTCCGACGAAAGAGTTTGATTATTATCCGTTGTAATTGCACTTGTTATGTTCAGGGGCTCTGTGATTTCTTGTTGGGGCTCTGCGATTTCTTGTTGTGGCTCGACAATTTCGACAACCTTCGGGGCGATAACAGTTTCTGGTTTGTTCTCCAATAACTTTTGCTTCTTCTTATCCTTTCTCGAAGGCTTTTGTGGCTTATTTTGCTCCTGCTCAACCACAACTTCTTTGGAAACTTCAGGTTCAGTACGGCTTTCCACCTTAGCAGGCTTTTCCACGATCAATTCCTGCGACTCAGGCTGCGTTATTTCCTCAGCCTGTTTGATGACTTCCTCAACCACATTATGGGCAGCATCCTTTATGACATCCAACGAATGTACCACTGTGGTAGGCAGTAGTGTAACGTCGCGCTCCACTTCCGGTTCATCCTCAAAGACCTGCTCAACTATTTCCTCTCCGTCTTCGGTGATGCGCTTCAAGATGCGCTTTGTCTTGGTGATGACGGTCTTAGTTATCGATCCCTGCTGCACGATTGTATCCTGGGTTGCAGCGAATCCTGTCACTTCGATGGGCTCCTCATTGGTGGTGGTCTCGATTGTTGGTAGGTTGTACTGCTCAACGCAGATGTTCTCTTCAGGCAAATCATCAATGACGTCTTCCTCAACAATCTCCTCCTTACCATCTACAATGCGCTTCACTATGCGCTTGGTAATATGCTTAGTTATTGTTCGCGTTGTGATGGTTGTAGTTCCACTTTCCGTTGAGATGGTATTAGTCGATGTGGTAACCGTGGGCTCGCCTTCGATAATGGTCTCAGTTATATTGGAAGGTGCCTCCTCTATTGAAGATGTCGTATCCGTGGTTGATTTCGTAACAGTGTCGGTAGTCGTAAGTGCTAAATCTGAAAAACCATTTTCATATTGAACAGTCACCTTTTCTTCTTCTGTTGTTTCAGGAATTGTTTCTGATAACGTTTCAACTGTTTCCTGAATAGAAACTATAGGCTCCGTAATATGTTCAGTACTCTCCACCGAAGCCAAAGCAATTGTAATATCTTCCTTAGGTTCCTTCTTAGAACGTTTTTTGTCCTTTTTCGTGGGCAGAGCAGGAGTGACCTCAAACTGAACAGCCGGTTCCACATTTTCTGTAACAATGACCGAGGTCTCAACAACTGTTTTGGACTGCTTCTTTTCCCTTTTCGAAGAAGTTGCAGTACCTTGTTCCTTCACTTGAGAAACATCGGTTGTTTCAATCACAACTGGCGTTACCAACTCCTTTTCGATAACCACCTCCTCAGTTGGCTTCCTAATCACTTCTGGCTCAACAACTGCCTTGGTCTTTTTCTTGTCCTTCTTCGAAGGCAGTGCCTGGATATGAGGCTTTGCCAACTCTACATCCTCGGTAGCGGCTGGTTGAAGAACCTCCTTTTCAACTACCGACTGGACCACAGTTGTCGTTTGCTTTACTTGCGTCTTTGGAACATCAGCTGGCTTGACAGTCTCCTTTTCAATAGAAGGTTCTTTCGTTATGGTGGTTTCAACCTCCTTAACGGCTGTCTTGACTTGTTTCTTCTCCTTTCTGGTCGGAGCGACTGGTGCCACTTCCACAACAGGTACATCTGACTGAGCAGTTTCTTTTTCCTTGACTGGCTTTTGTTTCTTTTCTCTCTTCGAGGGAACCGGAACTGGTTCTACGGGCTCAACAGATGGCTCAACGATTTTCTTTATCACAGTTTTTTCAAGCACAGTTTCCTTTTTCTCTACAGGGGGAAGGGCCGATTGCGTATCTTTCTTAGATGGCACTGAAATAGCGACGCCTGGCTCAACATTTGCGTTGACCACATTATCAGTGGACTTCTTTGGCTTCTTCGATTTTCTTGCCTTTGGCTCAGGCTTAGAAGTCTCTTCAACTACAGGATTGGGTGCTGGAGCATCAACAACAAGTTTGGTTTCCACCGAGGCAACACCATTTGTATCCGGAGACAGTGGTTTTTTACCCGTCCGACCATCTTTCCTGGTGCTCTGTTTAATGGGTAGTGGTTCCGGTTGAGTTTCGTGCCTCACTCTCTTAGAACGCGAGGATCGTGAGTCCACATTGTGTTCCCATGTCGACGATTTCTCGACATGTCGGGCTGGTTGGGTAGTCTTATTGCTAAAAGTAGTGGTACTGATAGTACCAGCCTGATCCGTCTTGCGCTGCAAAGGCGGCGAGGACGTGAGGCGCACTGGGGTCGGTTGCTGACTGGATGGCTGGAAAACTGGATGTTCATTGTGGTGGAGACCGAAAAGGACTTCGGCGTAAGTGCTGCCTGTACTAATGTCCTGGGGCCGGATCTGTTGGTTGCTTCGCCTCTGGGCCTGGGGATGCACCACGACAGTGGTGGGCATTTCTATGGGGGCCTGTGGGGCATCTTCTACCCCGACGACTTCCCAAACCTGCTGCATTATCTCAGTTGGCTGTGTCTGTTCGAAGACAGTTGAGGTCTCTGTTACATAGGTGGTGGTGGTAATAGTTTGTTGAGTGCGGACTTGCGACTGAGTCTCGACTTGGGTCTGTGGTGCTTGTGGTTCATCCAATGGTATGGTTTCAATAGCATCAACATCGAACTGACCAAATGTGATATCAGGTCGCGGTTCGTCTAGCTCAAGTTCCTGTGGCTCTACAGGTCGCAGCATTTGAACATGCTCTTCAATATAGTACGGCTCCTCCTGGACCACAGTGGCAAGAGGTTGGATTTGCTGGGTGCTGGTGGTCAGGGGTTCTGCACTTTGTTGGACGATGGAAGCCAATGTGGTAACAACGCGATCCAGCACGCTGTTGCCGGTCGTCGAGGGAAGAGTGTTCTCCACGCGATATGGATCAAGCAGATATGTCTGATCCACTGTTTCCTGCGGGTACTCAGGCATGGGTTCCGTTTGCTGCTGCTGTGAATATTCCGGCGAGTACTCCGCCGTTTGCTGTGTGTAGTAGATTTGGTTTGGCTCTGCCGGATAAACCGTGGAATAGGTCTCTGTCTGGGGCACCGGCTGATAGTAACCTGCTAAAAGCTGATATTGCGTAGTGGCTGGTGGAACTGCTACCTGTTGATACTGTATGGGATACTGCATCTGCATTATCTGCTCGTAGTAGTTCTGTGGGGCCTGCTGCTGCTGTGGATCCGTCGCAGATCCCGTGACATAACCCCACTGACCGCTGTCGGCCACGTTTTCGTACATTGTCTGATACAACTGCGGATCGGGCTGCAAGTAGGTGGCTGCAATCTGTTCGGCAGTCATTGGTACTTCATAATTGCTGGGGGCTTCTTGCTCCTGTTGCTGAGGAGTAGAATAGTCGAGTATTGTGCTCGGTTCGGTGATGTACTGTTCCAATTGTGGTTGCTGTTGCTGTTGCTGCGTTTCCTTGACGGGCTCTGGATCAGGTTGGGGTATAAATATGCTGCCTGAAACTTCTGCGCTGGCATCCACAACATCCTGAATGGTCAGGTCGGAACGTTCCTGAACTGCCTGAGCGGCCTGCTGTTCGGCCCTGATCCGCTCCAGCTCCAGTCCCCGAAGAACCTCCGCGTAGGAAGTCGATCCTGGTACCCACATGGGACTGCGGGAACGTGTCCGGTCATCAGCTGGCAAGAAGAGTTGCTCCTGTTCTTGTGGTTGCTGTGGCTCCAATTGAATCTCGATCGAGGGCTGTGGTTGTTGAGGTCGGCGTCTGGGAGATCGACCACGGCGTTCTGGACGCGGTGGCTGAAGCTTCTTACCGGCTTTCGGGTGGTGCTGTTGGTGTCTCTGCTCGCTTTCGATGAACTGGGTGTTGGGGTTGGTTGTCGTTGTCGTTGTCATAGCTGTGTTAGGAACCGTGTTTGATGTATTCTCGCTGGGTGGTGTGATCTGTTGGTGGTGCTCATAGATATATGTGGGCATGGTGCTGCCACCGCCATTGAACTCGAATCCCTCCTGGCTCTGATCGTCATCCCCGTGCGTACTTCTCGAAGTCGTTGTCGTGGTTGTGGTAGTCTTAATGGTTGTAATGGTGGTCTGGTTCTGAGTATCGTTCGATTTTTGTTGCCGAGTCGTCGTAGTCGTTGTCGTCGTGGAGGAGTCTCGTTCTTGTCGGGAATTGGTTACCGATTCATTACCGCTGCTTACCGGACTCGCTTGTCCCGACAGCACTTCAGCATAGGTTAGACCCACTGCCGCCGTTGGCTTCATAAGCAACGAGACAGTCGATGAAGTGGTCACCACTGAATGGGGATCCAGCGCATAGGACTTTCGAGCGGTCGCATCGTAGACTTGCTGCATGCCATCGATTGATTCTCGCATTGCCTAATTGTTCATCATCACGGTTCACATATCAGAGTGAGAGAAAGTGGGAGAGATGGGGGGAAGATTTGCCAAAAACGTTAGCTTTGATATGATTGCAGGGGTTTGAAAGTGGGGGACTCAAGGCTAAGCTACCTAAGAGTTACAAGAGTCCTAGCTCCCTCATAAATTATACTCGAAAGGGGCTTGCGTTTTTAAAATATAATTTGATAATTTAATTTATTCTTTAAAATAGTATATATATATGTATATAGATAATTGTAAATTCTTAAACACGGGTCATGTTTCATTGATTAGAGTAGTGACGGCAGTTGACAGTTGTACCGAAGCCACCGTTCCTGGGAGAAGGAGATCGGTGGCAGGGGCAAACGGAAGACGCCGGGGTGGCTGCTTTGGCTTTGATCTAGTCCTAGATTGGCTTTATCTTATGGTTAAGGGTGTGGCATCCTAAATCTCTAGCTTGGCATCGTCCGGCGTGCCGCGATGTATTAACAACTTGATGCGCTCATTACGTGCAGTTATTTTCGAATGCAGATTTTTGACACGTTCCCGGCATGCCTATTGTTCATATATATAGGGTATAGATGGTGCATGTTTTTGAAAGAGTTCGAATGGTTGGCGTGAGAGCAGAGATTTATATATATAGTATATAGAGAAGAAATACAAGAGATGTCAGCATATATATTGAGATTCGTTTATGGTAATTCAAAGACAGCGAGCACATCATACGCCATGGGATAGATACAGGAAAAGCGACCATTCACCATGTTCGATATTTCGTTTTAATAGAAGAAGTAAGCAGTACCCATGTGTGTTTAAATATGTGTGTGATAAGGGGTTGTTTATTCGATGGGGTTGTTAAAGGTGGGGTGGTTACATCGGAATGTGGCAGATTTGGATTAGTCACCGGTTTGTAAGTAGCGTAACAAGCAAGCGAGCAAAGCCCAAGATAAGTTGTATTTGGTTTAATATACGATTAGTAAGAATCAAGTTTATGAAGTGTGTTTAATAATTTGCATGTTTGTTTTTCGATTGTTTTCAGCGCAACGACACCAGGATTTTTGTTTATATTCAACAAAAGTTACGTAGAGAAAAGATAAAAAGAAATACAATTGTCAAAAATAAAATACCAAATCAAATTATAACCGTAACCATAATTAAATATTAACCGACTTTCGCTATTACAATACCAGAAAGATATAAAAGATTTTTAGAGAAAGAGAGAGCTGCTTGGTGAAGAATATGTTTGCTTGGCTAAGCTGACTAAATGAATAATCAAATAAAAGTAAAAGTAAAATAAAAAGTAGATGAAATTAAACCAAAAGAATTTTTTAAATGTCTAGGCCAAAGCTTAATGTGTAAATGTGCCATAAAATGTGACGATTTAAATGCGATGTGATGACTGTACTTTCTCTTATGGTTGTGTGTGTGTGAGAGGTCAGGTGAAGGGAAATCAAAAAGTTCTCATAGCAAGAGCTGCCCCAAATATCATCAAAATTAGCTAGAGTCCCAAATTGAATTGAATTCTAAGATTGCCACTTACCGCCAACATTGCAGTTCGCAATGTAAAGTTAAATTTTAGTAATAAATGTACAAGCTATTTTAAAAAACTAGGGAAATCTTGATTTTAACCTATGCTAGGCCACCTGGTTCTAAATATAATCTATAAACTTTGTTTATGACCAACAAAAACAATGGCAAGCAGCATGGCCCTAAAAATAGTCCGTGTGATTATCTGGAGGAGGAATTTGCTTTTCTCATCTGGGTGGCCTAACTTATTTGTTTCCTTGGCATTCAAAATGCTTTCGGCCGCAGCACGTGACAAATGGTAATGATGAGATCTTAAAGATCCTAAAGATCCGATACTGATGAGGAACAATTTTGTGGGTAGTTTTCCCAATGAGAGCGGTATGAAAGCAATGAGTTTTGAGAGTGTGAGCTGCACGGTTGGTAAATGAGAGATGAATGATGTTTGAACATAAGGAAACGCAAAGATGAAATGTAAATGATGAATGATGATTTGTGTGAGCATTTGTGTGATATATGTATGATGGCACCAAACGAATTCGAAAATAAAAAAACGTAATAGAATTTTGCCAAACAAAATAGAATGAAATGAAAATAAGAAAATAATAAGGCGCCTTGTTTCTTTTGTTTTTAAACAAACGAAATAAAATAAAATAAATTAAATACGCAGCCACCGTGCAACTGTTTTTCTTCAGACCTACCCGCACACACTAAAGCGTAGGGGGCAAAACGATTCCATAGATTAATCAAGTATTTATTATATATTCGGGTAAAGGGTTAATAACTTTTTTTGGTTGTTCTGTCAACTGTTTGTTCATAGCGATGAAGGATCGTTCACAGCAATGAAGAAATGAGGTAGAGATCAAAAGGGATGGGGCTTCAACATTGGATAACCGACTTAACTAACGAGATAGCCTGGCAATATATCTGCTACAATTGAATTAAACTCCTAGCTGCTAGCTGTTCGCTAAACGGGTCTACTAAGTCTATCAAAGACTGGACGGTACGTACCTGTTGCTCGGCTAATGCGCGATCGCGATCGTGCGGCAAGTACGTGGGCGCCATCACCAGGCGGAGCTGCTGCTCCTCCTGGATGATGCGCTGGCGCAGGGACTGCATCTGCTGCTGGTAAACATCGATCTGGGCCAGCGTCTGCTCGAGGCTCTGCGACTTGGCCCTGACCAATTCGCCGAGGCCGTCGAGCACGCGGACCAGATCATCGACATTCTCGCTCAGGCGCGGATCACCGCCCATGCCATTGCGGAAATGAACCTGTGGACGAGATGGTAAGCAGGGATTAGCCATGCCGTCGCCCCCAGTACTCACCTCCAGTTTCTCGATGGACAGTCTCAGTTTCGTTTTCTGCACATTGATATCGGCCAGGGTCTTCTCACAGAAGCCGAGCTGATCGCGCAGCGGTTTCTTCTGCTGCTGCGAGGAGTCCAGTCCCTGCTTCGTCTTTTCGTGCCAGGAGCGTATATCCTTAATCTTGCGTTCACATTGGTCCCACTCCTCGCAGGCCTCTTGCAGCAGGGAGTTCTACAAGATACAATATGGAATATGGGGGAAAAAGGACGTTGAATAATGGTTGGACTTCAAAAGAGATTCCTCCACTCTGGTGGTGGTTTGGCACTTTACCCTCTCTAGCAGCACCGCTTCCACGGATATCTTCGCATCCTCGGCCTCCTGCAGTTTGTCCTTGAGATCACCCACAGTCGTCACCTGGCCAATGTGCTCCAGTTCCTTATCCATTTCGCTCAGATGCTTCACAATCGGTTTAATACTCTTCACAGCCGTCACATAGTCGTTCAGTTTGTTGCGTGCCTCGGGCAGGGTGCGCAGCTCGATGGTCTGGTCGATAAAGGTGCGCTTCTCGGAAGCCCACGACATCACGATCTGGTAGAGGTTCATGAACCTCGTCCACGCGTCCAGACTATCGCCCACCGCCTGCTTCTTCTCGTCCAGCCAGCCGCGTACCTGGGCCAGCGATGCGGCCAACTGGTCGATGGTCGTCTGCACCAGCGTCTTCTCCTCGCTGTTGCGACAGTTCTCGATGATCAGTTGGCCATTGGTCTTGACCAGGGTGAAGCGTTCGTAGATGGCGGTGATCTCGTGGTTAATGCGCTGCAGCAGCTCCTTCATCTGTGTGGGTGTGAGGCTTCTCTCCTGCACCTGCACCTCCGCCTGGAGCAGCCAAAGCTGCACTGCGTCCACACCGGCCACGTATTCGGTGCGCACGGTCTTCGCCCGCTTGAAATCCTTCTCTTTGGTCTCCATGGTCACCTGGACTCGCTCGGCGAGTAGCTCAAGAGCCGTAAACTCCTGGGCAATATCGCTGGGCAGCTGATTCTGTTTGGCCTGGTAGTGGGCCGTTGTCTGGGCCACCAGTGATTTGCTCTCCTCGGCGGCCTGCTGCACCTGACTGTTCAGTGTGATTAGGAGCTGTTCCGTTTGGGCTATGTGCTCGTCGTAGACGTGAACCGATTGGAGTTGATCGTGAAGCGCGTTTAGCTTGTCCTGCAGCTGCGAGATGCGACGGAAGACTTGCTCGATCTCCTCGAGATCCTTGCTAACCTGTTGCTCCTTATCGCGCAGAGTGTCGTTCAATCTGAAAAACAGAGCGGTTTGTTAAAGTTTCAGGGGCACGTTATTCAATGGCATGCAGTCGATGGGTAGACAGTGTGAAGACCACGCGGTTCCGATGGTATAGACCAAGTTCTATTCCGTACACGCGAAGAGATCTGAAAGACCTCTATCTATAGAGATATTTGGGGTGCTAAAAGTTATTCTGCTGGCACAAAAGGCTGAAATATTCTGAAGTTTTCAATGTTCTTTTGCTGCGCATATATATATATCGCTATATATATATCTGTGTAAGATCCACTGGGCTTTGGCCTCGAGGCTGCGAAGATTTCCGTGAAAAATGAATGCTGCCGTTTGGCTACAAGAGAGTTTTCTAAATGAAATGCCTCGACCACATTTGCTTGGGCCACAGAAAATTTTCGAAATTCGAAAAAGATTTTCGTACATTTCTCATAATTCGAAATTGCCTTGATCCCATTGAGAGCCAAAGAGCGAAACTTTTCTTCATTTAAAAGCCGCCGAAGAAAAAAAAAATTAAATAAATGAATACCCTAGCGTTTCTTGGACACGCACCGCTTTTAAAATTTCTTGCTTTTGTTATTGTTTTAGCTTGTGTGTATTTTTAAAAGCGGCGCATGTTTAAATTTATATTCCCCTCATTTATTTATGTTATTTTTTTGATTTTTTTTTTTTGCACTTCGGCCGATTTGCATTTCGGCCGTAGACAAGCTGACGTCATTGGGGCGTTGCAGTGAACGAGATGAATCAATGAGTAACATGGATCGTATATGAAATTCGCATTGATTTCCGTTCCGTATTTCCAGCACATGACGCATATCACTCATACGCCCTGGTGGCCTAAAGCAAAAGGCGCTTGGTGTGTATTTGAAGTATTATGTTGTATACTTGTTCGTTTTCATGTCCAACCATTGCACTTGGCATGGAATGACGGATTCGTTAATGGAACGTTTTTTGCCCTTTACAGCCACCGAGTGCCGTACCGAAAGCTGGCCAAGATGAGGCCAAGTCAACTCACATTTGGCTCTTGGCCAATTGGCCGAAAAGTCGACTGAACACATTCAAATTTAATTGTTAAATGCGCTGCGCCGAAAATGAGAAAATCGGGGAGCGGAAATAAACGATACTCGTCTATAAACTAGCCAGAATTATTTCGGCGTCATTTTTCGCAGCCAACAAATATCGAACTAGTGAGTTCTCAATTTTGTTTGGGTTTGAATTGCCGCCGCCGACAACCGAGCAAAATAAATCTAAGAGCAACAAAAAAAAAAGGAAAATTATTTTTCCTCTACGCTATTTTCAGTCGGCTGCCATTTTGTACAAATTAACGATATAAATTTAGTACGCGGCTCTAATTTAAATGGCAAAATATGCTAGAAATGCCGTGGCAAGTACGAGTGAAAGTGAAAGGCACATTTCGTGAAGTGGCGCGTGTTGCTCCAAAACGAAACAAGTGTCTATATAAAACAAATCGTAAAATATACAAAAAAAAAAAAACAAACGTTTGCAAAAAATAGTTTGATCAATTATGGGGACAGTAGGAATGTAATCATTCCCGCAGCGACGACGATAAGCACTGGGTCTGGCTATTTCGGTCGCCTTGGCTACGTCATCGTTTAAAGTAGAAACGCGTGCGAATCATATGCTCTTTCTCTCCGTTTCTCTAGCGAAGCGAATGAGGCGAAAATAACAAAAACAATCACACCTGACGACCCTGGCAGGTATTCGAGTATATGACTATACGAACTATACGAGTACCAGAGACCGGTGATGTTTTGCATATCTACGATGACTTAATCAAGTCTTGAAAATTTCTACCAGCTCTCGTTTAAGTACGCGATTTCTATCTTCTTATTTTGCTTGTGGGAAATTAATCACCTTATGCTTTTCACGACTTTAACTGCGTGTGCGTAAGTGGCCGGCAATTAGCTAGAACTACAAATTTTTAATTGCTGCTCAGTCTTCTGTGTGCGATTTTGGCTCGTTGGCGACAACTTTCGGACCTCCTGTAACTTTGGAGGCAGAAGTGTGCTCAACTTTTGCAACTTGCTAGCTCTCTGCTTGACTTCCAGTGCCTCAATTCCGTAAGCGGAATTTCGGTGAAACCCAAGCAGACGCTGCAAATGGAAAATGAACTCCCGGACTCGTTGCTGTTCGCTCGTTACGTATACGCCTGGTAATCCACAAAGCGGCGTTCGAAACTTCAACATGAAAATAGAAAGAACCGAAGGGAAGAAATGTAAATTCCGATTAGAAGCCATTGGCTCAAATGTATATCCATTGTCATACATCTCTCTCTTGTATTTTTGGGGCGCCGGTTGAGTGTATTTTTGTTATTTGCTTTGCTGCTTCTCTGGTATTTACTACTTCTTAGTTAATTAATTTGATTTAAAAATATGCGTATATGTATTGCGGTCGCTTCGTTCGTTTGCTCTTTCATTTAGTTTCCAGCCATCCAGTTTGAGAAACACGTCCGCTTGCAGCTAACTCTAAATAAAAACTGATTCGAATAGAATCTCAACACTGGCGGCGCATGCAAAAATTGCCAAATAATGTGCTTCGGCTTTCGTCGGCTGTCGATCGTTAATGGCGCACGAAGGCGCTGCGGAAATAAAAGAACGAATGCTGCTAAGAGCCCAACTCAACACACAAAAATATCTGAGCAAATGGGCGAGGGGGGACTGAAAGTTATAATGGCCAAGTGGCTTGGCATTGAATTTACCGGCTGAAATCAACGAACTTAGAAGGAAACTCTCACCCTTTCCAGGGCCAAATATTACACAAAATGCAGAGCTGATTGATAAAGCCATAATGCCAATTCGCCGGTTTAGATAAGAAAAGCCGGCAATAAACTTACCACTCGCGTGAACCGGAAAAGAGAGCAACGCTGTGGAATGGAACGAAAAAGCTAACAGCACTCTGTTAACGGCTAACAGTGGCGAAAATGAACTTATTATTACCCGATTACCTCATTTGGTCAAAGTTTTTATTATTATTCGCTTCTCTTGTTGTCTGTTATTTGTTTTTATTTCGGCCTTACCGGAATGACAAATTGTTCATGCAAATGCATATGCAAATCCCAGATTAAACTTGGATTCGTTGGGGTGCCTAATGATGTCTTATACACCTGATAAGGTTGGTAAATCTGCAAGATACGACTATGATTCAGCAATAGTTCATTTGTCATTCACTTTAATAAGTTGCACAAATGGTTTTTAGTTCACCTTTTTTTCATACTTTTGCCATTTCTTACTGATGAAGTCACCCAACTCAAGCAAACAAATTAATTTTCACTTGTGCTTTTTATTTACTTATTCTTTATGATTTTTTCGGCATTTTGTTTACATTCTGCTCTCATTGCCTAGCTTGAATCCGCTCAGGCATTTCATATTTCAATGGCAAATACATATGTACATAAATATATGCCATATATTCATATTTCGCTTTGGAATCTCTATATAGTATTTGCGCAAAAATCAAATTTACTCGCTAATGGAGTTAATTGTCGCCTTCAAGATAAACACGCTCACAAACGCCGCGAGTTGTTAAAAATAAATTATTAAATCCCCACAAAACGCAAGAGACTTAATGTATTTCTGCCGATTAGATTTTGCATGCCGAAACAATGTTGTTAATATCTCAAGTGTGTAAATGCATTGAAATTTTGCGACGCATTTTAGGATATACCATATACATATCTCAGTTGTGTCTATATAATTATCGATGACATGCCGCTTGGAGCTATATTAGATCACTCTTTTCGGTGCGATGATGGCATAGTTTATTTGTTCAGTTTGGGATAGCCACATTTGAATGTGAATACAATTAAAGGAAGAAATAATTCAGGGAATTTATGGGGAAGCCCTTGGGAGATCATTATATCATTCCATTATATCATTATTATATCATTCGAAATATATACATCTAAATGATATTCATTTCTTGATTGTTATTTTAATCAACCAACAGTAAAACGTGCTTATCCGTAGAATGTGTACTGATATATAGAACCCGTCATCGCTTGGCAGCAGTCAAAACATTTGTCATTTTACTCGCTTTAAGCCTCCTAAAAACTTACGCACATTGCGGTGGGTTTTGAGGGAAAATTTGGGGAAAAATTGAGGAAAATTATAGACACAGCTGCTGCTCTCGTTTTTCAAGCGGACTGCTGTCAAGAAACAACAAATTGTGTGTAAAAATAAAACAAAATAGATTGGGGGAATTGGGGGGCCGGTGATCTCCCCAAAAATTGTGTCAGTGTGAAAGGCCAAAAGGGAGAAAAGTGGGCCGCTGTCAACCGAAAAGTGTTTACGTGATCCGAGTATCGGGGCTTATGAACAAATAAATATGTTGCTGGCAACATGTTGCCAAGCTTTCGGCACGTGATTAATTAGCAAAAGAAAATCCACAACACTTTCAATGAAACAATGAACAACAAGTAGAATGAAATGAACTGACATATTGGCACAGTTTCTGTGTTTGTCTAGCGCCAGGCAACAATAAATAACAACAATTTATTTATTTATTTATATATCAGGCATTTCCGCCAAAAAGGCTAAAGAATTCTTCTTTCGCTGTGTACCTTATCACAAAAGCGAAAAGCATATACGAAATATATGTACATATATCAAATAGCTCCTAAGACCCCTATCGCGTTTGATAAGACCGAAGCTTTGGCACAGTTTTTTGAAGAACGGGATAGCCACCGGGAAAAATAAAGAAAACAAGTGCTTAAAAATAAAGAGTTTTCCGGGATTCCCAGAACAATAAAGCTAACAATTATTTCGGGAAATAGCAGACTGAAGGGGGTAAAAACAAAACGCTATAAGCCTCGGTTACGTAATGCACACACAACAACGCCGACAACGAAGCGTAACACTTGGTCTGACGTCAGTTTCCAACTCAACTATAACAATAAGATGGCATTTCGAGGGCCGAACAAGTCAGGCGTTTTGGGAAAAGGTTTGAAAAGGCGAGAAGCATTTCTTTTTAGAGCTATAAACAAGCTTTATAAGTATGTAGTTTAGTTGTTAAAAGTACTGTTAAGAAATTTCCTCGTAGCACATCACTGGATATTTTAGAAATGAGTGTGATATAAACATGATATAAACCAGCCTCGGCGATATTCATCTGTAACCAGTTAGGTTCTCTAGATTGCCATTTATTTTCATTAGGCAACAAGTTTGGCAGCTAGATATAATGTATGCAAGCCAATACAATTTCCGGAATTAAACGTTTCGATTGGGACCTTTGTTTGTGTTTTGTTTGGGTTTGTTTCTCTTTTTGGGTCCCGAGTCACGCGTAGTTAAACACATTATATGGTAAATGGTATATGGCATAGTTGATAGGGTTCTGGTAATTGGGGTTTCACTGGGTACTCACTTGGCCTGCTGCTCAACTAACTTATCCACTTTGGCCTGTATGGCCTCCGCCGAGGGTTTGTGTACTTCCCCAAGGAATGTGAGGATGGATTTAGAGAGCGCCTCGATTTCTTTATGTGATGATTTAAGTTGATTTGATTCTTCACGCAGTTCCTAAAAAAATAAAAATTATTGCTAATTACAATGTTTGTTCAATTATGATTCATTTGGTGTGGTCATGTAATTTCTAAACAGAAATGATCATTGCAACATCATTTTTGTAGAACTTTTTTGTGTATCTCCCTCAATTTCGGTTTCATTTCCAGTTTTTTGGAAGGTCAGCACTGTATAATAGTAAATAAATTTGTTCGCTTGACTTGGCAGCTTTTGGAGCTTGCGGTTATTTGATCAAGAAGATTTTCGACAAAATTAAAATGCAGTATAAGCAAAAAACTATAGAGAAATACAATTTATAGTGTCTAAAAGACAATCTAAAACCTTTACTAAGTGTTTGCTTTTGTTTATCATTGGCTTGATATTTTTGTTCGTTATCGCTGAATGCTGCTTCATATGGCACATGTATGACAACATCGTTAGTTTGATTTGGTCGGGCCTAGCATTTATGGCTGAAAATTGCTTCAATTGAAATGTGATTTGAAAGCTTGCTATTGACGTTGAGGTGGGACTACCTTTTTAGTTGGTTAATTTGTGTTTTTGTACTATTTATAGTTGACCGATTGGAAACAAACTTCCAAAGTTGTTATCGCTCCAAATAGTGATTTCACTCGCCTACAAATCACTCAAATCATTACTGATAAGTGCCACAAATGTGCTGAGTCAAGTTACAATAAAATAATGCTATTATTTATTATTATTTATTTACATAAATATAAATAAAATCAGAGGTATGCAAACCGCTCTATGTTATTATAGGTCATTAATCATGGGAGTATATCTGGTTCTGTGGGTTAGCTCAAGATTCCGCAGAAACCGAAAGTTAGAATGTTGTTTTTTGATTCGCATTGAGCTCTTGATTACTGTGATTTAGTGGCTTTCCGTGCTAATCATTCACAACACATCGTAAGTTAAATTTTTGGACCTGCCTCGGAAACTCAGCTGCTCCATGGCTTTCGAGAAGCTCAAGTCGGTTTAAGAGAGTCCGAAGAGCGTGACAAACTCAAACTACGAGAGCGCAAGCTCCGGTCCACAACGTGACCATGAACTTGATGTCGGCATGGTGTTCACGGCTATACAGTTTACGTATATATCTAACACTTACATATGTATCTGTCGGAATGTGTTTATGCATGGATATTGGTAAAAATATTTGACAAACATGAAAGCCCCCAAGGGAGGGCGGATTGCCATAACGAAACCGAGTGAATGAATGGGTGCCCCTAAGTATGAAAACACTGTGAACCGAGCATGAATGAAACATACACATGAATCTGTATCAATTGTATGAAAGGGGATATTTTTATAACATAAATGAAAGAAATGATAAATGATAAATTAAAAATTATAACTTTTCCGTCCCCTTAAAAATAAAGCACTATAATAAAGAGTGACTTTTTCTCAGTGTCGCCCCAAAAGGTTGCAACTCACCTGAATGGCATTCTTCGTATCTTCCAAGTGACGTCGGGATCTTACAGTCGGATCGACATTGCGGAACTTGTCCTCCAGTCGACCAAGTGCCTTTTCCCAGGCGTGCAGGCTGTTCTCGAAGCCGTCCCAATGTTCGGCCAACTGTTGCAGGCTGTCACGTCGCTGTTCCAGGCTGCGCACCAGATCCTGCCAAGATCTATTCAGTGCGGCGTTATCCTGCTCGATCAGCTGGCGATTGCGGGCGTCTGCTTGGCGGATCAGCGATTGGGCCTGCTGGTTGACTAGCGTTAAGTCGCTGCTTTGGCTCTGAAATGTACGAAGGTATAAAAACAAGCGGCATGAAATTGGTTCTGACGTAACACCGATTTAGGAAACGCGGTTGGTACAAAATATATATATATATGTATGTATATGTAAGAGGTATATCTGGAATTCCGGGTTTTCGTCTTGGTCTAGAGTTTGCTAGAAGCTTGCTAAGTGTGCCCTAGTTCAACTCTGACATATGTCTGGCCCACGGAGTTGAAAGGCAAACGTTGCTTAATTCATATATAAATTTTATAGATTTTTCTTCACAAACACAAACGCACACACACACACACACACCTCGAGTGTAGCCTCCTTTTGCGACCTTTATTTTGTTTGGTTTCTTATTGGTCTTTTATAGATTTCAAATGGCTGATGACGTTAGCCGTTGGCTTTTCGATATTGATGTCTATCTGGCTGGCGATTTTGTTGCTGTTTTTTTATACTTTTGTTCAATTTCAATTTACGCCTTGCTCAAAGCACATGGCGAAGTTTTTATAACGAAACGGGTAATTCAAATTTAACAAATGTAGCGATTCTCCTCTTTCTTTCTTTTGCTCTCTTTCTATACACATGTATGTACGGTACGAATCGCGAATACGAATCTAAAACACGCTGCCAACCGCACAGATAAACGTCTCAACTTGAAGTGAATTCGACGGAACTCAAAATAAATCCAACAGCCCAAAAGCAAAAGCAAATAAGCACGAGTTAGAATCTCTCTTAATTTGCCGTCAGAGCAGGCCCAAAGAGAGCAAAAAGCCGGGCAAACACGTTTTTTCAAACATTTGGCATAATGTATGTGTGTGGAACATCGTTTTTGGGTGGGCGTGGGCGGCCAAAGTTGGGCTTCGCACATACAATGTGTATATAACGCATACGCCACCGTGTACACGTCACTCACTCTCTTTGTCGCTGTCTCTCTCTCTTTTATAATTGGCAGCAACAACAATTGCCGGCATGCCCTGTACGGCAAAAACAACAAAGAACAACAAGTACAACAACAGAACAGCTGTGTAGAAAAGAGCCAGACCAAAGGGCTGGTGCTCTTAAAGCTCACTCAGCAAACACCAACAAATGTGCACTTAGCATGTGTATCTCAATATCCCATTGAAAAACCAGGGCTAGAACTGAAACTGAAATATCTAAGGTATTTATTTTCTTTCTATTGAATAAAATCTATAACATTTTTCAAAGCCCGTTTAAAAAGTCCTTAAATTATAACAACAAAATTGAATTGAAACCAATAGTAAATAAAATAGTTACAAAATGTATTTTGAATTAACAATTGCTATCTTCCAAACAGATTAGAAAAACATTAATTCGTTGAAATATTCATCCCAAAAAAGATAGATATATATAAATCATTATATATGATGAATCCATCCCTGGCTCAAAACTGGTTGCTTGATACAGTGTTGCTGGTGCTGATGATGTCATGAGCTTAATTCATTCCGGGGCAGCAGCAACAACAACAGCTGTTTTTTCCAGTTGCCGAGCATAAAAACCGAGCTAGTGCCTTGAATAATTATAATCGAACTGGAAGTCCGACAACAGACGACTGAACGATAAGCTCGACAAATAGTGAACTAGTAGGTTAAAAGTTTAATGAGTGCCCAAGGTAAAAGCTTACGAAAGTAAACAAATGGGCACTCAAAGTGTTCAATAAACAACTATCAGCTCAAAAAATCAAATCTCTCTTTATTTTCTGTGGAAATAAGAGAGCGAAGAATAAGAAGAGAAGAGGACTTAAATGCAAATGCAACTGAAAGTGAGTCAAGAGTGCATTTTATTTGCTTTTGCCGGCCGGCGAATCGTTGCTACGTAACGCAAAAGATAGAAAACGATTGCAATTCGGTTTTTAATGGTGCCACTCCATAAGGTTGCTCTTAAGGCGATACATTCGCATAAGTAAATATGTATGTAAGTTAGTGGCACATCCTTGTGCAATGTGTCATTTTTTGGAAAACTGGTTCTTCGACTATACACTTATATGCACAAAGCATGCAGTCGAACAGCTGAATATTCATGGCTATTCAAAGGAGTGCCTAAATACACACAAGAGCCGTCCATATGTTGGGTTTTTATGTTAGGTAACGACAAAAGTTAAAGCCCTAAATAGGTGGTACTTTCAATCAGATCTGGATGTGCATTTTCTTTCGTGAAAAAGGCTTTCATAAAACTTTTAATACGTATACTTTCTTAAAGGTAAGATACTAAAGTACCTTTGGAAAACCATTCAAATACACACAAAAACGAATCAACAAACTCACCTGAACATTGCCGATGGCGTGGGACAGCTTCTGGATGTTGAAGTGGAGTCCAGCCAAATTCTGGACGGGCTCATCGATGAACTTGGTGCGTTCGATGGTGGCCTTGACGCGATCGATGGACTGTTGGTACTCCCGCCAGCGTTCCGCCTCCTTCTCCAGTTCACTCTGTTGGGTCTTGGCATTGGCCAGTGTGTTGGTCAACTTGGTTTGGAACTGAGCCAACTCCGCCGAAAGTTCCGACTGTTCGTAGTTGTTCAGTGAGGACCAAATCTTGTCGGCGGCCTCCTGGATCTGCTTGTGCACCAGGTTACGGATGGGCGCCTCATTGCCAAAGAATATCTTGTGTTCGTCTAGATCCTGGACCAAGTGCTCGTAGTCGATGCCATGCTGGCTGTTCTGAAGACGCAACTCGGCCTCATGGACCCAGTCATTGAACTTGGCCACCAGCTGCATGTACTCCAAACGAGAGTCGCGGTTGTTCTTCAGATACTTTTCACGCTCCTCCAGTTCATGGGGCAGGGAAGCCACCAGGGATCTGCCCTCGGAGAGCATTTCCAACAGGGAACTCGGCATGCCTATTTCGGTTTTAACACCATCATTGATTTTGTTGAATTTATTCAGATAGGATTCGATGTCCTGGCTGAGAACCTGGTGCTTCTGCAGCTCACGCTCCACGGACTCGGGATCTCGGTCCAGTAGAGGACGCGACTTGGCCGCTCCTTCGTGGCTGTGCAGCCAGTCGAGGATTTCGCTCAGTTCGGCGGCCATCTTCTTGTGGGATTCCAGTTGGAGTTGATGCTTTTGGCGCTGCGATTCCACCGCCTTGCGGAGATTCTGCAGCTGATTCTTCAGGGACTGCAACTGTTCGGTAATGCTATTCTTATCGGCGGCATTACCTTCGGACGCAATCTTCTGGCCCTTATCATTGGCCGAAGCCAAGACACCTTCGCACTCCTGAATCTTCACAATCACATCATCGTACTTGTTGATCTTATCCTCCAGACTATCAGGTGAGTTCTCAATATCAATGATAACATCGGTGTACTTCATGATAAAGGCGATAATCTCATTAATCAAAGCAATAAACTGCTCGCGGAGCAGCAGAAGCTGGCGGAGATGGGCCAACTGATCTTCAATCAGTTTAATCATATCATCCTGCTGGGCCAAAATGCTCTGCAACTCTGGCAAATCATCCATCTGCATATCGCCCATCTTGCTCTTGCTGTCCTTGAGTTCCTTGAGAATTCCCTCATAGGCACCCAACAGGTCCTGGACATCTTCGATCCTTGACCCAATCGGGCGGTTGAGTTCCCTGAGTTTCTGCTGAATATTGCCCAAGAACTGACTGCACTCGGCCAACCGGCTCTTGGCATCCTTGTACTTCTTGATGTGATCACCCAGGGCGTTCACGCGATCATCGATGGTATTCTTGATTCTGCCATAACGATCCTTCATGTTCTTGATATCGTCGTTGAGTTTCAACTTATCGGCATTGCTTAGTGTGGGCAGGATGCTCTTTCCCTGCTCCGAAACATCGTTGATGAGGCCGCCCTTATTCTCGGCATCGCTGAGGAGCTTCTTGTAATGGGCCAGCTGCTCCTCCAAAACGGGTAGACTAGTGGTACGAAGCTCACCCTCGGTGGCGGTTTCCATTTCGTTCAACCAATCGCCCATGTTCTTCATGGAATCCTCAAAGGCTTTGCGACCTTGCAGAAGATCATCCAGAGACTTTCCTCTCTTGCTGCTCTCATCCTTGAGGGTCTGATAGTCGGCAGCTATTTCGTCCAGGATCTGCTGCAGTGCAGCCTTGTCGGCATCATCGCAATCCTTCATTATGTTGGCCGCTTGGCGCTGAACATCAGTCAAAACGCTGTCGTTGAACTGCTTGGCATCGTCATCGTACTTCCGGTTCTCCTGGATCTTTTTCTCGATCTCACCAGAGGTCAGTGGGTGGTAGACGGGCAGCTTGCGCACTTCAGAGATCTTGGTCTTCAGCCATTGGCGTGCCTTGTCCAGATCGTTCTCCAGGGATTTACGAGCCTTGCTGGCCTCCAGAGCACGATCCAGTTCAGCCTTCAGGACTGCCGATAAGTTGCGGTTGTCAGTGTTGAGATTACGCAATGCGGACTCCAGTTGGGAGTACTCAACGGGTTCCAATTCCTGCTGCATGTTGGCCACACGCTTCTCAAGGACATCGGCCAGGGATTGCTTGGCCTCGGCATCCTTCATCAGACTCTTGATCTTCTGCTGGCGTGCCTCGGCATCCTTGGGCGTGTAACCCAATGGAGTGGGTGCCTGCAGCTCCTCAATCTGTTGTTTCACCCAATTCTGGAGTTGATCAATCTCGCCCTTAGCTCCCTCCACACCCTTGTTGGTCACATCCAGGAGTTGAGCCTTGCGATCGATGCGCTTGCCGAGATCAGCAAAGCGGCGATCCAGTGACTTCATTTGCTCTTCCACTTGCTGGCCATCGAGATTGCTGATGACCTCCGCCACCTGCGCTGCCTTGCCCTTGAGCTCCTGAATCTTGGGATGTCCTTGCAGCTCATATTCGTTTTTGATCTCGTTAATGGCCGCCATTTTCTGAGCACAATTCAAGCCCGAACCGCGATCCAAAACGTCCATGCGCTTGATCAGGGTATCGAACCAGTTCTGGACATCAGCCATTCCCTGGCGGTAGCCATCGATTACATTCTGACCAGCCTGCTTCTTGGCAATGGCATCCATGAGCTCTGATTCCAGCTTGTCGATGTTATCATCCAGATCGGTATCCTCGTCGCCCACTAATGGAACGAAAAAGAGATAATACAATCAGAAGGGTCACAGGGTTGCTCCAAGGATCCAGAATTTTGAAGAAACCTATAAGTTGCAGTCAATTTTACATCTAACACTTACACGATCCTGTCATTTCCAGCATCAACTGCGACCGCTTGTCCCCGATGGAGTTCAACAAATCGTTCATGGACACCAGCTCCTGTTGAGCTGCCTCCGGACGCAGTTTGCATGGACGCATCATCCAATCTGAGACAGAGCTCTGCTGCTTCTTCACCCAATCCTGCAGCTCGGCGCGCTGCTTCTGCTGTTGCTCCAGTTCGCTAACGGATGCAGTCAAACCACCCAAGTGGGATTGCACCTGGTAAAGACAAATAAGCAATTGAATTAAATTCGTTTATAGCATAATTTGTAAGCAAAACAAGCAATTTAAATAACACAGCCATGCAGACCGCCACCTGTTCGTTTGTATATGGGGATAGTCCTTACTCTTACCTTAGCAACTAATTCATTCAGCTTGCCCACATGGGCGCTATTCAGGCGAACTATGCGGCGATAGTTCCTGACACGCTCGTAGGCAATCGGATCCGAAAGCGCCTCATGCACATCGCTGAGCTCAACCTGAATCTCAACATCATCCTCGTCCTTATCATCATTCCTGTTGACACCTTCGGTTGAGCTCCGAGTCTTTGGAGGCGGTTTCTTTTAGGCAGCAAAGCGCAAGGCATAGCATTTTTTTTTTTGTGGTGGGTAGTGCATTTTACAACATTTACGGGCAGTGTGGCAAGTCAACAAAGATTGGGGCAGTGTTGGGTTTTTGGGGTTAAGGGATTAATAAAAAGAACAAGTCAGTGGTTAGAAAATAATAGAGATAAAATTAAAATAGAGTGGCAGACTAAATATTTTAAAAAAGGTGTAATTAAATACATTTCAAACAAGCAAAAATTCTACTCTTTAGATCTGAAAGGCATTGCATAGATCTACACAAGGATGCTTCTATTCGTTTTAAACAATATAATTGCTTGACTTTGAATTAAGGAAAGTGGTCGCAAATCTACAAAGGCATCGCAAGGGTGTAAACGGTAGCCTACCTGATCCAGCAGATCCTCGAGCTTGGCGCGCACAATGAGCTCCCTTTCGGGAATAGCCTGCATGGCTGTTTCCAGCGGAGAACTGGGTCGACTGATGGAGGCAGTGGCTGCTTCACACGCCTGGACGGCAGCTGCCAGTCGGGACTTCTCGTTGTTCAATTTGTTCTGCATTTCCTGGGCACACCTCAGCTGGCTTTGAGCCAACTCCAGGCTGGTGGCCGGGGCATCCAGTTCGGTCTGGATAATGGGCTCATATGTCTCCAGATTACGCATAATGCTATCCAGAGTGTCCTCGTATTCCTGGAACTTGGCCAGCGATTCCAGCAGGCGATTCTTGATCTGCACTGATGTTTGCAGCAGGGAGTTGTAGCTATCCTGGATATTCTTCAGCTGTGACTCCACTGTAGGACGAATGGCTGGGGTTGAGGATTCATAGCGCTTGATCTGCGCCTGGCCCTTGGCATTCAAATCATCCAAATTGGTCTGGTACTTTTGGATTTCAACCAACAGTGCTTCGTGCTGCTTGATCTGCTCCTGGGTCTGTTCACGATTCGAGATGAACAGCGAATTGTGGGCCATCAACTGGAAGGAAATCTGCAGTAGCCACTTCTCCACATCCTGCAGACTCTGATGGTAGGCATTATAGTCGAACATCTCCTGTTCCAGCGCCGCAATGTGAGCCGAGCAATCGTTCTTGAGCTTGTCGCATCGGGATTGCAAGCGATTCACTGCATCCACTTCGGTGCCCAGGTCGCGAGCCTCCGACTGCAACTGTTCCAGCTCGCTACCCTTCTGTTTCAGTTCATTCGAAAGGGTCTTGTAACGCTCCAGCAGGGTCTTCATTTCGCTCAGTTCGCCCTTGGTTTCCGGTGCCACCTTAAGCGTCGACTCGGTTTCCTTGAGCCACTTCTCCAGTTTATCCTTGTTGGCAGCAAAATCGTTCCAACGAGTCTGCGCCTGCTTCAGGTCACTCAACTTTTGCTTTACGGCCAGTCCCAGGGCATCCCAGTCCTCGCGAACCTTGGTCATCAGCTCCCGCAGCTTCTCTTGCTTGTCCTCAGGAGTGATGTTGGAAGCCTTCGAGTAGGCATCCTGTACCACAGCCAGCAGATGCTGACCCTCGGGCAGGCGAGAAGCCAAGGACTGTAAAACAAAAATGATTTTTATAATTATATTAAATATATATGATATGAAAATTTGAAACAATTAATATATTTTCTGATAAATACAAACAACTTACATTGACCGTATCCAGTTTTTGGGCAATGATGGCAGCATCGCCATCAGTGGAGCAATCGTCCAGAACCTGTTGCGCTTTCTCGATCCAGGCGTCCATTTCCTTCTTATAGTTGAGGAACTCGGTGTGATCGGATAGATTCTTCTCGATCTTGGCAACCAATCCCTGGGCGGAAGTCAAGAGCTTGGTGTAGTTGGCCTGAGTCTCGATGGTCTGGTCACGAATGCGAGTGCAGGCGCTCTGCTCCATGAGCAGCTCACAGTTATCGTTTAGGTCCTCCACATTATCCTTCTCGGCCAGCACTTCCTCAAGCAGTTTCTAATGGAAAGAGGAAACATTTAGTTTCAAGACCTGACATTGGGCGTTTAGAGCACATAAAGCAATTAAGCATAAGACAGGTGTCTGTGTAAATGATTAGCTGCAATTGATTATACAAAAAGTGATTAGCTGAAAAGTTAGCAGTAGTGATTAGTGAGGGTTTAGTACATGATTTAATTTCTCACCGTGCGAGATATTAAGATACAAATTTTGTTGTCGGTGAGTTCTACTTAAAGTGCACGCTTTGGCAATATTTATACTCGATTACATTTTTAGTACTTTTTTTGGTTAGAGGTGCGTGCGACAGTTGCGAGATCTCGACTTGACGAAGAGTTCTTACCTTGGCATTAACCAAATCTTCGGGTGTCTTGTTCTCGCCCTCCTGGGATTTGGTAACGCGCTTGTTCATCGTTTCGATCCACAGGTTGATCTTGTTGAACTTCTGCAGGAAGGTCTGCCAGGCGGCCAGGCAAGATTCGAGGCTGCTGCGAGCATCGCGGGATAAAGATTGGAGGGTCTCCCACTCCGAGGTGAGATGCTTGATCTCCTGGGCCACATTGTCCTGGCCCTCGCTTCCGCTGGTGGCAATCACCGCCTGACTCAGCTCTTCACAAGCTTCGAGAAGGGCCTTGCCCTCCAGAGATGATGATTGTATGTCTCCCAAGCGATTCAGACGACTCTCCACTTGATCCTTCTCGCCATGGCAGTCGGCACACTGCTCCACCTCAATGCGAGTGCGTCGCAGCCAATCTTGCAGCTCATTGTAGGCCTGCTTGTATTTCTCGTGGCTGTTTACCTGGTTCTCCAGCGACTCGATGATTTTGTTCACCTGGGTCTGCAGGTCATCGAATTTGGTCAAGCCCGGTTGGAAGTCCTTTAGATCCAAGCTGTTGTCCTCCTTTAGCCGCTGGTTGATCTTTTCCACAATATCATTGTGGCCATTGATATCTCGCTGAATGACGCGGAACTTCTCCAGCGCCGCGCGTTTCTCACTCAAGTCGTTCAGGAACTCATCACTGGTCTTGACACTCGGCTCCACATCCTCCAGCCATTCAACCAGTATCTTGTACAGCTTGAAGATCTCCTCCAGCTGGGCAAGACGATTGGCCAGTTTTTGGCGAACATCGTTTAGATCCACCAGCAGTTTGTCAAAGTCCTGCTTTAAGGCTTCGGTATCTTCCTGGATCTTGGCTGCACCATTTTGTTCGGTGTTCATTATCACCTTCTCCTTCAGCTCCAAAAGATAGCGCAGTTTATTCTGGCCGGTTTCAAATCCTTGACGAAGATTCTTCACGGTATTCAATTTGATTTGAACCTCGTTAAGAGTTCCGGGAATCTGTTCGCACTCGGAAAGTTTCTCACGGGTATTCTCAATCCATGACTGGCACTCCTCGTACAGACTGTGATGCTGCTGGTGCTCCTGGTAGTGCATCTCCAGTCGACGCATCACCTCCTTGGCCAGAGTCAGTAGAGCATTGTATTTGGTGGTCAGTTGCATGATAGCATTGCTGATTCTTGTATCGGAGCAAGTCTCCAGTAGAACCTGTGCCTTCATGTTCAGGTCATCCAGAGTCTTCTGCCAGTCAAATAGTGTCTGCAGATGTCCCTGGAATTGCTCGAGGACAACCTTCTTTTGGATCAAGCTATCCTGCAATTTGTTGTAGGATTGCACCAAAGCTTCGGTCTTACTTAACCACTCCAAAGCCTCGGTGTACTGATCCTGGTAGTCGGACCACTTGACAATGCCCACTTCCAGGTAATCCTTGGCCTTATTGAGGGCTTCCCTGTAGGCATCGAATTCCTCTTGAAGAAGGGCCACTTCCTGCTCGATGATCTCACAATCCTCGGGCTCGGCACTGCGGCAAGCGATCTCGCCCTGTTCCAGAGCATTCTTCAGTTTCTGGGCGCCTTCCGGCAGCTCACCCTGCAGAATCTTCAGCTGGTGGGTCTTCTCGGCCAGAGCTTGCTTATCTCCCGTGGGTTCGGAGCACTTGCTCAATCGTTCCTTGGCATTTCTCAACCACGTAGCAAACTCATTGCCCGCGTCAATCAAGGACTGATAGCTCTCGATGGTGTTCTTCTGTTTCTCGTACAAGTCCTTAGCCTGCTTAGTAAGATTCTCGTACTTATCCGAGATTTCGGTGCCCGGAGCACCCTGCTGAAGAACCGAAGCCTTGGAGGTAACCGACTGAATCATGGGCTCAAATGACACAATATCCTGGACAATGTTGTTCGTCTGACGAAGATTGGCCTTGCGTTCGCTCAATCCACTGCTGAGACCAGGTTGGCCCCTCTTGGATTTAACGATCTTCTGTTCACAAGCCTGCTGCAACTTGGCCTCCCTGTCAGTAATCCATTGCTGCAGCTGGGAGTAGCTGGAACTGTAGTCCGCCCATTGCAGCAGATTGGTCTCCAACTGCACCTTGGCTGTGGACATTTTCTTCACAAGGCGATCCCATTCGGTTTGGAGTTCCTTCATCTCGGAATTAATGGCGTCACGTCCGTCGGACCGCGTGTTCCTAATTATCTTTTCGCCATTATTGATAGCGGTATGGACTAAGTTCTGTCCAACCTCGCGATTGCGAATCAGATCCTGAATTTGCTCCAGGCGACGCTGCAAAGCCTCCTTGGAGCCTGCTCCTTCACCCGCCGACTGAATTGTTGCCTTGGCATTTGCTATCCAATCCTTGGCCGATTTCATATTGGCATCATATTCACGATGCTGATCGCGGTTGGTTTCCACCTTCTTGAGCACGTCCTTGGCTAGATTTACCTGTACCTGATACACGGAGCTCAAGTGCCTTAGCTGATTGTTCACATAAGTATCCAAATGGGACTTTAGCAGACTGGCAGCCGAGGCATTAAACTTATCGATGTCATCCTTGCCTTTCTCGAGACGAGACATTACATCCTTCATATCAGCCACCTGCTTCTCCTTCTCCGGCAGGTTGGAGCACAAGTTCAGTTTGTGGTTCTTCACAAGGATGTCGATCTGCTGGAGCCATTCCATCAGACGTTCATATTCCTCCTTATAAGCTCGCCACTGAACCATGGTCACCTCCAGGTTTTCCTTCTGCTGATTGATTTCACGGAACAAGCCCTCGAAGCTGTCGCGCAGCGCACGGATATCGTTCCTAATGATTTCCTGACCTTGAGCAGAGGTACTGGCCAGCACCACCTCTCCAGTGTGGACCAAGTGCTCCACGAGCAGTTCACCCTGCGCCTGCTTGTTGAGAAGAGCTTCCGTAGCTTGGACAGCGTTTTCAATGGCCAATTTATCGCTTAAGCTGCTCTGCTTCAACGAAGGGAATTTCTCGCGGGCTCGTCCAATCCAGCTAACCAGGTCATCGTAGGCCTCCTTGAACAATCGATGATCCCTGTACTGATCCTGACGGTCGGACAGCAATTTCTGTGTCTTGGCAAAGAGTTCGTCGAACGTGTCCAGTACCTTTTGGGCCTGGAAGGCTGCCTGACTCTGTTGGCCACTGGCAATCATTTCCTTGGCTTGGATTTTGAGTGCATCCACATCAATCTTCTCTACGCGGACCTTCTCCTCCGTAGATTTAACTCGATCCAATTGCGCTCGCTTCTCTGTCATGGTTGTTTGATGCTCACTCAACTCCTTAACCTGACCATCCAACCACTCGTTAAACTTGCGAACGTTTTGCACTTGATCCAGGAAACCAGACCATTGAGTAATGGAGTCATCAAGATTTGACTTGACATCCATGATGCGCAGTGCGATTCCGGACCAGAGCTCCTGGAGATCGGTGAGTTCCTTGTTGATGGCCTCGTGACCTCCGGGCGCTGTGTTAGCCAACACGTGCTGGGCCTGCTCTAAGATCTTCAAGACGCGCGCAGAACCTTCGTCCTTCAGCAAGATAACATCCTGGATAGTGGCCAATTTCTTATCCAGTTCTTTGGGACTCATAGATGACATGTCGGAACAATAGTCCAATTTTTCTTTGATGTCATTGATCCAAGAGGAGCAGTCCGAGATGGCGTTATCAAAATCTTCGTGAGACGTAACATACTGCTGCCACCGATTGTTCAGCTCCTTGACCTTATGGAAGATCTGCTGGTACTTGGTTACCAACTCAGGACCCGAGGTCCGATTGCTGGTGGGACCCTTCAGTAGGGTTTGGGCCTTCTCCGTGACATTATCAACCTCTAATTCCTTGGCGCGCACATCGCCTTGGAGCGCCTTCAGTGCATCCAGCTGAGCACGCTTTTTCGGCAAATCCTCCTTGAGATCGATTGCATGAAGGTTGTTATCCGTATCACGAATCCAAGCCAAACACTGGTCACGTAACTGCTCGTACTCCGACCAATGCTGTAGACGAGCTTCAATAGCTTCAATGGTGGAGCTGATAGTGGTCAGTAGACTTTCCCATTCTTGCTGGGTGGTGTCGATCTGGGACTTTATGTTCACCTGTCCCACATCCACGGTACCCGGAATAACCTTCTCGCCCAAGGCCCTGACTTGATCAACTCGTGGGAATTCATCGGCCAAGCTGGCCTTCAGATTCTTCAGACGATCGAGGTTCGTGTGCAGTGAGATCTGTTCCAGATCTAGATCGCCCCAATAGTGGACAGTATTCAGGGTAGCATCGATAAACTCTTGAGCATCCATAACAGCCTTGGAGTACTGCTGATGTGCACTCACGATACCCTCGTAACGCTCCACGTAGTTCTGGGCACGTTTTTGCAGCTTCCCAAAACGATCAGAGATGTCCTTAAGAATTTGGTCCACAAGGTCTGTTTTTTCTGGCAGATTGGCGGCAATCTCCTGGAGATTACCCAACTCCACCTGGTGATTGTTGATGTCGTTCAAGATGTCACGATAGGTTTGCAGCTTATTGCGCTTCTCATCCAGAGTGGTTTTCAGCTCAATATCAGCTGGAAGAGCATTCTCCGTTTCCTCCAACCAACTCTTCAGGCTATCAGCAATCTCATCGAAGCCAGACCACTTGGCGATCTTGTCCTGAATCTTTCTTGCCGTTATGGCAATATTGTCAAACAACTGATCGAATGTCAGATCATCCAGCTGACTGCGAATGGCCTCGCGTCCTTCGGTTGCTGTGGACCCATAACACTTCTCGCCCAGCTCAACGGTGCTGTTTAGAAGCTGGGTGGCTGTTGGCTGCTGAGCCAGAAGCTCCTGAATGACCATTTGCTTCTTGAGAAGATCGTCTCGAGAGGCCACTGTGGACAAGTCACAGCAGTCATCGTAACGGGCCTGGGCATTTGCCAACCAGTCCGCACACTGCTTATACTTGTCATTGAAGTGACCATGATCCTGAACAGCCTGTTCGCACTTCTTGAGAATCTCCTTGGCGGTAGCCTGGATCGATTGGAACCGGGAGGAGACCTGCTGCACATTAACAGCAATCCTTGTTTCACCGGAGCTTTGCACCAGCTCAGAGGTGTCATCCTTCACCTTGTCGAAGTCCGCTTCGTTTTGACGCAAATTCTGAGCCAAGGATTGGAAACCGTTCAGTTGTTCTTCCTTCTCCTCAAACGATGATTTCAGATTGTAGTTCTTGAGGGCGTTCTCGGCCTCACCCAACCAAGTAATCAGTCGATCCAAATTGATTTCGTAGTCATTCCATTGTTGTAGACGATTCTCTAGCCCACTCTTGACGTCGCTCAACGAAGCTCCGAACTTCTCGAAATCGGCATGCAAGTTGGCCAGATCACGGGCCATCGCCTCCTTGGATCGAGCGGGTATATTACTGGCCTGTTGCTCAATGTGATCCTCCAGGGACTTGAGCTTGGCCACTCCCTCCGGCAATGCATCCTGGATCTCGTTAATCTTTTGGAGGCGTGCTTGTAAAGCTGCCTTATTGCCCGAGTAGTCGGAGTAGCCGGTAAGACGATCCCAAAGATTCTTCTGGTAGTCTTGCTGAGCCTTCTGCAGCTCACTGAACTGCTGGTACACATCGAAGGCTCCGTCCAGATCGGCCACTAACTTGGCACAGTCCTGACCCACTTGCTCATATCGCTTGTTTACCTCGGCCACCGCCTGAGAGATCTCATCCGCGTTGGCTGGAGCTGCGCTTCCCAGAAGAGCTGCAGCCTTTTCATTCACAGCCTCAACTATGCGTTTATGGGAGTTAATGTCTTGGTTGGTGGCCTTGTACTTGTACAGCTTGGAGCGGATTTCTTGGGCACTGGTCCAGCTGGCAGGGTTTTCATTGTGGAGTAGTTTCTCCACTTGATCCAACCAGTTAACAGTTTGATTGAGAATATCCTGGTAGCTGGAGAGCTGTACTCCCTGCGCCTCCTGGCGTTTTTCCAGGTTGCGAATGCCCTCGTCCAGTTTGTCCCAACGATCGCGGATATCGCGCAGGTCCTTACGGATTTTCTCCCTACCCTGAGTGGATGTCTCTGGAAGAGCCTTTTCTCCGGCTGCATTTAGAGCAGCAAATAAGCTCTCTGCTTGCTCCTTCTCAGACAGCAGCACTTGCAAAATGTTTGAACTCTGGGTGGGCTCATCCAGAAGGACCTTCGCCATCTGCGATTCAATGGGTTGCAGCCACAAATCCACCTCGTTGTACTTGTCCTGGTAGAACTGGTGATCGTCGACCAGATTGGACCAGCGGTTGACAACCTCCTTGCTGAGCACTTGAAGCAGTTGATACCGATTGGTGATCTGAGTGGTTAGTGTCTTCAGACGATCGGCTCCGCAGTTGTTAAGCAGCGCATGGGCAGCATCTCCGAAGGCATCGATCTCCTTCTCTTTCTGGAGAATCAACTCCCTTTGTATCTTGTACTTCTCCAGCTGCTCCACTTTCTCGTGGAGCGTGGACTGCAGCTGCTGCTCACGGAACACGGCCTCTGCACTGCGGCACCACTTGGTAAGCTCCTCCAGCGCCTTTTCAAACTTGTCCCACTGGGCCAGCACATCCTTCTGTTTGCCTTCAATGCCCTCGATGTCATCGAAGTGACTCTTCATGGTGGTCTCCAATTCCTCGATCTCCTTGTCCAGCACTTCATTACCCTTTTCGGAGGTCGTGGCCTTCACCTTCTCAAAGAGATCACGGATATCGCCGATTATTTTCATTGCCTGCGGCTTGTTCTGTGCCAATTGGCCTAAAGTTTCGATCTTGCGCTTGATGTCGGCCTTCTCGCCATAAGCATCGTCGCACTCCAGCAATTTGGCCTTCTCATTCGAAATCCAGGTTTTGGCTGAGGACAGAGCATTGTTTAATTCATTATGCTTCTGAACGCAATCCTCCAGATTGTGCAATATCTCATCGGACTTTTGGACAATGCTCTGGAAAAGCTGCTTGATCGAGGCCAGGTACACATTCAACGAGTTATCCTTAATCTGGTCGACCAGGATTTGCGCCTTGTCGCAGACATTATCAACCAGCACATTGTGTGTGGTGATCTCCTGATGGAGCAGCTTGTGGTTCTGGAGTTGGGCACGCTTCTCCTGCAGCGTCGTCTTGGGCTCCGTGTGGCTCTGCATGGCCTTGTCCACATCCTTCAGCCACTTGGTTAGCTGATCCTGGGCAATGCTGAACTCGTTAAACTGCAGCAAACACTGATCGATCTTTTGCGTTGCCGAGTTCAAGTCATCCGTATAGTTGTCCCAAAGGGTTCGCAGGGCACGTAACTGCTGACGAATGATTTCACGGCCCTCAGGACTGGTGTGGCCATAGAGTTTCTCGCCACGATCGATGAGTCCTTCGAAAAGAGTGGAATCCGAAATGCGCTTGTCGGACATCTCACGCAGTTTATTTTGCTGATCCTGCAGCACACTTTGATCGCCCACAATTTCATTGGTTTTGGCGAGCTCGTCGACCGAGGACTGAAGACTGTGCTTGAATGCATCGAAGTCCTTGTCGAAGCTCTCGTGATCCTTTACATAGTTCACATACTTAGCTATCGACTCCTTGCACAGGTTCTTCAGGGTCTGATAGCGCGTATTCAGGCGGGACAGTTTAAGATTCAAATCGGTTTCACCCTCAATCTCACGGCCTTGATCCATTAGCTCGTTGATGGCAGCACCGCGGCGTTCAATATCCTTTGAAATATCCTGAAGCTGCTTTAAGTGGGCGTTCTTGGCTTCCGCCGTACTCTTAAGGTTCTGGTTCTTAACCACCGCTTCGACATTCTTCATCCAGTTGTCTAGCTCCTCGATGATCGTGTCAAACTCATCCCATTTAGAGCAAAGCTGCTTCAGTTTCACCAACGAGTCCTGACAAAGAGTCATAAAGTCCTCCCAAGACTGCTTTGGTTCGTCGAAGCCCTTGAGCAGGGCTGGATGGCCACTGGGATGGGTTTGGGTGAGCACCGTTTCCAATAACTTGTGACAGGTATCGAAAATGGAATCGCCTTCGGGCTTGTGCTGGAGAAGGTTTTCCACAACCAGCAGTTTCTCCTCGGCGCCTTCCTTTTCAAAGGTCGTCTCGTTGAGGATATCAATGGCTTCGGATTTGATGGTATTGAGCCAGTCTTGCGCCTTTTCCAGGACCTGATCGTAGGCTTCATGCTTGACCACATGATTTCCCACTGTTGTAATCCTATCGGAGATCTTCTTGGATAGCGTGTTATACTCCTGGATGGACTCGTCGGTCTTCCTCTCTGACTCATCATCGCAAAGGGTCACAGCCTTGTCGTGCAACTGCTTCAGTGCATTCTTGTGCAGGGTGATCTCCTGCAACTGGGTCTTGTAGTTCTGGAGGGCAGCCTTTTTGGTGGCCAAAGTGGGATACAATTCGTCACCGGTGGGTACCTTAGCCTTCGATTCGTTAAGGTAGTGCGAAACCTGCGTATAGCTTTCTTCAATCGAAGTCTTCTGAATCAAAACACCCTCAACTTGCTGCATAAATGCATTGGCCTCATCTCGCAAGTAGTCGAACTTCTCACGCATCTGGCGGAGATCAGCACGGATACGTTCGCGATTGTCGGGCGAAACCACTGGGTACAGTGCCTCACCAATATCGACGGCATTGTTCAGCAGTATCTGACCATTGTCGAAGGTCTTGATGTAATTCTTGACGGTCTGCAGTTGCTGAGCTGTGGCAGAAGATGAGCCCGGGGATCCCATGCGAGCAAGTTCCTGGAACTCGATCTTGGCATCTCCAAACCACTCGTTGAAGTCCTTGGCGGCCTTGGCAAAGTTGGCGTTCGACAACTGGGCACTACGGATCTTATCGATGTAGCTGGTTAGTGCCTTGGACACAGCTTGATAGCGCTGCACCAAATGGGTGACAAACTGGCCGATTCTCGCCTCCGGATTCTTTTCTATAAGCTGTTGGGATGTCTGCTCAAGGTTATTAATAATGGGCTCATGGGCCAACACATCCTGCTGGAGGATAGACAATTCCTGAAGCTTCTGAGGAACCTCGGATAGATTAACTTGGCTGCTAGTTTCTGCCTTAACGCGTCCCTCAACATCACGCAACCAGTTGGAAATCTGCTCATTCGATTGCTCATACTGTGACCATAGGTCCACGTTCTCGTCAAGGATGCCCTTGATTTTGTCAAAGCTGTCCTGCAGGGCCTGCATGTCCTTGCGCAGTAGCTCGGCATCGCTGGTTAGTTCCGCCAGGTTCTGTGGCGATTCTACAGCCTTCAACATCTCCAAGGACTTCAGTGTCTCGGCATGGCGCGCCTTGCAGTCATCAATGCTCTTGCTGACTTCCTGCAGAGAGGACTTCTTGACATCCAGGTTGTATTTGTCGCTGGAGGACTCTGGCTGGCACCAGGCCACCTTCTCGCGTTGAGTGGCAATGATACGCTTCAGCATGCCCACCTTATCGGCGTGGAACTTCTTGAGGAACTGCAGCAGGGAGCTTTCGATCTTCTTGGCATACAGATCCACGTTCTCATAGCGTTTTTGTACATTGTTCAGCTCCTTGGGTATGATGGACTCACTGAAAGTGGGGTACAGATTACGCAGCTCGTCAACCTTTTGCTTAATGTTGTCGATTTCGTTTCCACTATTGTCGAGTTCACCACGCAGGGCACGGCATTGCAGAAGACGCTCCATGATCTTGTTATTATCACCGGACATGTCATCGCACTTGATCAGCTGCTCACGAAGTTTGCTCACCTTTTCGCCAGCTTCCTTCGAGCGCCTACGTAACTCTTGTTCCTGGTCATTAAACGAAGTGGTTATGGCACTTAAGCGATCTGCATTGTTGCTGACCTCAGCAAACTGCTCAGATAGGAGTTGATTGAGTGCAGAAAGAGCTGGTATCTCCGCACCTTTGTTGATCTTCACCAAATCATTGGTTTTCTCGACAATCGAATCCTTCAGAGCCTGATAGGCAGGTAACTCTGTGCGATACTTGCTCAGACGCATGGGTCCAAACTCAATTTCAATTGAGTTATCCGCAGCATCGCAGAGTCCCTGGTTCGTTTCGGACAACCAGGGTAGCAGATCCTTTTTGGCATCCTCGATCTGTGACCAAATAACAGCTTCCGTCTCGTACACATGGGCATTCTTGGCCGTTTTATCGTGCAGATCCTGCCAGTGCTGCTTGGCAGCTGTGACCTCCTGTGGCACATCCTGTGGAATGGGCTCTCCAATGGCACTGAACAGTTTGCCCACATTGTTGCCCCGACGCTCCAGTTCATCCAAGCTGAGCTTCGACTTACGCAACTGCTCCATTGTCTTCCTGATCTTCTCAGAAGCTTGATGGAGCTCGGTTTCATCGCGTGGCTGTTGAGGTATAGCATTGAATAGATCCTCTGCCTTCTTCAGCTCCTTGGTGAACTTGTCCTTGGAATCGGCATATTCTCGCAAGGCCTGACTGATCAGGTTGTACTTCTGAATGCGATCAGCTATTTCATTCTGCAGAGAATCGTAGTTCTTATCCATGACCAGGAGGCTCTCCTGAATGGCGGGCATGCTAGCAATGTCCTCACGCATCAGCAAGGAACCTTCGTCATGGATGCGATTCTTCAGATCAGCTTGGTACTTCAGCGCATCATTTAGAGCCACCAAATCGGCAATAATTTGATCGATGTTGTGTAAAGTCGGATGCTGTCTGAGTATCTCATCCAGTTTAGCGCGATTTTCTTGAAGTGCCTGGCCAAAGTTGTGCTCCAGGGCATGGAACTTGTCCTTGCGCACGGTCATCTGTTGGATTTGCTGTTGCTGGTTCTGCGAGCGGAGTTTCAGATTCTCTAGTTTATTCTCAACATCATTCACAATTTGGGTGGCAATCAGTGGACGACGGGACAGAGCATCCCTCAACTGGATGGCCGGGTTTTCGTCGATCTCCTTAGCCTGACCCTTCCAGTACGCAATACCCTGACCCAGGTTATCGATCTCATCAATGACCTTGGACAGCTCCTCGGCAGCAGGTCCTTCCGGTTTGTCCAGCTGATGCTTGAGGTAGTTCAAATGGGATTCAGTGTCATTCTTCCAGCCCAGCAGCTCGGTCCACTTCTCCAGAGCCGCCTTCTTCTGCAGCATGTTAGTCTCGAGGTTCTGATAGTTCACCACCAAAGCGGTGTAGGCATCATTCAGGGCATTCGACTCCTCGGGAGTGGCTCCCAAGGCCAACTGCTTGACCTCATCATATATGGCATTGAAACTGGGCTTCTTATCGGCATGCTCCTGCAGCAGCGCGTGGATGACATGGAGACTGGTTTCCACACGCTCCGGGTTGATCTCCTCCACCTGGGTGACCTGGTTGCGAAGCTGCTCCATCCAGTTGGAAAAGTTCACCAACTTGGCATTGAAGTCCTGCCTGGAGATAATGGCATCAGATACTTCGTTGATGTGACCTCGAGTGGCTTCCGAGAGCTTCTGCAGCTTGCCCTTCATTTGGTTTACACGATCCTTCAAAGCGGCTGCTCCTTCGGGAGCCAAGTGCAAGCTGATCTGATCGGCATTTTGACCCAGAGTCACCAGCTTGGCCTGTTGCTGCGAGATCTCGTTGTTGAACGACTTCAGCTTGACCAGCTCCTTTTCGAGCTTGTCAATGTGCGGGGTGTTGAGGACAGCTGGACGGCGGGACATAAGTTGCTCACCCTGTCCAATCCAATCCTCGAGCTTGGCGGCATCGGCGTCGAACGACTTCCAATTGGCCACCAACTTCTCGAGCTTGGCGCTCGCCTGCTTCGCGTTCTCATGGACGGCAGTCCAACGCGAATGCATGGCGTCCAGTTCGTCGGGTGCATTGGTCTTACATAACATTTTATGACTGATGTTTGATATGCCATGGAGCTTGTCCAATTGCTCCTGGCACTGTGTCTCGAATTGTTGGGCATTCTGTTGCATGGCAACGGCTTCTTCGAGGGAGATGGGCTTAGAAACTACATTATTTACCTTGACTTCGCTCTGCTCCACGGCTGGCTTGATTTGCTGCAGACCGGCCTGGAACTGCTGCCAGTTGACAAGATCCTCCTGCACAGCCTGTGCCTGGTGGTCCACGTTGCGATTGATGGCACTGAGGACCTCCTGCAGCTTGCTGATCTCGCCCTTCAGTCGCTTGGCCTCGGCAATGTTGCCCTCCTTGGGCGCCAACTCGGAGGCATCGGCGGCCAGAAGATCCAGTTGCTTCATGCGATCCCCAAGGATACGCTTGAAGGCCTGCACCTTGACCACACGCTCCTCCGGTGTGAGGTCCTCCGATTGAAGGGCCTCGATGTTCTTGGGGGCGACTTTGTTCGCCCATTCCTGCAGTTCAGCGAGACGGGTTTTGTAGTTATTCCACTTGGCACTATAATCTTCCAGATAGCCGACGCGGTCCTTCACGTGCTCCATGGTGTTGAAGAACATCTTCTCCACCTCGGTCACTTCCTTCTCCAGGATGGGACGCTTATCGGGAGCGGCCAGAGGAGCCAGTTCCGATTTGAGAGCATGCAACTTGGGCAGCAGTTGATGGGAAGCCTGCTGCAGTTGTACGTTGAGATCTCTCTTGGACTTCAGATCTTGACTGACGTTCTTGGGATCGGTTTGCAATGGTGTCAGAGAACGCAGCTCCGTCTCCGCAGTTTGGAGCATGGAGAAAATGTCGTTCTTCTGGTCCACGAACTCGCTCCAAACAGCCTGGGTGCCCTTGAGGGCCTGCAGCTTGTCAGAGGTTTCTGTGTACGCCTGATTCCATCCAGTCTCCAGATTCTTGACCTCGGCATTTACGAAGGCCGGGGCATGGACATCCTTGATGAGATCACGTCCTCTTTGCAGCATGGACATGATATGCGGACGCTGGTGATCCAGTTGGTTGATGGCATACTGCTGCTCCTCAATCAGGCGATTCACACGTTCCAGGCTGTCGGGTGCTGGTATATTGGCAGTCTGATCCTTGACCTTGCTCAGCAGACACACAACCTCGTGCACTTCTCTGCGGTAAGTGTAGCACTTCGAGAACACTTCCGTCTTGACCATCGTGATTTCAATAGTAGGAATAAGGTTCTTGTACCGGGCGATCAGATCCTCAAGTTTCTTCTGCTCCAGATTGGCCTCATCTTCGGTGGCGTAACTGAGCAGAGAGTCCAGGGTCTTGACCAGCCACTTCATGTCCTCGCGTTTGTTGTCAGCGTCCTGGCAGATTTTCTGTTATAAGATACAAATAATAAATTAGCCATGGCATTTCCAAAATGAAGTACACATTGGTAAGATATAAAAGCATATTAGTTACCACTAGCTCCCTCAGCTTAAGGCATGCGTGATGGGTAATGAGAGGATTATTTATAGGTGATTGAAATGGAATGTTTATAGATCATTATAATGAGCTCACCTGGAAAACAACCTTCTCCTTTTCGAATTCCTCCATGGTATTAACTTCGTTCACAATATTCTTCAGGCTCTGATCCACGCCATTCATCCAGTCGACCATGTCGTTGAACTTCAGATGATAGCCCTGCCATTGGGCCGGGATTTGCTGGAGAGTCTGACGCATATCGCCCAATTTGTTGGACAGCAGTTGCCACTGGGACTTGGCATTGTCGTAGGCCTGATCCAGACTAATGTCACCGGGCTGTTGTTGCCTGTGGGCCTGGGCCAAACGTTGCATGTTTTGGAGGCATCGCTCCAGGCGAGGAACGGCATCCTGTTGCAGAAGGAACTGCTGGTTGCGCTGGAGTATGGAGTCCACATCCTCATTGCGATTGAGGGCCTGCTGCTCCAGCTGCAACTCCTTCTCTACATCCTTCAGAGATTGATAGAACGCATTCTCGTCCAGTCTAAATTCCAGTTTCAGTAGATGCAAAGGAGCCTGGGACAGCACATTCTTCCAGCGGGACTGCAACTGCTCCACACTGTGCACCACAGCCGGTTGCTCCTGGGCGGGCAATGTGGTCAGAAGTTGTTGAGCCGACTGCACCAGGTCATTCATCCAGCGATCGTTGACCTGCTCAAAGAAGTACTTCTGTGTCTCGATTGTGGTCTTGGACTCGATGTGCTTTTCCACCAACATGGACTCCGCTTGGGTGAGCCATTCGCTGACCACACGTTCGTTGTCCTTGAAGTTGCTCCATCCACCGGCTGCCGCATCCAAGCGCTGTTCCCATTGCTGGGCATTCTGAATCACATAGTTGAAGCGCTCGTTCAGCTGTTGCATTTGCTGCGAGGCAGGAGCGGTGTCGATCTTGTCATCGGAGGATACAGCCTTCAGGAGATTCTGGAACACCTTGTTCTTGCTCTCCAGCATGGATCGGTAGTAGACAGTGCGCGAGAAGTAGGTCTTGTGTTTAAGCAGCTGCTCATTGATGGCATCACGGCCTCCGGAGAGATTATGGGTGCCCAGAAGCTGTTCGGCCTCACTCAGCCACTGGTGAATCTCCTTTTGTCCAGCCTCCAGGGATTCCTGTTGGATCTGAAGCTGGTGGAACAGATGCAGCTTGGCAGGCAACTGGGCACGTATGCGCACCAGAGATTCCTTCTCTTGCTTGAGTAGCTTCATCATCTTGTCCACCTCATCGCGTGACAGGTCTTGGATCAGGGATTGGAAATTCCTGCTGATCGTTTTGAACAGCTCCTCGTTGTCATCGATTTCGCTGGCCAATTGCTGTAACTGCTGGCCATACTGCTTGACTTGTTCACTGTTGCCCAGGACTTGACGCTGGTCCAGAACGCTCTCGGCTCCTCGCAGCCATCTGGACAGCTGCTCTATGCCCGACTTGTACTCCTGTCGGGAGCGGATAATGTCACCAGCATGCATATACTGCTTGGTGTTGGCAAACAATCGCTCGAATCGCTCAGAGAGGGCTCCATGTCGCTGACGCAGTTGCTGGGCAATGGGCTCCTCGCAGGAGGCAATCAGATAGTTAGCAGAGCTAGCGAGGGCATCAAACTTGTCCTTCCAAACGGGTATGTCCTGAAAGAAGTCCAGACGCTCATCCTCGCTTTGGTTGACCTTTTGCTCAGCCAGCTGCAGCCACTCCTCGCACGTGGGGGCCAATTGGTTCCAGCTGCGCCAGCAGTTGACCACTTCCTCCAGGGAGTTCTGACAGCACTTCAGCTCCATGGAGACGCGCTTCCAGCGCTCCTCGGTTTCGTACATGAACCGATCGATGTCGTTGATCTCCTTGCGCGGCACATTGCCATCGCGCTTGTACTCCTCCACCACCTGTTGCATATCGACAAAGGCCTTCTGGAACTCCTGGAAGATCTTGTTGCGCGACACAAAGTTCTTGTACTGCTCGAGCTGTTGAGCCACCTTCTCCTCGTGTCCATACTTTCCAGTCCATCCGCGCATCTTGTTCTCCACCAGATTCAGGAAGGCAATCAAACAGCACTTGTGCTCCAGGAACTTCAAGCGAATCCTTCGCTCCGCTGCCTTGGGTCCAACCTCTTGCAGTCGACGCTCCATGTTGCGCAGCTGCTCCAGGGGAATCTGCTGGGCCACTGGTGACCGCTTGGCATTGTCAAACATGGCCAAAATGCGAGGCAAATCGGCAAAGAAGAGCTTGTGCTCCTCCAGCTTCCTGCTGATCACAGCGGCCGTCTCCTCATTCATTGCATTGGGTATATCGTTGTCCATTAATAATTTCTCAGCTTCGGCTAACCATTTGCCAACGGTGCCAAAGTCGCCGGGCAGCTCCGAGTCCAGCAGCCAGAGCCAGTACATCATCTGGTACTGGAGACGCTGCCACAGCTCGTTGATCTCCTCCCAGGATTGGCGGGAGACCTGCAGGAATCCGCTCTGGCTCTCGATGAGCTGTTTCAAGCGGTTGTATGCCGGCAAATGTGCATCGACCTCAGAACGTGCCAGTAAATATTCACCAAAATCGCGTGGGAACGAGCTCATCATGACCATGGGCTCGTACTCAGTGGTCTTCTCCACCAGGAAGCGACGCAGTTCGTCCGCCTCCTGCTGCACCTGCGACTGGTCGCCGCGGGAAGCACCCTACAACAAATTTGGTTGGATAAGTTAAAACGTACAGCTCCAGTCTTATTCAAAAGCTTCAGAATAAATTCGCCATCGAAACTCACCTTTGGTTCGGGATACTTGTGCAAAAATTGCGCCACATACGTCATGATACTCTTCTCGTCCGGCTTGGGTACGTCCACATCCTCAGCGTCCAGGAGCTTGGCAATGCCCAACTTGCTTTCGGCCACATCGAAAGCGGTCTCCAAACGCTGACGGTTGCTGGTCTTCTTCAGCTCAGCCAAGTTGACCAGGTTCGCCTTGATGGCATCGATGAGGGCCAGGAAAGCGACGCCATCTCTCCAGCTGGCGCCGAAATCCTTCACCTCCACACCACTGTCCCTATTGATGAATACGTATTGTGAATGTGAATACAACTAGTATAGGTCTAGTCCACTCACTTTGGCAAGGCATTGGTCACCCAGTTGAGCAGGGTCTTCCTGGCACCCTGCTTCCACTTCTCAGCCTTCAGATCGCCGTGCTTCTGGTTGCCAACACTGTCGAGGGAACTAACCGAACCGCCAATACCATGACCCAAATACTCTAGGTTGCGGCTGTTCTCCTCGATCTATGAATAAATAATTGTGTAAGTACATTTTCGACACTACCCGGATGCAATGCAATGTAATGGTTAAACTTAAAATTTGGAAGTGCCTTAAATGGTTTGGCTACCAACTAAAAACGATATTCTACCCATAAATAAATGAGGTACACACGACAACACAACAATTACAAGTTGAACTTGAACCCACCTGTGGCGCATAATTTATAACTACTACTAAGTTTTTCCGCCTCTTTTTACGAAGCTTGTTTACGTGTTAGGATTATGATATCAATAAAAAGTATATAGAAAAGAAGGTTCATAGGGTTAATTACGTTTAAAGTTTCAAATTGCTGGGCTTTTGGACTTGGAGTGTACATCTCTACTGGTGGTAGCCGCGTGAGAAGGTGTACAACTAGCAACCAATCGTTGGTGGTGCTCTCAATTCGTGAACTGGTGCACTCGGTGTATTTAAATATATATATATTGGATATAGGGCATGCTTACCTGGAAGTACAAGATGATCGTCCATATCAGACCCAGCACAACTGGTGGTCTCCCATCCACCAGATCTGCGGGATTGATATTGACCAACTTGATCCGTTTGCTGGCCAGAAATTGCAGGGCCGTGTTGGCATTGCTGAGGAAATGTGGACGTCTTAGAACGCGACCCTTCTCCACGGGCAAACGTTCTCCGGACAGAACTTCCAGCAATGCGATTAGTTTCGTACCATCGCGTAAGTCATTGATTAAGTCATCGATGCGAAGCGGTGGAACACGCTAAAATAATAATAAAAATAATATCAGTAAGCCATCCAATATAGGTTAAAGAAAAGACATGTTATTGCACTTAAACTTTCACCCGAATGTTATAAAAAAATGTGTTATAAGCTATTAATCTTCGCCTAGAAACCCAGCACCCTGAAGGGAAATCCATTCAAAGTATTAGGGTTAGCTTATACTGAAAGTGTTTCTGCTTGATAAATTTAACTTCATTTAAACTGCAACTCTTACTTAAGTAGAGTTAAGTTAGAGTTATTGTAATTTTCGTAGCACTTTTATGATGCTATTAACGTTTTGCACTCAGAGCTAACGATAAATATATACAAACTTAATGGTGTGCATTGAAAAGATTTGATTTGGAAAATTTCGACTGCTCTTTCAAGATTTGCATAAGTTTATTTTGGGTTAATCAATCAAATGCAGCTCGCGCAATCGGTCGAGGCGCATTAAATCAATTAAAATAGTTTAAATTGCTGTTTGCCATAGCGATAATTTGCGGTGATACTTCAGTGTGGGCCAAGACAAATTGGCAAATGGCACGAGCAGGCATTTAACTTGAATCCACCGCAAAAGATTACAATTTTGAAGGTAATGCCATTAAGGCCGCAGCAACGGAAGTGGCACCAAAAACAAGCATGCAAACAAACAAACAACCAACCGAACAACAAAACAACAAAACGGGGAAAATTCATTGTAATTGAGTGTAGCATTTAATTGAGCTTTCTTGTGGGTAAATAGTTTCTGCAAAACTTTATTCAACTGCTGCCAGCAACATGCAAAAGACAATGACAATGCTTGGTAACAACTTTTTACGGCAAAAAACTTTTCATTTTTGTGTGAATTCTGCTTGAGAACAGACATAGCGAAATCAATTTCAATGCTTCCGTTTCCGGTTCCACTAGATACGCCCATCTTTTTTCCATTTAGTTCCGGAATTCATGGTGTCATAGTGCTTTAAATAAAAAGTTTTCCCGCCATTCCTCTTGTTTATTTCGGGCAGACATATGTCATTACAGCCGTTGCCTGGCTGTCTCTTAGGAACATAATAATCCCCGAACATGACATCGAAGGAAAATGGGTCTTGCCAGCTAATCGCTTAATGGGTACCTTCCCTTGATCAGACCGCCAGGTATTATAATTACCTTGGGTTAAATTGATAAGTAGGCAAGTGAGCACTGTACTCAAGTGCTTTACGATGTTCTAAGTAAGAATGGTGCTTTAAATAAGCATGTCACTTATCTAGTCTCCTCTGAAATAACCATTTCAAATTTAATTTAGTTGTGCCCCCTACTTCTCTGTCATAACGATAATCCCACTCACTGGGTGAATAAGTGCTTAGAGGATTGTAAATCTGCTGTAATCTTTTCACTCGTCACCTGTCCAACGCAATTAGACGTGCGGCTGACACTAGTTTCCAGCATTCGTAACCCACTTTCCCGCAGCCAAATCCTTTCTAATTTAATCATCTCCAATGGCTGGATCCTTTCACTTTGGCTTTATGGGTGTCTGGACATCGGCATGGACTCCCATGCGGGTGCTCCAACTGGAGCGCACGACTCGTGCCAGGGCGTTGCCATCAATTATGTCATAGAGAAATGAAAGCGAACTGGAGAACTGAGAACTGGGGAACTGGGTATGTGGGGCCGCTCAAAAATTGACCATCCAACGAGCTTATTGTCACTCGGACCCACCACGAGCGTATCAAATTAATTCATAAATTTTAATCAAATTCTATGGAAAGCGAACGTTGAGAGCGGGTTTTTGGGTCGTCAGCGCAGTCAAATAAAGACCTCGTTCACCTTGAACTGAACAGAGCCAAACAAACATTTTGTTTCGGCTGCCACATCAAATGCTTTTACATGGCATTCGAGTGTGTATCTGTCGGATACGTGGATACAGTATAGGGAAATGGAAATGGAAGATACTTGCTAATTGACAGGTCTAACGAATCTCCAATAGGTAAACGCAAATTAAATCACTTTTTATTTGCAACGGCAATAGCATTATTTATTGCCTCAGTTAAACGTGTCAAGCCAATCGTTGTGCAATTGCAAAGGCAGCGACATCAATTTGTCCCGTCATTATGCACATTAAATGACTCATTTGCATATTGCATAACCCGTTGATGGAGATATTGTATCTGCGACTCCTGGGAGGACTGAAATGTGACTTCAATCAGGAGAGCCCTGCCCACGCACTCTGGATTTCGATTCGAAGACGGATACCCCTCCATTTCAGCTGCTCCTTTTATATGGAATACCTGTACATACTTGTACATATAGCTGTCTGGCAGCCTTATTGAGCTGCACACTCTGGAAGTCGAGAAACTGGTTTCTGGATTGAATTTGGATTGGAATATTTGCCGGCCGGCAACGGATTTTCCTACATGCAATTATATACATGCACTTATATACAGAGTGGGGAAAATAGTAATGGCTGAGAAAATGTTATTGAAAAACGTAGAAATTTATTCCGTAAAAAATATATGTATTTGTGCTTTACAATATAAGTTATGCACATATCTAGGTTTTAGTTTTTTCAATTTCATTTATAATAAAAGAAAGAGTTTCGCGGGCAAATATTTGATCACAGTTTTTATTTTTATGAATATGCAAAAATGAGTATACAAACTGCTTTCTTTTAAATGATTATATTTAAATGCAGTACAATTTTCAACAATTTCCAATAACAACTACAATTTTAACCACAGTAATGTGGGCGACAAAAAATTGGCGGCTCATGTCTGCAGATTGCCGTTGGTATTAAAAGATAACGCATTTGAGACACCAACCGATACATGGCTCACTCAATCTGCGACTTTGGCCGGGATTGCCTGAAAAGTCTGAGGAGACTGAAGAGTCTGAAAAGACTGAAAAGTGCATTAAATCACCTCCGATCTGGAGGCATGAAAGTAAGGCAGTAGGCGTCGCGTGGGTTTCTTGGCGGGTTAATGGCAATGCAATTGAAGCCACCAACAGCCGATCCCCGCCAGAAACGGAACTGTCTGGCATTAAAGCAACTCGCTGGTTGTTGGCTTTCAGGCAACTTTGGTTGGATTTCTTCCAACCATTTTTCTTTCAATATTTTCTTTACTTATTTCTCTTTTTCTTGCATTGTTAAAGGTCTGAAGTGGTGATGTATGGGGAGCATGTATGTAGACAAATGCGTTGAGGAATTTCTAGCATTGGTTGCTGATGGGTGCGTGTGCTCATAAGATATTCTTGGAAGCTATCCAGCGAGAAAGAGTGACTCCAATATGCCCAGACATGGCAAAATGGCAAATGTTTATCCAGAACCTGGAGGTAAATATTTACTCATACATATGCTAATGATAAAACAAGAAGGCTTTAATAATTTTTGCGAGGCTGTATGGCGGCCATAAAAGATCAAAAACCAGAAGGAGAAGCAAAAGATCAAATATGAGAAGCAAAATGATTAAAAACCGAAAACTTGTGGCACGAAAAAAAGAAACAGAATTTAAAAAAATATAATATTATACATATCAAATGCAATCGCATAATACAGCTTCAAAATCTTTTCACTAATTTACTTGACAATGACAAGCCCCAAAAAAAACAACCTTCAAATTTCACGCATTTAATATCTGTTATATCACAGATCTCCGAACAAACACTTTTCGCTTATTATTCCATCATAATTACTGTACAAATAAATACGCTTATCACGCTTAAATTACGATTTTGTATTCAAAGTGATGGACACGTCACGCCCCTTAACCCATTTTTGTTTTCAGTGAGTTTTGGTTAGTTTTTGGCACACTCAAAAAAACCCCTTCACGATTGGTTTATCAAATGCAAATCTATATGCAAATTCCAATGCCACTTTGCTGTAGACAAAATTCATTGGCAGTATACCCAAGACGAATGGCAAATCGATTGAGACTTTTCAGGGGGATAGACAAGATAGACTCACCTTCAATAGGTATGAATTAATCCAATTAGTGAATGTCTTCTTCTGCACACGTTCTTGCTCCTCTGAAAATGTAGAAAAGACGAAGAAAAGGTAAATGTCAGTGAATGGCGAATACATTTCGTTCATTTGTAATTAATTGTTAAACAAGTGTCGGCAGAAAAGAAAAACAAGAGACTTAAAGGCGAAAAAAGAGACATGACGATACTAACAAAGATACCGAAACCAACCGATAAGATACATTTCTTCGTATGCATGGGTTGTACATCCCATACGAGTATACACCAGTTCTTCGTTTTCGTTTTTACGTTGCCTGATGTTGACTTAATTATCAGTTAAGTCGGTGTATAAAACTAAATTAACACAATGACATCATGCTTGCTTTCGCTATATTATCGCAAAAGGCTTATATCCTCAATAAACTCTACAAAGTGAAGATCCAGTCAAGTACACTGTAAATGAAGTGGAAAGCTGTGATTCGTCTACAGTTTAATTTTTTTTCCAGCTACTTAAAATCAACAAGCATTCCTTTGTTTTTCCCCTTATTAATTTTAACTTTTGAACAATTTATTTGATGATTCAAATAATGTAAACAATATTTCAAATTTCGTTGACCCTTCCACATGCGTCAAAAGGTAGACCGCAAATTGTAAACACGAATTCTCAGATTGACTTAAGCAAATATTTAGCCTTTTTTTGCGTGCCTTAATTACCTCAATTTCATTCTTTAGCCGACAAATGGAAATAATAAACAAGGCGTTTAAAACATCAATTTGTAAACAATTATCAAAATAAACACAAGAGAGCGAGAAAGAAACGCATTAAGCGTAGTCATTATGGAAAAGTGCAGTCGAAATGGAAATGAATATGCAAAATGGAAATGAAAATGGTGGCTAGAAGCAGCTGTCTGCTGAAAATCCTATCCACACCAGACCAAATCCAGCCCATTGGGAATTCAGCTCCAAGAATACTTGGCCCAGTGCGTGGTCTATTCGCTCCCTGGCATTTGGCCAAACGCATGCCAACAATATGAAACGAAAATAGATTTCCCGTAATAAATAAGAAATACTAATTTCTCGAAAATGGAAAATTTCTACAGTTAGACAAGAGGAATGCTTGGAATAAGAATTATTACATAAAATAAATCGAGGCTACCATGAAAGCGTCAAACGCTTAGCCAATTATCAAACAATTTACAAAGTAAGAGCGAACACAAATTGTAATAATTAATTTTAAATGATCCCCCACAATTTGGTTCTCTTATGTTTTGCCATTTCTCGAATTGAATTTCATTCATTTATTGCGAGCTGAGTGACGCAATTTCTGAAATGTTGACAAAAGATTATTTAAATAGAAATTAGTTCAAGGTTGCGCAATTTGCAAAGCAACTGAAATTCGTGTACGTATACTTTATACATTAATCTTTCTAAAATGAAAGAAATAGTTTAGCCAACATTTGGCAATGCCAAAAACCCACAAATTTATGCAATTAGATGAACTTGATGCAAGGTAAGGCATCAAATCCTAACCTAATGGCCATTTTTATGTTCCTTTCAGACACGTTAAAATCATCTAATGGCCTGTAAAGATTCGATGTAGCAGGTCCAATAATAAATTACCACAAATGTGGCATTTTAAATTGGGTATTTATTTGGGTAAAAACATTGTGGTGGTTACAGAAAAATATAAGTTCTCCTGGCCTCAAGTTACCTCAAGTTATTTAATTTTCTTATATAACCCGTTTTGCCTGTTCATATATACCTAATTATAATCCATGTGTTTTTAATTTCGAAATAACTCGTTTGAACTAATTTAATTGACATCTAAAGCTTTCGCGGAATTATAAATTTACAATTGATTGCACTTTTATTTGTTTATTTATTTATTTTTAATATCTATCGTTGTCTTTCCAAACAATTAAGTTGTTTTGGCCAAAAACTCCTCTTCAAAAACTCGTTTAAAATTAACCTGATATTTTTGGTAAGGAATCGTGAATGCGTTGCGAATATATTAACATAACTACCGCATTTGGCAAACTGAATTAATTTTCTCTAGAAATCAAGTTGGCTGCTTTGGTTGTATTTCGGTCTTGGCCTGTCCAAAAATAAATGTACATATATGTACGACACATGTTGATTAGTTAACATTTTAGTAAACCATAAATCATGTGAATTTTTGGTAATTGTATTTTTTTTTAGCAGCTGATAGCTGATAACAGAAAAATGCCAATTACTGCAAAGATAAGAAATAATGCACTCGAAGTAATGGAATCTGATAAGAACTTAAAGTATAGCAATATGGTGCACATGATGCAGGTCAAGCTAATCAAACTAAGTGCTTAACTTTCTAAACCAGTCAGATTACGCAATCAAATAACAATTTTTAAGGTACTACTCCAGAAAATGCTGACTTTAAAAACTTGAAGTGATGTTTGCTTTTATATCAAGGAAAAACTTTCCTATACTACGAACCAAAAAGCGAATAGTCTATAATTAAGGCAAAAGCTAATTATAATTCAATTTCGAGTGATTTGCTCGTTCAAATATTTAACAATTTGACTTTCGGAAATAAAAGCTATATCTAAAAGTAAAAGCATAAATATTTGATTTACACACCGCGTTATGCGTAAAACAATTAACAAGGGGCAAAATCAGGCCAGGGAGTAACGTTCAAGTTGAATGACTTTTCAGGTGTGTTGAAATCAATTTCCATTTCAATAATGATGTATGAAATGATTACAAGATCCCCGAGGCAAATGATCATTTTAGATTGTCCAGAAATTTCAGAAGCGGTAAATCGGTTTCTTCTCACAATTCTTCTGCTTCGGTTGTCGGTTCTTCTGTTCTGTTTCCCTTCATCTTATGAATGGTTCAGTCAGTCAGTGAGTTAATGATGGTGATTATAATGATAAGTCGGTAGATTGTTATTTATGTTTATTTCGCTATTCTTGCTGTTTAATGAGCGCGTTAAAACGTAGGGGAAATATTAAAAATGGTACACAGAAATTCTTAGGAAATGCCGTAATGAAAACCTATGGCTTTCTTTCCGTTAATTATAATTACCAATTACCAAAAAAAACTTAACAAAAAGAAGTCAAGTACTGAAAGGGCAGTCAGCTGGTTGTACATTCAACTTCAGTCGCCCATTTGTCTGAGTTGGCCTAGTTACAGAACATAAATAGAAATAGGAAAGAAGTGTTCGGTTAAAGTAGTCTATTTGCCTTCACGCATAGCTAATTGTTTTCCTGCCCTCCCAAAATAGAAAAAAAAAACACCAAATACGATATATGTTCCTGTGCATTTGCATAAACAAAAGGCAATCGTTGGAGGGGAATTGGTTCTAGAATGCAGGCCATGTTGGGTTTTTCAACGGAAGTGCGTCGAATTAAATGTTTGGGTCTTTGCGGTAGTGAGTTTCCACGATACAAATACTTATGTTTATTTGCTTAATTATTTGGGTTAAATAATCAGTGGAATCTTTGGCATTTCTTAAACCTTAGTATCTGTCCAGCTACTGGAACTAAGCTGCGCTACATCATTCGGAAATGCCATTCCTATCGCAAAAGCCCTCCCAAAAACCCCTTAAAATTATCTAAACCTGCACTGACACCAACTTAGTTGATTACACTCCAAAGTTCGTGCCACTCGATAAGGTATTTTGATATTCTACCAAATCGAAACACTCACAATGCTGACCTTCCCATTGGCAATCAACCATGTGATGAACACTCCAGCATAGGCTGCATGGTTATTAAAGCAACTGTTTAAATTTCGCTTAAGTTTAAACTCACATTTCAACGCAGTACAGTGAAACCCAGCGAGGTGTGTCGACTTGCACTTGTTGTTGTCACCTGCGGCGTCAAGTGAGCAGCAAATACGAGCATGTTGGTGAATATGTCGCATAAATTGCCAGCAGTCAACATGTTGAAGAGTCTTATAATAGTTACTTAACTTTACGCTCCATTGCCTACGACAGGTTTACAGCACCCCCACCCATTTGCTGGTATTTCGCAGATACTCGAAAATATTAGATGCAAATACGATACGGGGGATTCATACATATTGAAGCAGAGTCAAGTGGTGGCATTGCGTCATAGTTAACTATACGTATTCTACGTGTTTAACTAAATGTTTATTTATTTTTGTCATTTATACAGCACATTAAACCAACAGATAACCGATGGCCAACACTTAAGACTAAATGATTGAGCGGCAAAAAAATTAGAAAAATAAATTAGACAAAAAAAACCTCTTTTAAAACAAAAAGATGATTTGTTTGCATCTCCAGAAGGGATCTTCAAAAGATCTGCCCACGAGCAGAACTGAAAACTGAGGAGGAGGAAGCCACGAAATTAGGAATTTTTAATTTTTTTTCAACCACATGAGCCACATCTTGAGGGGAAAATGGGGGAATTGGCACCCACTTCCAAAACGAATATACTTTGTGGGTTAAGAGCGAACTTGTGGGAGCTTCAAGTTCGGCTTGTGTGCAAACTTGATTCGCTTCTTAATTTACAGAGCTCAGCTCGAATGTCAGCGCGAGGCGCCAACTTCTCTGGACCGCATTTTAGGCATCAATTAAAAGCCGCTAAACTACATGAACTATAAATATTGGTGAACTGACAGATAGCGACAATACCAGAATCAATAAATAACTCGGCGATGATCTCAGTTGTACGGCTGCTGTTCGGATTGTTCCGTTTGTGTGGATTACTTACAATGTCGTACCTTCTGAGATAACGCTAGCTGTCACTTGGTTTTGAAAACATTTTCATTGAGCTTAGCTATCAATATCTCTCATAAATCATCTTATAGTCAAATTCGACTTTGAATCGCGAACTGATGTAGCTCAATAGCTGATGTACCGCAAGCCATGTCATAAATATGGATAGAGTTTTTTGTTTTCAATGGGCTTTTTGCACAACCATTAAAATGGAATTAATGATAATTGCTGGGAAAGTGAGGACATGTATTGAAACCAAGTCAAGAGCCACCAATCAATAGTTTACTATACTATATCCATGTGAATGTCATCAATTAGTGAATGCTTGACGTACTTTTGCTGCCTTATAAATTTATATAGCGCCCTGTCTCCATGTCGCTCTATATGATATGTCAGATATTGTGTGTGACTGGGTCTGCCAATATGGTTTTACGGCTCACATTTGGGCCAAATTTAGCTGCCCTGTCAAGCAAATTTATCGAAGCATTCGAAAAGTTTGGTAAAACACGCAACGTCAAAATATTGGACAGCCAGCCGTTATGCTGACACTGACGATGATCCGAGAAGAGAAAAAATAATACTTTAACTCACGCAAACTTGATTTATGCTCGCTAATTGTCATATGAAGACATCTATTCCGAATAACTAAGTGAAAGGTTCTGTCTTCAAATGGCTTAAAATATTATTTTATTTTTTTTATTTTATTTTAAATTTATGATGATCCCTTATGATCAACCTTATCCCAGCTCATAAAAACTCATATGACAAACATGGAAAATCAATTTCCACAAAATACAGTTCCTGCAAATAGGACTCTTCCCTCCGATATCATCATAAATTAAAGATAATGCACACAAAATGCTCGTATATTAATAATACAAACAACCGTCAGTCAGGGCATATCTATAGATATAAATATGTGTCTGAAAATATTTGCATATACCACAAGTGCAGCCCAAAAATTGCGCCAGTCATTCGGGGACAGACTGTTCGAACCACTTAGATCAGCTTATTCAAGGAGGGCAAGACAGACCGCCTGCCAGACAGCTAATTGGTTGTTGTGCTAAACATAATAACAGCCTAGGAGGTCACATAATAGACAACTATTCAACAACCCAACAATCCAACAATCGAACATCCAACCCCATCAATCTGATCTGGGGGTAGTTCTGCCTCGAGTGCTTTTCGCTGCCAATAATTTTCCCTTTTTTTGCCCCGAGGCAAAAGGAAAGGAAAGAGGTAACAAACTGCTTGCCAACAGTCGATGGAGTGGGCCGAATACATAACAAACGCACTGTGCGCCAGTATATAAATAATATAAATCGCCAGATAGTATAGAAGTTCTGGGCGCGACCAACCGACCGACTGACTTATAACGACAGCCCCAATGAACACAGCCCGCTAAACAAGTTAAAGTTCGAATTGCTGCGTCTCAAAGCGATGGATGATGTCATTTCGGCAGTTTTTATCGATTTTTTTTTGTGTAATAATTAATTAAGCATACAAATGTCTCTCGAACCAGGTGTAACCACAAAGTTCCGCCGCCTGACCTTGACATTCTATAGGATATTCTATAGCTTCTGCCCCGTTTATATTGTTTTCCGAACGGGCAGTGCAATTTCCGTTATCTGCGGACTACAGGTGGTGGGGTATAAACCTTTTTAAGATAAGATCTAGCTTAAAATAGGCCAAATTGGGGATTAACTTGGATGTATGATGGTAGATAGGGCTACAAGGAATGTGTGTATTTCAAGAGCTTTATATAACATGTTCTTCCTCCTAACTTTCATATCTGTAAGTATTAAACGAATACTTTAAGAATGATCCTTTGGGATCGAATAATAGCAGATGTCTGACTTTTTAAATGTGCCCAAGCACTGGACACATCTTTCCAACACATTGTGGGTATATCCCATCCGTACTCCTCCCGATTTTTACCTCGTTTCTCCTTGATATGGCTGTCGTACTGGGAATTGCTGCGGGCGTAATTGATGGACGCCATGGTGGACTGGAACTCCTGGTATTCCTGGTCGCTGGGTGATTCGTTGCTGCGGCCACTTTGCGTTGCCAGAGTCTGATAATCCTGGCGCAGACTCTTGCTGAAAGTGCCGATGCCACTAAGGGCGTGGGCAGCTGACGCGGATATGGATGCGGATGGGGTTACTGCGGACGCGGACGCTGATACGGATACGGATGCGGTTGCCGGAGTGGTGGGACGCGTAGGCGTGGACACAATCACTATGCTGCTGGCGGGTCTGCCCTCCGTGTCCGAGTCGTTATCGATGTCGATATCGTTGTCACTGGCTTGTGATTTCCCGGTGTGTATTTGCGCGATATTTCCGACGACCACCGGCGACGTTTCGATTAATTTACGCGACGTGGACGATGAGGAGGTGGCGGAGGTCGAGGATGAGGTTGAGGTGGACTTGGTCGTTGTGCTGGTTATCGTTTTGTGGCTTACAATTTTCCGGGGCTCTTCCGTCGAAGAACCGCGCAATTGGCACGTTGCAGCTGGACTAACTAGAGTTTTCGGACCCGTTTGCGGTTGCTCCTTCGTGCCAATCGGCGTGGATGTTAGCATTGTCTTCGTGGCGCCGGCCAGGTCTAAGTCCCTTGGTCTTTGGGGTGTTAAATCCTGGGGGCTGGTGTGGTTGCCGCCACCCACCTGGACAGTTGTTTGCTGGTACAAACGCCGGCGGGGGTTGCTACCGCCGACGGTAATGTCAATGTTGCCGGTTGCCATGGCCACTTCCTGCCGACCGAACGACAGGTCGGTCTCGTCCCTCGTCTGATTATCCTCGGTTAGTTCGCTTTCCTGCTCCAGTTTGATCAGTATCCTGCGTCCGCCGGCGGTTAGATCCACGCTCCTCGGTGGCGTAACACTGGATCGCTCGCTGGAGTAACTGGAACGCGACCAGGACGGCGAATCCCTGGGCGATACATAGCCCTCGCCGTGGCGATAGATCTTCTCCTCGGCATAGCCACCATCGCTGGTCATCGAGGAGGTGATGATGGTCCTCACACCGTCCGCAGATGGAACCTCCCTTACCGTACGTTCGCCCTCGAGAAAGCTTTCCAGTTCCTTGAACTCCTTTTTCTTGGTCCTTCGAGTGGTTCTTAGGGTCACATTGAACGGCGCCAGGTGCTCCTCCACATTTCCGTGCTCGGCACCGGGACTCATGCGACTGGTGGTGCGCAGGGTCACATTGAAGGGACTCGCCACCTGGTCACTGGTCACCTCCACACGACGCGGAGGAGTGGTGTGCCGCAGCTGGACCTGCTGAAAGGCCAGCTTGGCTGCCTCCGCCTCCGCCAAGCCACGTTGCCTCTCCTGGCGCAGCCGGCGCTCAATCTCATGGACATCAATCTCGAAAGGATTCTCCGCATCGTACTCATCCTGGTCATCGACCAGACGCAGCTCGTCAGAGCTCTGCTCGGCTGGACGCTTCACGGGGCTGGAGCCATCCGACCAGACCTTTTCGTACTGGGCCACCTTTTGACGCAATCTCTGCTGGTTGGGCGATGGAGCAGCAGCTGCTGCTGTTCCTGCTGCATGCTCCCCCAGAATAAACTCTTCCACGTTGGAGCTACTCGAGGTGGTTAAGGAGGTGGTGATGGTCTTCATGTAGGTCCTAGTCACCGTCGATGTCTCCAGCTGTTGGCTCTCCTCCTCCTCCAGCACCTGCTCTCTTGAGGATTTCTGCTCGTGCGCACGACGCCGGCGAACAGCTGGGACTGGAGGCACGTCATCGCCTGCGGCTGCTCCTGCTCCTCCCCCGCCGGCATCTATGGTTGTTGGATCCATGTGCTTGGATCCTGGTCCTCCACTATCAGCCATAATGGCATTGATTTCGCTAATAGACCCTCGTCAAGCCAAATTGTCATCGGTCACGAGTTTTTCGCAGCCAAAAGAAACCAGCCTTTAATTCGTGTCCTTTTTCCCCCGCTCCACCACTTTTCTCTCCTTTTTCGGCTTTCCACCAAATGCAGAATTGATTTTTCTCACGCAACGCACACTCAGACACACTCACCGTGTGACTTTTCACCGAATTTTCCTTATTGAACAACCCCTGAATGGCCTTCAGTCTTTAATTTTCGGCCCACGTAATTCAACTTTAATTTTCCCAAATGCAAATACACACGCTTCTTCTCAATTTTTTTATATTTAACACTTGAAGCTTTGGGCTTTTTGGGGGTTTTTATTGCGCCACACTCAATGCCAACCGGAGATTATCTCACGCAGTTAGGTAAGGAAATTAGTATTTCTCTCGCAATTCTTCTCACTGCCCCCCACCAAAGAATGATGATGGGAGAATTCGAGGGCTTTCGGCGTTTTTATTACTTTTAACTTTTATTTCAGTTTTGCCTGCTGAACACATAGCCGGCTATATCACATTATTGTCCGGCGACTTGGCCGCTCCGCGTTTCCAATCCGCAGTCGTAGAAAGCCGGTTCGATACTGAACCCAAACTCACAAGCGTTCAATGTGCTACGCCTTGTCCAGTCCAAAAAATTGCGAGAGAGCAGCTCCATAGGCATAGTAATCGTAGTAAAGCTCAGAGTCTGTGCTCTCCAGTGTGTGTGTTGGTATTTTGCTTCAAAATCGAGAGAGAGAGTCTTGGAGCGGTGTGGTCGAAAATCAGAGAGAATCAGAGAGACTTAAAGCGGGAGTATACGCAATATTTCGTACGACTTTTGTTGGATGTTGTTGTTTATCACGTACTCTCCGCCTTTTAACCGACCGCCTTGTTGTTGTTTGGGGTCAGTGGCGCAGCAGCCGGCTTTTTTCAAGGGGGTGAGGTTTTTTTTTGGAGAAACATTTTAGGGCTCCGAGCAAATGGAACAGCATGTTACAAGGTTAACGCTCTTAGCTTATAAAATCCCTTGGTTTTTAGCGATTTAGTATTCCATTGATCTTATCACTTATATACCTCTATTTTCTGGGTCAAAAATTCTTAATATCAATCTGCGTGTTAGAAATTAAAAAATCATATTATCAAAAAACCTTTTTATTTTAAAAAGAACTTTAATTTCAATTAATTTACCCATCAAAAAAATATGTCTTTGTTATGTACTTGCTTCACTTTAAAGACTACTAGCTGTAAAAATCATATTAAATGTCTTGCTACCCAACGACGCAAATTAGTTCGTCTTTATAGGGTGGTAAAGTTTGGAACGATAAGAGTTACCCATGTTCTCCCATTTCTTCCAAGCTCTCTCCCCCTCTCTGGCGCTCCCTGTCTACCTTTCTCTCTCTGCTCTTCTGCATGAATGGGTGGCATTTGAGTGCTTTGGTTAAGTAGCGCCCTTTGGTCTCAAATCGTAAACCTCTTGCCTTACACCTTTGCTGTGTGACATCATGGAGCGTGAGAAAATATCAATTACACAGCCCTTGGCTGGTGGTTGTTTATGATTATGTGGACTATTACTACAAGCATAAGGTACAGCCCTGATGGATCGTTTTACTAATATTTACAGAATCTGCGATATTGAGAGAGGCTGAAAATATGGGTCAGCGCATGGCAAAGCTCAGCTTACAGCGGCACTTAATGAAAGTCATTCATGGATTGGAAACCAAAACAAATGTGGCTTATGTAATCAACGTAAAGTTATAAACAAGTTTGCCGTGTATTTTCAAGCTGGGCTAGACTAATGACGTCACGCTGTGGTGATTGCATTGCATATGATACGTGTATTTGTACATTTTTATTGTTGCCGCGCCGAGAAGTTGGCCCTGAGATATAAAGTTGCACTTCAAATGGACTAAAGCAATTTGTTAGCAACGCAATTCAATTTGTTATTCATAGACAAATTCTAATTCCAAGCTGGACAAAGGTCAACGGATTTTAATAATTTCGAAAGGTAATCTAGTTAACAGAAATGCAGCCATTAACCCTAAAATTATGAAGTATATTTCTACTTAACAGCTTACTACAACAATGTTGAGATTAAGCATGCGGCTTCCAGAGACATAACACGCAGCGCAAGTTTATTTCCAAATGTTGCCACGCCCACAAGCCGCCCAAAGTTGCCATGGACCACATTTTTGAAAAATGTTTGTATATTTTTTTAATTAAATTTTTTTAATTAAATTAAATTTCTATCGATTTGCCAAAAATAGTTTTGCCACAAATCGCCCAAAAGTGTCACGCCCACACTTTTGAACAATTTTGGTTTTTATTTCTTAATTTTATTTGCAATTCTTACCGATATTCCAGAAAATCTTTCGCAGTTCCACTAGTTGAGTAACGGGTATCTGATAGTTCGAAAATCCGATGCGTGCGATGGAAGCTTAGGTAGCCCGTTTGAGAATCGCAGAGGAGGGCTCTTCGAAGTTCTGCAGCTGCTTAGGTAGCCCATTTGAAAAGTGCACTTCGAAAATCCGGTGCGTGCGATGGCAGCTTAGGTAGCCCGTTTGAGAAGCGCAGAGGAGGGCTCTTCGGAAATCCGATGCGTGCGATGGCAGCTTAGGTAGCCCGTTTGAGAATCGCAGAGGAGGGCTCTTCGAAAACTCGAAGTTCTGCAGCTGCTTAGGTAGCCCATTTGAAAAGTGCACTTCGAAAATCCGGTGCGTGCGATGGCAGCTTAGGTAGCCCGTTTGAGAAGCGCAGAGGAGGGCTCTTCGAAAACTAGGTGCATTCGATTACAGCTAAGGTAGCCCGTTTGAGGAGTATATACTATATACTATATAGTATAGTATATAGTATACTACAGTCGACTATAGCATTTTTTTTTTTTTGCAATTTTATACATTCCTTCATGGATTCTGCTAATTTCACATTGGCCACTCTATAATACTTTTACTAATGGGACCTTTATTATAATGACTCAAACTTGTGATCCATCCACACACTCGACCGCCACTTGAAATATCGTGTAAAATTTGAATATTAAAGGCATCCCCATAAAGATAAAAGTAAACATTGGTGGCAGTGGCAGCTGGCCCCCGAAAAAGTGGCGTCTTCTTGAGAGAATTCACATGTTCAATTTGATTTAATAGCATTATTTTGTTTACAAGGGTGTGAGCCACTGTGCGGGTTGTAAAATTTAAAGTGGCATCTACTTGAAAGGCCATGGGTAATTCGGTTGTAACTTAGATATGTAAAAACATCCATATGTAAAAACATTCAATTAAAAAAAACAAGAACAAGAATTATGATTACAATTATAGATGGTATAAATCTGATTCTACGCTGAATGCCAACTGAATAAAAACTCAGTGGCTTAATTATATACAATTTCTTAAAATATACCATCTATATTTATAATATCTCCAGCACCCAATTCGAATTTTGGCAAACATTATTTCGCATAAACATTGGTTTCCGCTCTCGAAAAGTTTGATTTTCGGCACTTTCAGTGCTATATCTTTTCGACCCAAGATATATTTGATGTTTCCTCATTTATTTCACACCCATCCATAAAGTTGCTCAGTTTAATGGCAAGGCAAACGAACAGAGCTTCTTGGTCTTCAAATATTGACTTCAAGGCATCACAAACGATTCTTTAAACAGAAATTCATCTAGTGGAAAGAGCCAAATAGACATTTTTTGGCTTGAGGCATTAGTCAGCTCAAGCGGTAATTAATGATATATGAATTCCTATTAAGATCGGCCAAGAAAGTTTATTTGCACAAAAATTAAGCTATGTAAACGATATAAACTATTACCCATTAATATTTGAGTGCACATACATTTTGAAATGACTAGACCTCGCAAAGTCGAAAAGCAATTTGACCAAAAAAAAAAAACTGGGCAACTGTCAACGATTTTGATTCGTTTGAATTGAGGCATTTGCATATGTCTAGATATCATCATCCATGCCCGATTTCTACGTGCGAAAAATGATAAAATTAGTTCGAGAATTCCCTATTTATAGGCATTATACATCCACGTACAAAGTATATGCCAATTTCTCATATGTTTCCCATTTTGTGGAGACGCGTGGGTGTTCACCAAAACGTTTATTGTAAAATATATATGTGCAGCAGAATCGAATAAATTAACAAACAGTTGGATTAAAATTTAAAATACGGAATTTCAAGATTCCTCAGCTTGAAATTTTATTGGCAAGAGATTTGTTGTCTTATATAATATTGTTAAATTAAATATGTCACTTGGATTAAGGTGATAGCACCTAAAACATGACAGGGGATTACAAGTTGCATTCTACAAAAAAATATTGCTGGTCAATGAAATGAGTCGGAAAAACCTTAAAATATTTATGAGGTTTAGTTTATGATGCTATGCAGTTGCAAAGATTTATAGTGGCAAATTAATCACTTTGATTGTGGGAGAAAAACTATAACTGTTGGGATTTTTAACATTAGCTCAGTAAAAGTTAAGTAAATATTGATTTAATTTGTTAAGCTTAACGCTTAGTATTCAAACCCACAATACACCTTTTGCTAGTAATTTATACTAAATATTTTCTTGTATTTCAGAGTGCACAAATAAATCCATATGTTGCACAACGAAATCCCCAGAAGAATCCCAAATAAACAGCTGAAAGTCCCAGAAAACTCGAAAAACTTTATTTTTAATCGCATTTCTCGGCGTGACAAGACAAGTTCGAGTAAAGCCAAAAAGAAATAAAATGACTAAATAGAAAATATGCTGCTAAATTTGAAAATAAACCAGAAAGCAGGGCGAGAAAAACCTCGACGAAAATAGCACAGAACGTCCCTTGAGATTCCCATTTCATGCCAAACAAGCGCCTAAAAATAAGTTAGCCCAAAATTGAATCAAGATGCAGCCAAGTTTGTTCTTTTCTTTTGTCTTTGGTGGCTAACAAGACAATGGGGATAAAATCAAATAGCTCAGACAAATGCAGTGTATAAATAAATAGTGAAGCCATTTCCACAGTGACATCAGCACCGGACCTGGCATCATCACCATTGGAAAATGGGGAAAAAAAAGCATTCACAGCACTGCGTTGTGCTTCAGTCTATAAACAACTTTTCAAAATAATCCCATAGTCAGGTCTATAGTCCACAGACTCAATGCGTTTCAATAAAAAATAGTGATCTCATTGCCCGTTCCACTCAACAGGCTAAGTACACCGAACAAAAGGCTCACAATCAAACTCAAAATCTCGCCTATCAGCTACACACAAAATCCGATCGCACGCCATTCAATTGATTTCAAATGGCTTGTGCCGGTGATTTTGGCCAAAAGGAAATCCGATTGGCTATTGTCCTGGCTGAGTTAGTCACTTTGAAATCCATGAATTAAAAGGTTCTTGTTTAACAAGCCACTCTTAATGATCTGCAAGTGTTTGGTATCAGTGCTGAAGCATACAAATTGCCAAAGCAAATTCACTTTGCAAATATTTTCTAGACCCACCCACATAAGAGCCAAATATTAAATAACAAATTATCTCATTCTCGGCACTTGCAAATTGTTAGAAAGCACAAAAAAACATATATGTGCGCATAACAATTCATCGATTCATTTGGCATTCGATGTGCTTTTGGCCCGTATTGGCGATTGCAATTTGCACGATTGCCAAAAACTTATATTCCGTTTCCATTTTGGCGACAACATTATGTCATTACCTTTTGGCCCATCGCACCTAAGGCACCAAAATGGCCTAAAATAACATTCGAACCGAAGGCACACAAAGCAGCGAAAGGTGAGCCAGAATCCAAGAATCTGGGCCATAGTCTACTTTCGAGCGATGATGTCAGGAGTCCTATGCGGATACGGCGGATTTCGATGATTCGGATGATTCGGATGATACGGGGGATGCGGGTGCCGCGGATGACGGGGGAGACGTGGGCCACTGCTGTCTGGGTCAAGTTCGGATGACATTTACATTCGCTTTTCCCGCCCGGCACAATCAAGAAAAACGCTCTGATTCAACAAAGTTCAATGCTTTGCCAAGAGAAAATCAAATATTTTACACGTTTTTTGGGCGCTGAAGGGGCGTCCAAGTGATAGTTGTCACATTAACACACAAATTCTAGAATGCGGCTGACTCAGCTGCACTGAGAGAAACGGTGCTACACAAATGTGTATGATAAAATGAATTATTAGAAGTACTCAAAAACTGTTCCATTTTCTTTTAACCCTTTTAACCCTGTTAAATAATATAGGTATGTTTGTATAAAAATTACTTAAATTATTTTCTTATACATGTAGGTCATCATATCGGCACTCACCTTGCAACTGCAATATCGTCATCTGATATTCGGCAAGCTTCTCGTCGATGTAGTCCTGCGATTGGTTCGCAATGATTTCGGCTGTCGAAGGACCGAACTCCTCTTCGTCATCGTAAATCACGTAGGATTTAGGTTGCGGAGGCTCCAGCGGCACGCCCACGAAATCGATCTGATCCTGGGCCAGTCCGTGCCCTCCATGTCCTCCTTGTCCTCCGTGTTGTCTCGGTTGTGGCGGGATCACCGGCGCTCCCTGCTGCTGCTGGTAGAATTGCGGCGGTGGCTGTTGGAACTGGTGGAGCGACAGTGGCGTCTGTCGATTGCTGTAGTTGAAGTCCGAACTCGGAGTTTGGCACACGATGGGCGACGGCGTGGGCGACAGCTGGAAGGAGCTGGTCGGCTGGGCGCCATACGAGTTCTGGTGCTGCAGGGGAGCCGGTCGATAGGGACGTGGTGCCGGCGATGCGCCACCACTGGACGCCACTCCGCCATAGTAACCGCCTGGTGCTGGCTGCTGGTAGGGCGACGGCGATTGGTTACCACCTGGCCATTGGGGCCGTGGATGGGGTATATTGGTGCTGCCGCGCTGACCCCTCACCTGGTTGATGGGCGCGGGGGACATGGCGTGTCCATAGGGACGGGGTCCCGAGATTATCGGCGGCGGACTGGGCGCCGTTGTCCATGGCGACGGTGGACGGTACAGGAAGGACGAGGGCGATGGCGAGGCGGGATTTTGGGCACGCGGATTCCAGCCACGTGGTCCATTCCCGTACGGCGGCGGTTGCTGCCCGGACATCTTCGTCAGACGATCGAGATCTTTGGGTTTGGGCTTATTTCGATTTTACGAGCGGGATGGCTATGGTTTCACAAAGACTTTTGGACGGGGTTATGGGTTTTAATTTAACATATTACACTGGCAAAGGAAGAATTAAAAACATATTACTTTATTACTTTATATAACTATTATAGATTTAATTGGGAAATGTGTCTTTTGCATATTAGGTTTGGTTTATGGCTTAAAAGGCCTACAACTGCACAGAGTTTGGCTTGAGTTGAGAATCAAGTTATGAACTGAAAACTACGAAACAGTTAAGTATACCTAAACATTTTAACGTTAAATCTGCTGGCCTATTTTTCACTTCACCAAAGCTGTCCAAAATCATAAATCATCATTTCTTCATTAGCCAAAACAATCACCTGAACATCCAACCCAATTATGTCACTAAAACAAGCTGAAGAGGCATAAATAAATCGTGACCTATTCAAGAATACGGGTAGCCAGCTAATTTCGCCAGACTACGCAGATATAAGAAAGACATATGTAGGTATAGATATAGATCCTAACGGAAGTGGTCCAAACATTTATACAATCTTTAAAAATGGGTCTGACGTGAGTGTGCGGCTTTCAAGTCTCCGAGGAGTGTTTTCCGCGCACAATCATTTATTTCAGTTAGTTGTCACATATATTAGTGAAAACATATATGCCTCTGGTAGATAATTCACAATTCAACAAAACACATTTTCATTATGCTGCAGATCGAAAGTGCGGAAAACGAGGAGAAAAGTGGGCATTTTGGGGATTAGCTGCTGTCAAAATTGTGTGAAGGCCCCATAAGTCTATGATATATGCCTGGCAGAGTGTGTGGTAACCTTGGACAAATGTCTCAAATCATTGATTTCGCATTGGACGCTGCGTGAAAGTGAAATTAGCTGAGTGTTAAATACATTCCGTGCAGAGCAGAAAAGTAAAATAATTGTTTTGCAAGTCAATTGTCAATAATTTTAGCTTCCACTCTATTCTGTACTAAAAGGAAATAATGAGGCCCATGTCATAAAACAAAAATAGTAGTAGTAGTAGATTTAAGGCCCCGATAATTTGCAACTAAAATGCAATGCAATGCTCATCTGCTGTCATCACTGTTTTAAATTTTCCAAAGGATTTTCCAACATTTTTGCACATTTTGTTCGTCATCTGCTTTCAATATTTCAGTGCCTTTATGGATTCTCCAAAACGAAAACCAAAAACTGCACAGTGTAGGCGTTTTGGGTGGTGTGTGGATCAGTCCACCATCGGCAGCACTTAAAAAGCACACGTCCCCCAATTCAAGAATCCCAATCGCACCACCGCGACGAGGGAAAACTCATGCAGACTTTTCACTTTGCGGCGGCGGTTGTCGGTTGCTTTCGAATTATTCAAAAATAGAAATGAACTCAGTTCGTTAAACTTTCGGTTCGCTCGGATCGGAGGAAACCATGCCGAGAGCAAAAAAAGTAAAAAAGATGCAGCCTCGAATGCTTCACTTTATTCTGGGACCACTTTTAATTGCCATCCGCTTTGCGGGATGTAATCCCTCTTTGATATCCATATGCATTCTATGGCGATTATGGTTCACTATTATTCTGGAGCACACATTCCATATTCTTTGCGTTCCTTTTTTCTTGCACCGGAAAACGTGGAAAAACACGTTTTTTTTCCAAAGAGCACTTCACTGCCGGATTATGTAATCGGTGGAAATTCGTGTATTTTTCGGAGCTTTTTCAATGGGATCTTAATATACACAGGCACAGCAATTAATTTGTAACATTACACACCGTAAATTCGCTTTGATTTTACGCCAGTATTTCTTTGCGCGAACAATTCCAATTTCAATTTCTATATATGCGTATATATAGAGGCGTGTATATATGCATGGATGGCCGGAAAGAAGACTTTTCAATGAAGAAGAACTTTAGATGTTGTAGAGGAAGAACCGAGAACAACACTCGACGAGCACGAAACACTAACTGAATTGGCTCCCCAAGCGCCAGGAGGCACCTCCCCGATCTTTGGGGAAATTTCGAAAATTTTCGAAACGCTGACTGGTTCGGGAAATGTGCACGAAGAATCGGCTCTCGGCGTTTTTTGCCGGCTTTTTTTTGTGAAGCGTGCCACATGGGAAAACATTTCTCTTTCTTCATCTTCTGTTTACATCCCCATTTTCTAAACAACATTCAAATGAGAGAAAAACGTGCGCTTAGGTGGCGCAAAAACTTTGGCATTCTATAGAGAAAATGAAAAAATTTGTGATGCGTGTTTTTTCTAGCATACCAATTTCTATAAGTTAAATAAATTAAATGTACTGTTTGATTAAACCAACTAATCTGATAGAAATCTTGTAGAATTAATATCTTTCTTAAATTAACTTTTGTCTGAGTTATTAAAAAACACAACCAACCTGTATTAACTCTTATTTCACTAAATTACAAAATTGTATTCATCAAAATAAAATGAAACTGTACTGTACTTAATTTGTTTAAATATAATTCACTTGAAAAAAAATCAAAATAGTCAAAAAAATTAAATATCCAGTGTGACCGCTGTTCGGAAAATGTAAACTAACACCTGCTCTGTAAACACGCTGTTAGGCCAGCTGACGCTGTAAGCCTGACAGCCACAGGGTGAATCCTGTCACAATACATTTTGCGAACAAATTTTTGTGGAAAAAAATGGCCAGCAAGCAATTGGTAAACAATTTGGCCAAACTCGGCCTTCCGCGACAGAATTGGATGTCACCCCTGGCCACCGTTCGCCATTCCAGCTGCCGCGGTGACATCGAGAAGGTCACACACACCGGACAAGTAAGACAAATTGAACTGTTGATCCAACCGTCCTGCGATTACGCAAACATTTTGGGGAATATGTACGAAAATCGCTAAATTTATAACAATTTCAGGTGTTCGATAAGGATGACTACCGCAATGCCCGGTTCGTAAACGCCAAGCGGTATGTGAACGAGAACTGGGGCATCAAGCTCATCGAAGAAGTGCCACCCAAGGAGTGCACCGAACGAGTTGTCTTCTGCGACGGCGGCGATGGTCCTTTGGGCCATCCCAAGGTGTACATCAACCTGGTGAGATCTTGATAGCCTACTAACGCATCTATTTGACTCATTGGATCGTGTGTTATTTGCAGGACAAACCCGGAAATCACATCTGCGGCTACTGCGGTCTGCGTTTCGTCAAGAAAGATGACCATCATCATTGAGGAATCCATAATGGCCAATAGATTTTAGCTGAAACACCTTTCTATCCTGTTGCGCTAGCTTGAACTCAACTGAACTAAATAAAATTAGAACACCAAAAAGCTAATCACATGGAGAAGTACCATCATTTGTACTATTTCTATGAAAAATTAGTTTGAATCAATGCTCTAGATCTTCTGGTCCCGAAACAAATGGATAAGAAACCTAAAAGACCCCTTTTCCGAAATGAAAGTCAACTCTTTTTATTGCACAACACTTTATTTGCATGTGTCTTGAATGATTACTAATGCGTGCATGCATTGTGTCCTTTTTGAAAGATAGATCTGATCAAAATCAACTTAAGTGTTAAGTTTAGTAAAACTAATAAACCAAAACCGAATTGTAATTCAAAATACTGTGAGTTGAACTCGACTGCTTGTGCAGAAATTAGATCAATTCACCACGCGGGTGCTTAAGTGCATAAAATGTAGAGTAAAACTAACAAAGTTAACGCAATCGTAGATAGTATATAAACTTGATTTGTTTGCCTGGTAAGCGGTAATGTATTGTATAGTGGTTTGAATTTATAATTTTTCGCTGTTAAATCACTACGGGCACTTTAGATGCTGACGATCGCAGCATTGAGACACAGATAGTACCACGAAGAATCAATACAATAATACAATAACTGCCGCCGTTTAGGCGATTGTTTGTTGGTTGATTTTTGTTTTGGATGCCAGCGCTCTGCGGGAATTGGTGTGGACGACTCTAAAGTCTCCATTCCATCCGTGTAGCCTGCTCCTGCTGCTCACAAAACTGAAATTAATCACACGTTCGCACCGCTCAACACGAGCCATCTCCGATACCAATTCCATCTCCAACCGTTGGGAGTTCGAGCTTGGCCTGCAGAGAGCCCTGGATCTGGGAACTGAAAGTGCGGCGCCGCCGGGTGGTGCGCCTGTCTCACATAATATATATGCCCAGCGGATCGCTGATCGCTGGTCAATTAAATCATGGTCAATAATCGTCGTCGTCATCTGTTGTCTCAAGTGCGTTTCATCTAAAACACCAAACACTAAGGAGAATGTAAACTAAAATGTAGTAGGTTCTAATTTGGATGTTGTGAGGATGCGGGACTATGTTGCCGACGAATCGCTTTAGCCTATCTTCGTACTGTTGCTGTTGTTTCTGTTGCTGCAGCAGAGATCGCTTGTCTTGATTGGGGCAATAGTTGTTCACCACTGGTCACCAGAGGTTCCGTGGCATGGCGTAGCCTTCTTTTGTCACGAATATGTTGCGTTCGCCACGAGCCACGGCCATCTCCTTCTGCTGCTGCTGCAGCTGCTGCTTGCCACCCATTCCAAGTGCTGGAGCCCCGCCATCATGGGTGACGGTGGTCTCTTTACGCCCGTCTATCATCCGGGTTACGGTGGTGGTCTTGTGACCAGACGAATCCTGAGTAACCTTGGTGGTCTCATAGCTGCCATCCGGCTTGCGCACAGTCTTGGTCATCACGCTCTGGCTGAATAGCTTGGGGCCCTATCAGAAGTGTTTATTAATACGATGTTTACTTAAGAAGTTGTGATCTTTCCAACCTGATAGTTGCCATCGAATACACCTCCAAATGAAGACATTCCACTACGCGGCAACATCGGAGTCATGGGCGTCATGATGTCCGGCTTGTTGTTCATCGGCGGACGCGGCGGACGAGCGTTCGATTGGCTCTCCCCATCGGCGGAGATGGTTCCATGGATCCGGCCCATGATAATCTCCTCATCCGTAAGCTTGGCGCCTTGGACGCTCTTGCGATAGCCATGCTGATTCGATGGCAAAATGTTGCCAATAGCCTGGTCGCCTGGCTCCACATTCTCCTCCGGATTCAGACGTTGGATGAGCGAGTGTAACTGGTCGGCATAGATCCTAAAAGAAATAATTTGTCAATGTGACCTCGTTGGCTGGTCAAGTATGTTTACTTACTCGCCATCCAAATCGGTATCCAAAGAGAGATCCTTCTGCTGCTCAAACTTCTTCAGAATCTTGCTCTCAAAGCCCGGCTTCAGGAAGTCTTCCTTCAAGTCGCGCTCAAAACCATCTGATTCAAATTAGTAAATAATATTTTAATAAAAGGGATTTAACCAAATCGTCTAACAGATTCAAAGATTCTCAAGGGGACACTTTGTATATTTCCGGTCGTTGTATATGCAGGTTACTGCAATTACTCATTGGGTTTGTGTCATTTATCAAATAACAAGTAAATCGACCAGTAACTTTTGTTATACAAATGTGCACATACATATAGATCAATTTTCTTCGACTAATGGCTTGAATCGCTAATGCTATCATTAACTTTGAAAAAGGAACTTTAGACTGTCTAATTACATCGTTAACATTAATGAATTATTACACTAAGCTATAGACATCATATTCAACGTGAAAAGGGAATAACAGTCCTTTGGATATAACCCCACTCACCATCATTGTCGTTCAGCGATTCCAGGAGTCGTTGCAGCTGGCTCTCGAAGTGCTTCTGCATCTCCAGCGGACTGGTGAACACCTGGAAGGCGAACTTGCGATCGTCATCGAAGAGTTCGTCATCGGTCTCGGCCTCCTCGAACCACTGGGGCTTCCGGAACTCGTCCTTGTTGGAAGCGGAAACCGAAGAGCTGCTTGAAGAGAAACACAGAGAGAGATTGAGATGGGAAAAACCACAGGGATGAGCAGGGGAACTGGATTTCCAACCCTCGGGTACATCAACACGCAGCCTCCGTTTCCACGGAGAGCAGCGGGCGCTTTTCCTTATTCGCGTGCGTGTGTGTATCCTGGCGAAAATGTATCTATAATGGCAGGTGCCTGGTTATCGATCCATTGTCGCCTGAAAAACGCCGCCGCATATGTGAATGCCCCCCCCTGTCAATATTTTTAGACTTCGTTCCCTGGCCTTTGGGCGCCCCCAAAACTTGCGTAATGCTGACAAATCCGTAGTGTCCACTATTCAGTACTCACTCCGACTCCTTTTCCGCCTCGGACTTGAACATTTTCTTTAGAATATCCATAATCTTCTGCTGATACGCCGATATAATTGCTTGGGGCTAAATGGAAAACGGAAAATTCCTGACTGAGCGCAAACCAAAGTGGTTTAAGGAAAACTAAAAGAACCAAAACGACGCGAGTTTCAACTTGTCCCGGCTATCCTTTATCCGCACGCCTATTTATTGTTTATCTATTGGGGATTTTTTTCGCATTAATTTTCACACGACCGTCGAAAAACTGACAACAGCACAGCTGACAACTGACAATTCGAGGGTGGTGAGCTCGTGTCACGAGCGCCCAACAGCTGATGTTAGCTGCGGCACTTAACAGTGCCTGCGCTGGAAACTTCTCTGTTAACGGCACGTTGTTCAGATCTGAAAATACCGTTACATTTATTTGGACTTATTATTTTTGGAATTTTGAATGCTTTTTCGTGAGTTATTTATCAAGGATTATAATTCAACTAAATATTTATATTGAGGAATTTATTTATTTAAATGAACTGCCAACTTATAACCAATATATTTCCAATCTATCATGCACAATAAGTAATTTTTAATTAGTTTACGTTTTATACATGTCTATACTGCGCAATACGGTGCCGCTTATTTAAATGTTTAAATATATATTCGCTTTATGGAAGGCAAATATTTGCAGGCATTTACCCTCTTGCGTTTATTTTTGGCTTTTAATGACATATTTTGTAATAATAGCATTGCGAGTTTCTCAAGCCTAGATCTGTTGATCAATTTTATTTCGAATTTAGCTTAAGGTCATGCCTTTCCTGGTCTCGGCTTCGTTTGCTGCCGCTTATCAACCAGTTATTATGATGACTTTGTTGTTTTATTCCGACCACATCGAGAGATAAGTGAGATAGCCAACAGTAAGAATGAGCACGCACCGCAGTCCGCAAAAAAAAGGTAGACTGTATGTAAATAAGGCAGACATTAACCAATTTTTATGGTGGGAAATGTCTGAGCGAGCCCTCCGCCCTGATGAAATGCCAATTGGAAGCGAACGGTGGACCTTATCAGCGCGTAATCCACACCATTCGGCGCTTATCAAAATTGCAGTCCATATAACCATGACCGATAATAAACGGCCGTAGTGATAAACAAAAGGCTTTGTTATTATATATTCTTGTTTTTAATTATTAAAAGTTTTTGCGGTTATATGGGTGAGGTGACCACGAAAGCACTTGCATTACGATTACATTTATACACATATGAATCTCATCGGTAGATCGAGGGATGGGATTGGTTTGTGGGCTGTGGGTTATGGGTAGCGGTAGCAGTTCTGTGGATCATAACAATAATTTCATACTGAACAAGGACCGAGGATATCGTTTGTTTGTCAACAAGGAATAACAATGAACGTAGTGGTTCGTGGACTAGCTGGGCGCAGCCGGTTCGAACTTGCAGACGACGGCGAACATGTTCTCGCCGCCCAGGTACTTGGCCAGCCATTTGTTTTTAATCACGGCCAGCTTGAGGGTCTCGCAGCCGAAGCGGGCATTCAGATTTGTGTGCAGGGCGCGTCCCATGCCCTCGATTACAAGCAGGTCAGTCTCATTGGCGGCGATAGCGTCGCACAGCTCCTTGGGCAGCGTGCGCATATCCAGACAGGGACCAGTCTGCCCATTTGCGTAGACCAGTAGTTGTCCCTTTGACCAGGCATGCTCCAGGACCTCACACTCCCGCGAGCAGTCATCCAGCAAGGATCTTAGCTCCTCGCTGGTCACATCATTAAGAGCAGGTTCACTGTTGGCGCAGAGCAGCACCTTGGTGCCACGTTTCAGGAGTCCTCGGACAAAGGGAAGCACACCCAAGACTACATCCACTCCGCTGTTGTCCACAAAGACCACGGCGCACTTGTGGGGCTCGCCCTTGAGGCGATTCAGCCAGTTGTCCAGGTTGTCTAGCAGCCATGGTCGCTTCTCAATGCGATCCAGAGCTGAATGAAGTCCAAAATTGCTGTCCTGCTCCAGGATATTAGATATGGCCTGTGCGCCCCAGTCAAACATGTTGCCGGCGAGGACACCGCGTACCAGCTCTGTCCACCTGGTGTCCTCATCCTCCAGGGCGTCCAATTCCTGGAGGCGCTGCTTCAGACGGGCTACAGCCGAGGCATTCTCCAGCTTCTTTTGTCTGAGCCAGGGATCCGCAAATCCATAGCGGCGCAACAGGGTTTCGTTTAGCTGGAGGAGCTCACTGGTGCCCAGAACCACCTTGCCCTTGTTAACAGGAACATTCCGCTGATGCTCCTCCAGCCGCTCCAGATACGCCGACTGGAACTGCTCCGCCCTCTGGGTGGCCGTGTGATCCTCCTCCTGCGACTTGGCCGCCACCTTCGCGAACTTGGCTACCATGTCGCGGAAGCAGTTGAACCAGTATTCCGCAGCCTTTCCATCTGTGTTCAGGTCCAGGGTGTCCGGCTGATAGACAGCCGGATCTGGCAGCAAGCTGCGACTGTGCATTGCGACGCGGATAGACGCGGAGCGTGTGATTTTCAGCGCTGAATTAATCGCCGTTTTTGTAAGTTTTTTTTTTAGGGTGGCAGGTGTGACCAGGGGCATCGCAATAGAATTTGATCTGCAATCGATAAGTCAATGTTTTCAGTTTTGTACAAGCCGATTAGTCTGCGACTATCGTACTAAATAATACCGTTATTTTCATAAGCTTAATAAATGAGCACGCAGTTCCAAAATACATTTGTACTCCAAGTATTGTTATTGTGTGGATACATTATTCGAATTCTACGCAAATTTGCCTAAGCAAAATATATTTTAAATATATACCCAAAACAAACCGGGATTATGTATACTACCTCTTCCATTAAATAATGTGTGGTTGCAATTTGTAAGAGAGCATTTGATATAATAATAAAAAAAAAAGGGGTATGAATATAAATTACAATTAAAAATACTGACAAATATTTTTAAAATATTGTTTTTTAACAGTCTTATTGCAACTATCGATAGCATCCATGCATGCACTCTGGTCCCTCTGCACTGTCATTTTCCAGTAAGTCACAGCTGGTCACTCTAAACACCTGAAAAATCTATTTAAGCAACCCGCAACGCTCTCTTCTTCGTAGTTTTTTGCTTCGATACGAGGATATGTCGCGTCGCGCATGAATTAATTATTAATCAAAGGAGAGTTAATAGTGCTTGTGCAGTGCAAGTGTGAGTAGTTTGATGCAATTTTTTCCGGATAAAAAATCAAATTTAAAACACCCACACGGCCAAGCAGTTGCATACGTGTGCACTTGATACGCACATATAAACACACACACGCGCGTACGCAACAGAGAGTTGGAGTGGTAGTAGTGGAAAGTGCAGCAGGCGCGGTCCATAATACACACATATATACGTTTGTAAGTAATTCGGGCATGTGGACGTGTAAATAAACCGGGTCGCCCACAATTTAGGGGCGTTCCTACGCCCTCCGCCGGAATCGAAATCGGAATCGCGGCAAACGTGTTCAATTTCCGAATCTCCCCTCGCTCCATCCATCTCTTTCGCTCTTTCTCGGTGCGTACGATTGTGTGTGTGTGTTAGTTAGTGAGCGGCCTGCCGTGTGTGTGTGTGTGTGTCTGTTTTTGTTGGTCACTTTAATTCGCCACATACACACACTATCAAACAAGAAGAGAAAAAAATTCGCGTTAATCCTGCAACGTTTCTGTTGTTTTCTTCCCACATCCTTTCATCCAGCAGCTTCCAGAGATTTTCACTTTGGGTAAGCGATTTCCAACGCGACTTTTCATCTGTTTCCATCTGTACGAGTATTTTCCCCAATGCACTTACTTATTGGACTCTTAATGCCAGTGCGTTCGTGAACTTGATTCTGATTGGAGGTCGGGCCAATTAAACCGGTTCGTGTAAATAAAATCCGCTGAAGATTCCTCTTCTTGTTTTTCTGGTTAAATGCAGTTCTCCTGGTTAATACCCGTTAAATTTCCAACTTCCGAATAGGGTAATATAGTATTTGCACACAAATTTCAGTCTTATAGTAAGCGTAAATAAATACATTACTTCTTATCAGAATCAACAGTTATTCTTATAAGATTTTGTCTGAATAATTGGAATTTAAATATCTTGTATCTTGAAACCTTAATTACCGGACATCTTCTAGTCGAGCCAGATAATTTTAAATGTTTTTCGTGCTCCTATCTGAGCATTGCATTTCTTTTTATCAACCGCGCTGTGGAACCGAATGCATTAAGGTCGCCGTTTTCCACCTGCAATTAATGCCCACAGCTAATGACTAAATGACAATGGGCCACGTACTTATCGGCCTCACTGTAATGATGATAGTGACCACCGCATCGGCGGAAAATAATGCTCACTTGGGTCGTGACTTCTCGTTGGGTAAAGCCAATGGCAGGCAAACACAAAAAAAAAAGAAACACTGATTGTGGGAAAGATTTCGCTTAAGTAATTCCTACATATTTCACTGATTGCCGAAATTCTTATTGGATGACTTTTTTTGGCAGATGTCTTACTCACTCCATAGTTCAGTGCGAATTGTTTAAGCAAATAAAGTATAATTTCATTAACTTGTAGATTGATAATATACATATTATCGAAATTAAACATTCTTCTGAGGTGAATACAGAGGAAATTCCGCAAAAGTCGGAAGGTGCAGATACTTGTATTTATTTAGCTTTCTTGCTGATTTCGGTTGAATGTGACTAGACTTATCTACTAAATTATATATGTACAAAAAATCTGAATAAAGCGAATTTTTGATTAGCAATAAGGCAGTTAAAGCTTAAATTAAGGCTTTCCGGTTGAAGGTTTTAGGCTATCGTTCCGCTGAAAGAATGGCGATCCACCGTGCACTTGGTGAGCCACGCCCGCTGTTCGCCCACCTGCCCCCTAAATTATAGCAACCTGACCTCGGCCTCTGCAGCAGTGGTTGTGTGCAAATGAAGCTATAAAACTGGCCCATGCCACCAATAAACGAAAACTTTTTTGCTGGCCCCTCCTAATGGCCTAGAGATCATCTCCCCGTGCTCTTGTTGGTCACCTCCACCTCCAGCTCCAGCTCCCCATTCCCACTTCCATTTCCATTCCAAGCTTAGTTGGAGCACTATGTTATCCATTCCACTGCCATGCTCTGCCTCCTCTTCTCTACCATTTCACATAAAATCGAGTCTTAGAGGAGAAAGCCATCAACGCTCCGTAAATTCCCCCGAGCAAACACCGAAACTACAACAACGTCGAGTACATTTACCCACACACCTGCAACTACAGTTATGGCCGGCAGCGTACAAAGAAGAAGCTGCAGATGCTGTACAAGAAAAGATTTCCCCGTAGTAAACCGGGCTCTACTCTATCGTAATTGTCTAGGATGAAGCTGTGTTTTTATAGCACTGTCATGCGGTTTTTGTCTTTTTGTACCAAGAAGTGATAAAGCTGCCCGCCGCCGATGAAATGACAAAATGCCATCGTCTTAGACACAGTTTCCTGCTCATGATCAAGTTTTCGATGTTATGGGGCTATATAGGCTAGATATCTGGGTTATAGAACAACCTGCGTTTAGCATCTGTTAATTGGAGCGATTTTTTTCAGAAAAACATTCTTTTTCGAACGGAAATTAGCGGTAACTTGATATTCGATCACCGATTGTGGTAGCTCACTACTTTTTGTGACTGCCGCTTTTTAATCAGATATGCAATGAAATTATCACGCATTTCCCATCTACCTCAGAGTATGCTAAAGTCCATTAGCTAATGTTGGCATTCATTTTTCTTGTTTTTGTAATCACTTTCTCGACCAAAACAACGCAAAAAAGATGCTGTTGCCACTGTCAACTTTTATGGCTGGTCTGTTGCAGTTGCCAGCTGCCATTCATGGCAAAATGAAGACAACTCATCCTGGGTTTTAGCCCCTTGCCATTCGCGGTACATCCTATATCAACCCTCTTCGGGGCGTCGAGCTTGATTGAGTGCAGCAAGTGTCCATCGGGGGCAGTAAGCATCGCGTGTTGGGTAACTGCACTGCGAGAAAGCACCGAGCTCATCTTCAGAGTGGTTTTAGTAATGCGTGTCTCATGTATAGATATCATTTTTACTAACATTTGAGTGTGAAGTATCAATTTGATATACGTGTGCCAAGTTGTTGAATGCTACAATGTTGCTTAGTGTTTTGTAGGGTACACATTATTTGTTCGATAGAATTCAGAAGTAGTACCATTGGCTTTAGCTCCGATTTGAAATGAAGTTGTGGTAAGAAGTCGCTGCATTTTTCTGTGTGCCACAAACGTGGTGACAGTCAGTGGCCAACTGTGTAGCCGCCGGCAACTCGCTTTTCACATTATTAAACGTTAATGAGTTTTTAAGACTTGTTTGCGCATGTGGGCGATGGATGCGATGCGATGCCATCCGATCCGACGTGATGGTGATGTGGTGGCCAAGAAGACAGAGTGCTCGAGCTGGAGCTGCAGCCTTGAAATTGCAAGTGGCCGTCATGGCCGAAAGCTGGGAAAGGGGCTAAAATCGTGTGGAATACACACAGCGCAGCAGTGGCAAAACCGAATAGAGTTGGGGCCAACTGGAGCTACAATTACAAGCATCATTGGCCTTATTTCTTTTGTTTTTTTCGTTTCGTTTCGTTTTTTTTTTTTTTTTTTTTTTTTTTTTTTTTTTTGTCGACAATATTATTTCTGTCTTGCCCGTTTTTTCGCGCTGCTGCTGTTTCGAATGTCACAAGATACACATTAAAGCCCAGCTGACATAGCTGACTACGTATATTTGCACAGCTTTCACACTCCATCTGACTCCCTCAGGTTTTTTTTTTTTTCGTTTTAGTTGGTCTTTTATGGGCTTCCGAAAGTGATTACGCGGCATTTAACACCAGAAACGGAATCTATTCCGCAACTGTAACACTTTTATTTCTATTTTCGGCACTTAAGCTGAGTAAAATTGTTTATAAGCCGGAGGTCGACAAGAAAAATTCTTTTGTTATCGCACTTTTCTTTGCTTCCACCATGGTATAAATTACATTTTTTAGTGCTCGAAGGAGAGGTATTCCTGGTATTTTGTTTTTCCTATCTTTTAAAGAAAGAGGGGTGAAGTATCTTATACTTCCTTTAAATTGCGTTCAGTCTTTATGATATGAAACCATTGCATTCATTTTTACCTCGGCATTGTTGTTCCCCCATTTCTTTCGCCCATGAGTTTGCATTTTTTGCCCATTCATTCTCTTCCAAATCTTGTCTAATGAAAATGGCTTGGTTATTTATGAACGTAAATTAGAAATTAACAGTACGCCGCACACTGCACCCACACAGACGCAATTCAATTATGCTGCATATATTTCATATTGCAATAGCAGCAGGAAATTTATGAGCCATGCCCCCAGGGTCGAACTTGACAAAGCCCCAACGAAAAGCGTACCCCGACCCAATCTCCAAACAAAACCCCGCTAAAAAAAACTAAACAAATCGTACTGGAGCGCGCCAAGCAACCAAGCAGCACCGCTAGTACTGCCAATTTAAACAACGGTGGCTAATAAAAAACTGTCCAGTTTCTCTGTATAAGTGGTGACCTTAAACAGAATACGAGGTATGCGTTAGTCGACTGAAATGTAAAAA